CTTAACAATAAAGTAATACATAAATCATTTATTAATAAATGGGAAATTGGTTACTACTTTGCACACATTCATTCTTTGACATCAGTAAAATGATCATCAGTATGTGTTCTGTGAACGTTGGTAAATGGCTGCTGGCTAAGCCCTTGAGTACCTGCCCCTGGCCTGTGGCCTTGTGCCCTCCCACCCATCACCCTTTCCCATCACCAAAAGTGTGATAGCTGATGGTGATTAAAACTTAGACTGGCTCCTACTTCTGTACAGTTGCTAATTTACTGAAGTTCTCCAGTGGGACATACAGAGCACAGTGCACTTACCCCCCTGGCCTGAAACTGAGACCCTGCTGGTGGGTCAGGTGGTGAAGCATTGCCCAGATGTGTCAAGGTTGTGGGTTCAATCCCTGGTCAGGGCACATACAAGAAAGAAAACAATGAATCCTTCAATGTGTGGCACCAAAAAAAAAAAAAAAATAGATGCCTCCCTCTTTGTCTCTCAAATAAATAGATAAACATTTTGAAAAGTGAAGTAGATTCTTCTCCTTGTGGGGTGATCCTTACTTACAGGAGTCTTCACTTGGTGCCACACAGTCCTGTTTTCTGGGCCACCGCTGATCGCCCAGATGAGGGAACAATGGATCCGCTGCCCATGGCGTGTTCTCCTGGCAGAGTCTTCCCCAACAGGGATTCCATGATTGTGGTGACTCAACTGGGCAGACCATGGGATGCATACAACCAGTGGATGGACTTGATTCAGCTCGCTCAGTTATTTTCAATTTAAGGAGTTGTTCACATTAAGTCGCTGGAATATTTTACATTTACAAGCATCACGCTTTATTCATTTAACCTTCAGTGAAAAAAAATCATAGAATATGAGAATCAAAGAACCGAAACTTTTATTCAGTTCACCAGGTAAGGGAGCGTATGGAGTGCATGTACTGCTCATCAATCAATGTCACAGTGTTGATCAAAGAAGAGTAGATATTGTTCAGAAATAACAATTGCAAGAACATAGGGGTCCCTTAAATCAGGGTCTGTTAGCATGACACTAGGTGGTAAGGACAACCTTGTGCTTGGAAACTAAACATCCAGTGTTTACCTAGGTTAACTTGATTACCTAGAGACATTATTCTTAGCAGGATAGGCTTCAAAGGAAATAATCATTATTCTCCTTCAGGCCTGATTTCCTTGCCGGGGGTGAGGGGGGCGCCTCTGCCTGTATCGGTTCATGCCTGCTGGCCAGTATTCCTGGTTTTCCAGTTGAGACTTACAGGTCAGACCCTGCTCACGCGAGCTGCACTCTGTGATACCAGGCAGGGCGGTTCTCCACACTTGGTTAGGGAACATGTTAGGTTGTGGGCCAGGTCGCTCACTTAGATGAAGCATTGTCTCTTGCACCCAAAGATTGTGGGTCACAACAAATGGATTTTTCTCTCTCACATCAATTTCTCTTTCTCCCTTCCTCTATCCAAATCAATTACATATCTTCAAGTGAGGATCAAAAGAGAATGAAAGAAAGAAAAAAAAAGTCATTAATCACCCACCAAAGGGAGCTGTAGTTGGCATTTTTCTGGTCACTGAGGCATTCAACAAATGCTTTGCACTTCGCTTTGTAGTTTACAGTTTAAAAGGGTCCCTGCCCGGAGATCTCTTTTCTACCCCACCTCCCCCATTTTCCTCTCCTGGGTCCTCCCTAGTTTGTGTCAAATCCTCATCTGGAAAGTAGCTTGGTTGCCAGAACTAAATGCCTTTGTACATCTTAATCATACAGATAGTCAGGACCACGGGGAGCAGCAAGGGCAGGAACAGGAGGGGCCACCTGCGGGGATCTCCATCTGCCCTGGGTAATGGTGAGGGTGAGGGAGCAGCAGCATTGCCTTGTTAACGCAACTCCTGTCTTGAAAGTGCAGCGTCCTATCTTGGAGGCAGATACCCGGCCCCAGGCAAGAGAACAGCAGGAGGAAGTAATATTACACTTGGGAGGTGCAATGCTAGCAAGGAGAGGGGTTGGGGAGAAACGCTCCTACCCCCTACGGATAACTGATTGGGACGTGGGACCTTAACAAGTCCGGCGCGTGCACCACAAAGGTCAGAAAGGTCGCAGCCGGGAGAAGCTGATGGAAGACTAGCCTGTCAGTCTAGCCTCGGGAGAAGAAGCGATTGGTCGTGGTTAGACCTCACCCTCCCCAGCTCGCGGGAACTTGGGAAGTTCATTGGTCAGTCAGAGCGTCCCACACCTGAAACTCATATAAACGCAGGGTAACGGAGGGCCCTTCTCTTGCCCAGTTGGAGAAGATCCTACCCTGTGAGTTGGCGGGATCTCGTGGCTCTGGAAGCGACCTGGCTAAGGTCAGTACCTTCACGTTCCAGGACGGAGTCGGAAAGCGGACAGCAGCCAGGAGCCAGATGAGCTGCCCGGGTGACTCTCAGCAGCAACTGCGGTCCCCAAATGATGGTACTTTGAAGCAGGAGTTTTGGACGCGGCCTCCTGTTCTGGTTGGGCTGAGGACGGCCGGGGTTTCCTTGGTTTTCCTGAGGGAATGGGCTGTGAGACGAGAGTCTGCCATTCCCCGGGACCCTGCAGATTCGGAATGAAAAACCGTTTTCTCAGCAGCCTCTGGCTCTAGAGCGTTCCTATTGGGGGCGGCGAGCGGCGAGCGGCGAGCGGCACGCCCACTTTGGTTCTCTAACAATAAGATGCCCTGAACGGGAGCTGGCACTTAAACGCGAAGATCGGATACTTTGTGTTTACGATCTTTCGATTTCCAGCGCCTCTGAACTCTTTATAAAATTGTCTGCCAGTCAGCACGCCATTGGGGACCCCTGGCTGGTGAGCAGGAGATCTGGGGAGGGGCTACCGCGTCCTTCCCCCCCTCCACCCAAGCCCCCGCTTAACCGCAGGTTCCCTCTTCCTTCCTCCTTTCACTCAGCTCCCCCTCCGCCCCCCCACCCCATGTACCTGAATGCACCCCTCTGTCCCTCTCCTCCTACACCCTCTGCCCCGCTTTGTAGTTTCCGCCTTTAACATCTTTATTGCGCTTTCTTGGCCCCGAGGCCCCAGATCCCTCACGAACGCCAAATCCGGGACTTCGTGCCGCGGGGGCTTCTGGGACTCGGAGCCACGAGCCCGCCCCTCAGGCACCGGTGGGTTCAGCAGCGCTCGCTCTGAGGGGAACCAACAGTGGACTTGGCGGCGGCGCGCGGTTCTGGACAGTGTCGGGGGCCGGCCCGCGCAGGCGCAATGCGATCTGGGTGCCTTGTGGACGCTGGTTCCTCTCGGGTCCGTGTTGTGTGAGGTTGTGCGGGTCGGGTAGGGGTGTGAGGAGACTGGTTGCGGATGTGGGTGGGGTCGTGCGGGTGAAGGTGATGCCTGTTGCTCTGCGTGTGTGTGTGTGTGTGCGCGCGCGCGTGAGAGAGAGAGAGAGACAGACAGACACTGAGACTCTCCGGCCGTCTCTGGGAGTGTGTCTCTGTGTGTGTCACCGCGTGAATGCGCGAGACTACCTGTGTCTCGCCTGTGCTCATGTGTGTGTTAGCTGCCCGTCTCGGTCTCTCCGGGGTCCCTCAGTGTCCACGTCTGTGTGCGCGTCTGCCTTTGTTTCCGTCCGCGGCGTCTCAGCGTGAGGGCGCCGTCCAGGGGTCCCCCTGTGACTGGTCTCTTCCTCGGCGCCGGTCTGTGTGTCAGGTGTGAGTGTGTCTGTGCGTGTGGGTCTGCGCCTCTCCAGTCCCATCCTCCCCCTGTCTGTGCGCCCCTGCGCCTCTGTCTGTGGGCGCGGCTGACGTGTGTGAGGGTGCGACGGGGGTGCCCTCCCGGGAGCGCGGGGAAGACGCCCTCCTGCACAGGCGGGCCTGGCGGCGCTGCCTGCCCGCGGGCCCCACAGCCCGTCTCCTTCCCGCCCCCAGAGGCTCCCCTGCCCCCGGGAGGGCAGGGCGTGTGTGGTCGCCAGGTGCGGGGCTGAGGAAGAGGGTCAGAGGCCCCGACCCCATGGTGACTGGGGTGGATTTATTCACGGAGGGTGTCTTGGGTGCTCAGGGTGTCGTTCTGGGCATTTCAAAGGCTTCCCCGTGTGTCTGAGGTAGAGACCCTCACCATCCTGATTTTGCAGATGGGAAAACTGAGGCTCAGAGGCTTTAAGTGAAATCCCAAGTCGACACCCAGGCATTCAGGTACCAGAGCCCCCACGGTAACCACCCCACAGTGGGAAATCCTTGTTTCCCCTTGTAAACAATGGATGGCAGGAAATGCTGGAAAGTTTGCACAGAGGAGAAGCAGGAGCACCCATCACCCCTGGCTCTGCAGCCACATATCTAGGGCCACTCTGGGTTCAGTGGTAACCAGTCCCGTGCACATTACCTTTCCAGGGCCACTGTTCCTTCATGACCTCCTTTTAAATAAAGTAAAATTGGAGTAGTGATTGCATTATTGTAAAGAGAAAAATAGTCAAGGCTGGATTAGATTCACGTTTTCTATTATGACATTAAAAGAAATGAGGATATTTTCAATGGTGCCACCTGTGTCAGCCTCCCTGGGCCCACTATGCTTCCTTAGTAAGGCAGACCCCAGGGGTACGGGGCAGAGGATCCTGTTCCTCCCTCAGGCTATGGGATTGGCTGTGTGTGCATGTGTGTGCATTGCAGGAGTGTCAATGTGTGAATGTGCAGTGTGCACTAAACGCATGGACTGATGTCCTCAGCCCCACTCTTGTCTTCTTGGGCACATGGCTTATCTTCCTGGGCTTCAGTTTCCTCACCTGTGAAATGGGGTGAGTGGAAATAACCCCCACCTTGCAGGATGTCAGGAGGATGAAATCACGGATGTTATCCGAGGACCTTGGATGGATGGGGCCCTGCATACATTCACTATGAACCTGTGTGTGCGAGTCTTCGTCTGCCCGTTTCACAGTGAGTGTGTCTGTCACGTCTGCATTGCAGGCCAGGTGTCCACCTGATCTCTCACTGTGCCTTTCTCTTTCTCCCTGTGTACAGCCTGCCCGTGCCTCGGTCAGCATGGGCACTAGAAGGACGGCCACCCAGATGCGGACCAAGAAGGCCCTGGTGAGTCATGTCACCCTTTAGCGCCTCCTTCCTAAGGGTCATGCATCTGGGCAGGGATGACCATCGAGCCATGCAAACTCCATCAGGACCCAGACCCCTCTCCCTGCCTCTTGAGATTTTGTCCACCCTGAGTTGGGAGAGTACTCTCTTGACACTGGTGTTTTTCAGCCTCAGGGGACAGGATGGCTCAGGAGTGCCCTGTTCTCTCCTAGGGTTCTCAGGAGACACCTGTGGGCACCTGGGATGTGGCAGCTTAAACATATTCAATGAAGTGTGACAGAGGCTTCAGCCAGGAAATGCTGGATGAGGGACCTTCAGAAGTAGGCAGGGGGCAAGAGATGCTCAGGGGACTGGAGAGGGTCAGGAGGAGGACGCCTGTGGTAAGGGACCAGTGGATGTCCCTGGCTGTCATCACGATGTTTTATGAAGTTTTAGTGGGTGTCCGTTTGCGGTGTTTTTCTCTAAATTTCCTTCTATGGAAGAAATACTTTACAACAGAAATGTACAGATGTATGTAGTTCAGTTGGTTCGAGGGTCATCTTCATAGGCCAAGCTTGTAGATTTGATCCCTGGTCAGGGCACTTTGGAGAAGCAACCAATGAATTCATCAGTATGTGGAACAACATCTCTTTCTCTCTGTCTCTCAATTAGTAAATTTATATAATTAATGTTTGGGGCTAAATACTTTTTTTCTTTTATTACCAACAGAGGAAATATTCATTGAGTTTTAGGTAGAGAGGAAGAGAGAGACACACACAGACATGAGAGAGAAATATCAATTAGCTTGATGTCTCAGTTTCTTACGGCATCGTCCTGTAAACCAAATGGTTGTGGGTTTGATACCTGGTCTGGGATGTGGATGATGCAAACTGACCGATGTTTCTCTGTCTACTGACTCTGCCTACGTCTCTCTCTAAAATCAACATGTATATTCTCGATGAAGATTTTTTGAAAAATAGAGCCTCACTTCATCTCTTTGTAGTGGGGTGAGGTTTTTCTTGTGGCAAAGGGGTTTGTGACATTAGACAAGAATCCAAAACAGATGGAGCCTGGAATCAGTGGCCTAGTCATGTGCCCACAGACCATTCAGAGGGCTTTGGTGCACTTTGATGGAAGTCCCCTTTCTATGGGAATCTCCCAACCCTTATGAAGAGGGGCCCCGTGTCTCACCTCCCACACTTTTGCTGTAGAATGTAGAATGTGCTGTAGAATTTCAATACATTGAGCTTATTGGATTGGCCAAAAAGACCGTTGCGTTTTTTCTGTAAAGTAAAAGATACATTGTACATTTCCACTAGTACTTTATTGAATTGGCTATTTTGGCATCGATGACCTCAGAGCCCCAGTATGCCATTTAAGCCTAAGGTCTTGACCCTCCAGTCCCACCTGGAATCTCCCCCCATGGACCAACCTCAGACCACCCCTCCCAATTTCCCAGACACCCGTGAGAGCTGCCACTTCTGAGGCCCCTGTCACGATGGTATCGACCAGTTTAGGGTTCATTGCAGGCGTTTCCGTCTCACATGTGTAAGGTGATATGTCATTGTGCTTTTAGTTTCAGCGCTCTTGTGATGAGTGACATTGAGCATTTTTTCCTATGTATATTGGCTATCTGTATGTCCTCCTTGGATAATTCTCTGTTCATCTTTTTTTGCATTGTGTTGTTTGCCTTCCTACGAACAGCCCTGTAATTTTTTTTCTGTGCTTTGAACAGCGCCATAATATCTGTCCGTCCAAGGACTATCCACTGTACTTAGGCACTGAGGACACTGAGTGGTCAGGCCCTTCAGAGGTCCGCACCTGGTTGACACCACCTCAGGTGCATCCTGTGTGCCTTCCTGATCCTCATCTCCTGACGTCTATGAGGAGGGCCCTGTGGTGAGTGGTGTGTGCTTCCTGTTACAGGGGTTGGTGGCGTTCAGGGATGTGATTGTGGACTTCACCCCGGAGGAGTGGCAGCAGCTGAAGCCTGTGCAGAAGGACCTGTACAGGGACGTGATGATGGAGACCTACTGGAACCTGGTCTCGCTGGGTAAGGAGGTATTTTTGCCTCGTTACTCACCACCTGCCTGTCACTTCAGGATGACATGGAAATAGAAAATATGGACAGATCGGACATAGAGGAGGTTCAAATTACTTGAAGCTAAAAGTAAAGTTGATAGGCGATGAAGTGGGAAAGAGTATTTACTGCATGTATAACATTCATAGGATATAAGCTTATAAACAGGTCCTCGCATGAACGAGAGAAAGACCAAATGAATAATAGGGATACAGACTCAGCTTATCAGCGTGCAGTTCACAGATGTAGAAATGCATGGAGTTACACTTTACAAAGGTTTTGAACCATACTGATTCTTGCCCATGAGGTACACAGCTATAAGAAGAATAGTAACCCTGTGCAAGTGTGGTTCAGTTGTTTGGAGCATTTTCCCAACTTGACAGGTTGCATTTTGATTCCATATTAGGATGCATACCTAGGTTGTGTGTTCAATCCCAGGTGGCGCATATCCAGGAGGCAACCAATCAGTGTGTGTTTCTCTCTTGTGAATGTTTCTTTCTCTTTCTCTCTTTCCTCTCTCCCTCTGCACCCCCTTCCTCCCTCTCTAAGAATATCCTGGGGTGTGGTATAAAAAAAGAGTAACGTCATCATGTGTTATGAGGGTTCAGGGAAAGGAACTCCTCATTTTAGATGCTTGACGTTGGGACAGCTTCCAGAGAAATGCCCTTGATTCCCACCTACGAGACTGACCGAACAAATGAGGGTGTAGCAATATGGTAGAAATCACAAAGCTCTTTAACGATGAGTACTCTTTCTTGTCACTGACACAGAGAGATGTCCCTGAAAAATACTGCTCAGTAAAAAGTAATTTTCACAATAAGTGTATGTTCCCATTCCTTTAATAGTTTTTTGTGGAGTCTAACCTGCAGTTAAGTGCGCCTAGTTAAAGTGAATAGTTTGATGCATTTTCATACTTCTATTCACCAGGGAAATCATAGTCATGATGGAGATACACCCATGAGCCTTAATAGTTTATCTTTCCTTTCGTCCACCCTCCATCCCCCATGACCACCGTGGCTTAGTTTGCCTGTTGTAGTATTTTATATATGTGGAATCATAAAGCACATACTTACTTTTATTTGAGTTCTTACCCTTGGCATCATTTCATTAAGGTTTAACCACATCATCTGTATGTATTAAGAGTTCCGTTCTTTTTCCTTTATTTTTTTTTAAGGTTTATTTCTTTATTTTTAGAGAGGGGAAGGAAGGGAAAAACAGAGGGAGAGAGACATCAATGTGTGGATGCCTCTCGAGAGCCCCCTACTGGGAACCTGGCCTGCAGCCTAGGCATGTGCCTGACTAGAAGTTGAACCAGCGACCTTTTGGTTCGCAGGCCGGTGCTCAATCCACTGAGCCACACCGGCCAAGGCTGTGTTCCTTTTTTTTTTTTAAGTTCTCACCGGAGGATATTTTGATTTATTTGAAAGAGAAAGAGTAAGAAATATCTACTTTGTGGATAGATCATCATGTGTTTATCCATTCACTTAATGATGAAAATTTGCATTGTGTCCAGATCGAGATATCTTTCTGTAGACACATGACGTGCTTTCTATTGAGAATGGTTGGGTCGTGTATAGATGTGTATTGAACTTTTTCAGAAACTGCCAAACTTTTCTCCAAAGCAGTTGCCTCATTTATCATTTCCACCCACAAGAAGTGCATGTTGCATTGGTTTACGTGCTTATCAGAACTGAATATGCTCAGTGTTTCTCATTGCAGCCCTTCTCATTGGTGTGCAGTCTTAGCACAATCCAGCCTGCCACTGAAACGAGGACTTTTCCATGTGCTTATTTCCATTGGTATTTCTTCGGTGAAGCGTCTGGTTCAAGTCTTCTGTTGTTTTCATTTGGTTGTTTGCTTCCATATGATTCCATTTTGAAATTTCTTTACACACTCTTCTGTTGTTAAGTTTTGTTGTAAGACCTTTATCAGATATGTGCTTTGCAACCATTTCTCCCATTCTGTGGGGTAGTCTTCTTTTCCTCAGTGGCATCATTTGGAACACCCTTGTTTTTAATGTTGATGGGGTCCAACTTATTTATTTTTTGTTCCTTGTGCTTTTGATGCCATATCTGAATGACCATTGCCTAACCAAAGGCTACAAAGTTTTACTCCTGTTTTGTTTACAGCTTTTAGAATTTTATCTCTTTCTTTAGGTCTTGGGTACATTTTGAGTTAATTGTTGTGAATGATGGAAAAAGGGGCTAACATCACTGATTTTTTTATATGTAATTTATTGTGGTGATATGGGCTAATAGAATGATATAACTTTCAACTGTACAGTGCTTTTTAAAATTTATTGATTATGCTATTATTATTGTCTTTCGCCCTCCTCTACGTGGTAGCCCCCTTCCCTACAGCAGTACCCCCGGCCCCCAGTTCATGTCCATGGGCCACACATGTAAGTTTTTTATGTTCTCCACTTCCTCTACACTTGTTCACATCCCCCTTTCTGTTCTGTACCTACCAACTTATGCTGCTTAACCCTCCATCTTTGCCCCCATATCTCTCCATTTCCCTTCCCAGCTGATAACCCTCCAAATGATATCCATATTTTGGGTTCTGTTCCTGCTCTGGTTGTTTGCTTAGTTTGGTTTTTAGATTCGGTTGTTGATAGTGGTGAATTTGTTTCATATTAATATTCATAGTTTTGTTGTTCTCCTGAAATAAGCCCTTTTCACATTTCATGTAATAATGGCTTGGTGGTGGTGAACTCCCTTAGCTTTAATCTTTCTGAGACGCACTTTATCTCTGTTTTCATTCTAAATGGTACCTTTCTGTCTAGAGTAAACTAGTAAACTTTTCATCACTCTGAAAACTTCTTAGCAGTCTGTTCTTGCCTGTAAAGTTTCTTTTGAGGAATCAGCTGACAGTCTTATGGGAACTCCTTTGTAGGTAACTCTCTGCTTTTCTCTTCTTGCTTTTAAGATTGTGTCTTTATTTTTAAACTTTGGCATTTTAATTATGATGTGTCTTGGTGTGGTCCTTTTTGGGTCCAACTTGTTGGAGCCTCTCTGTGCTTCCAGGACTTGTATGTCATATTTCTTTCACCATATTAGGGAAGTTTTCTTTCATTGTTTTTTCAAATAACTTTTCATATTCTTCCTCTTATTATTCCCTTTTTGGCATCCCTATGATTCAGATGTTGGTACATTTGGATACGTCCCAGAGGCTGTTTATACTATCTTTGTGTTTTCGAATTATTTTTTTTTCTTCTTGCTGTTCTAGTTAAATGATTACCTCTTCCTTATGTTCCAAATCATTACTTTGAATCTCGGCTTCATCCTCTCCACAGTTAGTTCCCTGTAGATTTCAGTGTATTTCACTTATTGTATCCTTTATTTGTTCCTGGGTCTTTTTCATTCTGTTGCTGTACTCATGAGTGTTGTGCGTCCAGATAAACAGTTTTTGAAAGCTGCATCTGACAGGTTGATTATCTTCATTTTGCTTTGTTAATTTTTTGTGGTTTTGTTCTGTTCTTTTATGTGGGCCATGTTTCTTTGCATCCTCAATTTGGCAGCCTCCCTGTGCTTGTTTCTGTGTATTAGGTAGAGCTACTGTGACTCCCTGTGTCGGTAGTGTGTCCTGTTGTAGAAGAGGCACGTGTAAATTGTGTGGGGCGGAGCCTTTGGTAACTGCCAGAGCAGGGCAACCCGTGTCACCACTTTTTGGTCCTGTGTGGGGAATGGCTCAGAGAGGGGACAGTGCTCCACCAGTCTTCTGGAGGTTTGCCAGGGATGAAGCTGTCCCTCAGCACTCACCCTATTTCCTGATACTTTACTTTCTCCCCATATGCCAGTGGTACCCTTCCACCTGTTGCGCTGGTGCTGAATCCCAGAGTGGGTGGGTCTGTTTAAGCCTTAACTCTGTGGGGAGCCTTTAAGAGGAGTCTCCTGAATTCTGGCAGTATCTTCTGCCACCCCAACCCCAACTGGTTTTTATAGCCAGAAGTTATGGGGGTTTATCTTCCATGCCTGGAACAGTGGGCTGTGTGGTCTGGCCTGGGGCTGGGGTTCTTCACTCATGAGGTATCCCTCCTGATTTTTATCCAACTCATGGGTACGTGGGACATCTCCTTGCCACACTTCATCTCTGCTCCATTCCATCCGTCTTTGGGACTCCGTCCCTTCTACTTTACTGGATCAATGTGGCTTCTTTAAGTCCATGGTTGTCAGACTTCTATACACTTTCTTTTCTGATGGTTCTTTGTGATATTTATTTTGTGGTCTAGTTGTGACTTTTTTTGCAGTTGTGTAATGAGGCGAACCATGTTTACCTAAATCTCCACTTGTCCGAGTTATTCATAGGAAGAAAAATAAAAAGAAATGCCCTAGATGTGTACCTACGAGACTGAACGTACAAATCAGGATGCAGAATCATGATGGTAATCAGAAAGCTCTTAGAAGACGAGCACTCTTTGTAGTCACTGATACAGAAAGATTTCCTGTATAATATTCTTCAGGAAAAACACTAACTTTCAGAATTAGTATACAGTTCCATTTCTTTAACAGCTCTTCTGATGGTTTAAATTGACCTACTATTAACTGCACATAGTTAAAGCAAATGATTTCATGCTTTTTCACATTTGTATCAACCAGAAAGAAAATTTTTCTTTCATTTCACCCATCCCCCTCCTCTCTGACCACTGTGGTTTAGTTTGCCTATTCCAGAATTTTTATATATGGAATCATATGGCATGTATTCTTTATTTTTTATCTGATTCTCCCAGCGTGGTTAACTACATGTGTGTCATCATCTCTTTTCCTCTCCTTTAGAGTTGCAGACCAAACAAGACATGAATGAACTGGATCAAGAGAATGACTCTTGGGAAGACAGACCATCTATTGCAGTGGTGGTGGAAGGACTCATGAAAAATGGAGCCCAGGGTTATACCTGTGAAAAAGCAGGGATTCAGGGTAAGAGGGTGGGGCATTTGAACATATCCCAAGTGTCAGCACCTGAATGTTTTGAATTTAAGACATTCATCCACCAAAGCCCCAAGCTATCCCTGGCAAGACTGGAGCAACCAAGAGGATCTGGGACGAACCCCTTCACCATGTGTGAGAAGAGCTCAGGTACTTCAAACCTTGGTCCTCCCCCTGACGTTCCTGCAGAGAAGACATACAGTTGCGGACAGTGTGGCAAAACTTTCGGCTTAAAGTCATCCCTTCGGAAGCACCAACGAATCCACACCAGGGAAAAGTCATATGTGTGCGGGGAGTGGGGCAAGTCCGTCAGCCAAAAGGGTAACATCATGCTACACCAGCGAGCACATGCTGTGGAGAAGCCATATGTGTGCTCAGGCTGTGGTAAGGCCTTCAGAGAAAATAGCCGTCTCATTGAGCATCAGAGGATCCACACTGGAGAGAAACCATACACGTGCGGGGACTGTACCAAGGCCTTCCGCACAAAATATTACCTTCTCCTGCATGAGAGGACGCATACCGGGGAGAAGCCGTACTCATGTGGGGACTGCGGCAAAGCCTTCAGTCAGAAATCAGGCCTCAATACGCATCAGAGGACACACAGCGGGGAGAAGCTGCACTCATGGGGGGCGAAGCCTCATTCGTGCAAGGACTGTGGCAAAGTCTTCAGCCAGATTGCGAGCCTTACTGTGCATCAGAGGACGCACACTGGGGAGAAGCCATATGTGTGCGGGGACTGCAGCAAAGCCTTCCGCACAAAAGGGCACCTCATTGTGCATCAGAGGACACACACTGGTGAGAAGCCACACTCGTGTGGGGACTGCGGCAAAGCCTTCATCCAGAAAACAAAGCTCAATGTGCATCGGAGGACACACACTGGGGAAAAGCCTTACAGATGTGGGGACTGCGGCAAAGCCTTCAGAGTAAATTGGCGCCTCAGTGAGCATCAGAGGATCCACACTGGGGAGAAACCGTATGTGTGTGTGAACTGTGGTAAGGCCTTCAACGAGAGTAGGTGGCTCATTGATCATCAGAGGCTGCACACCGGTGAGAAGCCGTACACCTGCATGTACTGCAGCAAGGCCTTCAGCAGCAAAAGTTACCTTGTCCTGCATGAGAGGATACACACTAGGGAGAAGCTACATTCCTGTGGGGACTGTGGCAAAGCCTTCATCCAGAAATCAAAGTTCAATGTGCATCAGATGACACACACTGGGGAGAAGCCTTACACATGCAGAGACTGTGGCAAGGCCTTCAACCAGAAATGGATCCTCATTATGCATCAGAGGATACACACTGGAGAGAAGCCGTATGTTTGTGGGGACTGCGGCAAGGCCTTCAGTATGAAAGGGCAACTCAGCCTGCATCAGAGGACGCACACTGGGGAGACGTTTCACTCGTGTGGGGACTGCGGAAAAGCCTTCAGGCAGAAATCAAACCTCAACGTGCATCAGAGGACACACACCAGAGAGAAGCCTTACGTGTGCGGTTACTGTCAGAAGGCCTTCAGCCACAAATCAAGCCTCAGTGTGCATCAAAGGATGCACATCAGGGAGAAGCCATACATGTGCGGGGACTGCGGGGAATCCTTCATATTGAAGAAGTGCCTACTTAAGCATCAGAGGACGCACACCGGAGAGATGCCATATGTGTGCAGGGACTGCGGTCTGGCCTTCAGAGAGAATAGGCACCTCATCGAGCATCAGAGGATGCACACCAGAGAGAAGCTATACGACTGTGGGGACTGTGGCAAGGCCTTCAGTTAGAACTATAGCCTCATTGGGCATCAAAGAGTGCACATGTGGGCCCTGGCTGGTGTGGCTCAGTGGATTTAGTGCTGGACTGTGAAACAAATGGTCGCCAGCTCGATTCCCTATCAGGGTACATGGTGGGTTGTGGGCCAGGTCACCAGGAAGGTGCGCTCAAGAGGCAACAACACATCAATGTTTCTCTCCCTCTCTCCCGATGTCTAAATAAGTAAATCAATAATCTAAGAAAGGAAAAAACAAACAACCAATGCACACGGGAGAAGAGATGCACGTGAGGCCAGTTTGAACTTTATCAAGTACTCCTTGTTAAGGAAGCAAGAACTCTCTCTGGAAGCACAGGCACTTGAACACGGGGGAGTAGCCCTACCAGTGCTTTAACTGCAAGAAGCCCTACATGACCAGTTCATCCCTACAGAATCAGCTGACCAGCCACCCCCTGGAGAAGCTTTATAATTGCGGCCAGTTGGGCAAACCTTCATCAGGAACTTTTTCATCCTCGCCCAACAGGTGATCCCCATGGCAGACAAGCCCTATGAGTCTGGCAAGTGCAGGAAAACCTTCAACAGGAATTTCTACCTCAGGTTACAAGTAGCATGGAATTGGTAGGGGGGGTTGTCTCAGAACCCACACCTGACTGGCATGTCCTGAGCCCATGGGTCAGTGCCAAACTTGATATTGGAGCCCACGGGTAGGGTGCAAGAGAAGTCCTGATCAGACATATCTTAGGAATTTAGGTGCTGAGGACAGACCACGGCATTCTCACCATTTGCTTCCACAGCACCTGCAGAGATGTGTGCGAAGCAAGCCCGCTACGTTTGTTTAGTATCTAGGAGCTCAGGCAGGAACACTGGCTACAGAACAAGCTGGAGTAAACTGTCCTAAGAGCTGGGACAACTCCTGTAGTGTGTCTGGGTCTCCCATCTCCTCAGTAGTATAATGGCAGAGGGGGAGGAAAATGGAAGAGGGTGAAGTGGGCTCCATGGGACATGGTCACTTTGTCACATATTCCTGGATCTAGTCCACAGGTCAGGTTGTCACCATCTGTGTGTTTCTTCCTTTCCCCCACACACAGCCCCTCATTTCCATGCAACACCAGCTGGAAGACCCCAAGCTCCTAAGCTATAGAAGTTGCCAAACGGTTCATGATGAGGAAAAAAAAAATTTTTTCAGGATGAGGAAGCAACAGTATTCTGTTCAGAAATCAGAATTTCTCATAGTGGTCTATTGAAGTATTTTTAATTAAAACTGCTTAATTAAATTAATCCAACATCATTTTAAATAGTAGTCAGGTAGAATGCATGCATGCACCAGTAGTCCTTTCAATGAGTGCCCATGCTCACTCATGGTGTGGGAGGACGAATACCCCACAGGAAACCCCGGAACACAGCAAGCCTGCCTCAGGCCACCTGTCCCTCTAGGCTCTGGACCTTGGCTTGGGAATGGTTCCACTATATTTCATGCTTATTAACAGAAAAGGTTTCCCTGGGGTTTGCTGGTCTCCCATGACTATGGAGAAATATTAGCAGGAAATTACATAGGTCCATCTCCCCACCACACACACTAGCAGCACCAGGAGGCTTGTTCGATTTCCTGTCTCCTTTACATGGGTACTCATTTACACAGTGAACATTCCCTATGGTATAAAATTTCATCAGGGAATTTTCCTTTGGCCCATGTTTCTTAAAGAGCTGCCTCGCAGGGAATGTTTCCGGACAGGTGATCACCTGCTTTTCGGAGAGGCTGAGGTTGTGAGAAGAGAAGGAGAGGCAAGTGTGAGGCTTGCATTTTTTTCACCGCCAAATTCCATGTGGCACAGGAGATTCATGTGTGTGGACAGAGGGGTTATGGAATTGGGTCAAGGAGAAGCCTGAGTTTTCCTTCCTGCTTAAGAGTGGAGGAGAGGGTGTTTGAAGAGATAAGAAAGTGGATGCCTCATACATGAAGACCTAGGATTTCTGTATCCTCTGATAAGCAGGACTCTGAAGACAAGAGGCTTCAGGTGAACAGGAAGGCACTCTGAGCGCCTCCTCTGTGCCAGGCCCTGTGCTAGAAGCAGGGAGTCCAGGAGTGAGCAAACCACAGCTCCTGGTCTGAGTCCCCACTGCTCATTTCTGAGGGAGTGGAAAGGTGATGAGGTAGAAAGCGAAGGGAGGGGCTAATTGAGCTCTGTCAGTCTGAGGATCTGAGAGGGTGATCTTGGATTACAACCCCATTCAAGGGAAGAGAAGACACTTGTATAGATATGGGGGGTAGGACAGTGTCCTCTCACTCCAGGGCTCAGTGTAGTCTTGCTGAGAAGAGAGGAAACATTGACAACACTTAATGATCCATACTTTCTTGTAAATTTCTTGTATGCAAGAGCATAAAACAGGCAGGATAGTACAGAAAGTAGAAAGTTTACATTTTTAATATTGTGCCTTTAAAATGGCATTTTATTTTCTTCCAGGCAGAAGATTGTAACATGAAATATAACATTGGTTTTTAAACCTCACCTGAGGAGATGTTAATTTTGAAAGGAGAGAGAAGTGAATGCGAAAAACATCTATCCTGTGCTCTCCATGTGGCCCTTGACCAGGAATTGAACCCACAATCTGGGTATATACCCTGACCGGGAATCAAACCTGAAACCTTTTGGTGTATGGCATGATACTCCAACAAACCAAGTCACTGAGAGAGGGCATGAGATCTACCATCTTAACACAATTTTACATGTATAAGATGGTACCATTCATTACAGGACAATGATGTACAGCAGCAGACTGCTAGGACTCCTCCACCTACATACTTGAGACTGCCCACGTAATGTTAAATCTTCAGGTTCATGTTGCATTTCTTTGTTTTGCTGTGTTAGATGTTTGCTCTTTAGCCTACAAGAACCAAGCTGGCACAGGTTTGTCCAGGTCCACGTTTCTTGGCCTCCAGTTCTTAGGTGTCCAAAGTGAGGGAGCCACCAACCTGTCTTCGTAGGAGGGTATCATTTCTGTGTTTAAAAAGTATGTCTATCCCTGCTGCTGTGTGTCAGGGGATCGAGTGCTGACCTGCGAACCGAAAGCTCACTAGTTTGACTCCCAGTCAGGGCACGTGCTTGGGTTTTGGGTCAGGTCCCCCATTGCAGGCACATGAGAGGTAAGTGACCGATGTTTCTCTCACACGTGTTTCTGTCTTCCTCCCTTCTACTTGAAAAGTGTGTAAAAGTCTTAAAACAGTAAGTATATCTATAAACTGTTACATGTAACTATAAATACATATACATAGCAGTAGAAGAAATACTACTACATTTGTCCAAGTTGTGACTCCGTTTTGATGCATCTGTGAATGTTGGTAAATGGCCACTGACTGAGGCCACTGAAACTCCTGGACCAGGTCCTGGAGCCTTGGCCACTCCTGTGTATCTCCCAAAGGGTGAGAGCTGGTGGTGATCAATATTTAGACTGGTTCTTACTTCTGTACAGTTGCTAAGGTACTGAAATGGTGCAGTGGGCAGACAGAACACAGCGTACTTACTCATGACACCAGAACGTGGGACCCACCCGGTGGCTCAGTGGGTGCGAGCTTCATCCCAATATAGTAAGGTTGTTGGTGGGATCCCCAGTCAGGGTACAAACAAGAATCAACCAATGAATGTGTGAATGAGTATAAAAACAAACAGTTTTCTCTTTCTCTAAAAAAGAAAGTGGCAGAGGAGGAGATGCAAGTGTGAAGTTGGAATTTTTTCACTGCTGGATTTGATATGGCACCAGGACATTTATGTGACAGTGAAGGTATGATGGGGTTGGAAGAGGGGTTTTTTCTTTCCTGCTTAGTGTTGGAGGAAGAGGTTGATTGAAGAAATAAGAGTGGATGCAGGATACACAAAGACCTATCATGTCTGCATCCTCTGATAAGCAGAATCTCAAAGGACAAGGGGCTGCAGGTGAACTGTGAGTCACTTGCTTAACAAGTATCTGAGCACCTCTTCTGTGCCTGGAATGTTCTATGCACTGGAAGTCCAGCAATAAGCGAACCACAGCCCCTGGTCTCAAGGAGCCCCCACTGCTCATTTCTGAGCAAGATCACAGGCAATGAGTACAAAGTGAGGGGCGGGGCTGTTTGAGTTCTGGCAGTTAGGGGGCCTCTCAGAAAGGGACATTGAGGCATGTTCCCAGTTAATAAAGACAACTGTGCCCTCTCAGGCTGTGCCTTTTGGTGTCTTGGGGAGGTCCTTATTCCCTGCATCGTTAACTACACGTGTTGTCGTCTCTTTCCTACTCCCCTCAGACTTTGAGACTAGGCCTGACATGAAAGAACCATGGCAAGGGAGACAGAAGCACTTGGGAGGAATTGGCCCCTGGGTTGAGCCAGCCAAGGAGCGGGGACACAGGGTGACCCTATGGGCCGGCGACAGTGGATTACAGGGACCTGTAGAAAGAGGTCATGCATGTTCTAAGTGTTAGACCATGAATATCATGAATTTAAGGCATTTGAACAGCAAAGCCACTTGCCTGCTCCATGGAGATGGGAAGGACCAAGCAGGCTGAGTGAGTATCCCTTCACCAGGCATGGGAAGAACTCAGGTACTTCAAGGCTCATCCACCATCCTAAATTCCCAGAGAGAAAAAGTCCTTCCAGTGCATGTATTGTGGCAGGCTTATGGCTATAACTGGTGCCTGAAGAAGCACCAAGTAATCCACACAGCGAGAAGCCCTTCCTGCATGCCATGTGTGGGAAACAGTTCACCCAGCAGTTGTGCCTCACAATCCTCCATTGAGTACCCATGTTGGGGTAAGACCTACAAGCACTCATCTTTCAGAGTGTTCCTACACGTGCACTGGACCAGCCACAGCAGCGAGTAGTTTTTGTATTATTTTTAGCATTCATTCAAAATTCTTATCCTTAAAGATTTTTGTTTACCATAATTGCTACTAAGCCTAGATAAGTTAAACTGATGCTTAATGAAAAAAACATTTAGGGACAAGAAATAAATTTTAAGAACATAGGGTTTACAGGTTATAAGATGAAATAGTAGTCCTTCCTGAAGCCCTCTTCCCGTGTGGAGGCCCCAAAGAGATGCCAATAGTGCATCAGGAGGACCCCGGTTTAAATGGATGCATGTGTAAATGCCAGTGGTTTTAGAATACGAAATCTTAGTTTCTTCTTTCAAAAGGTGGAGCCTAATCCCCTCCCCTTGAGTGTGAGATGGACTTAGTGACAGGCTCCTAAAAATAAAATCAAGTGGAAGCAATGGCACGCAACTTGAGAGATGAGGTCTTTCCTCACTTGGATCTGAAGGGAGTCAGCTGCCATGTAATGAGGATGCTCAACAGCCCTGTGGAGAGGCTTATGCGGTGCGGAACTGAGGCCTCCTGCCAACAGCCAGGGGAGGAAGTCATCTTGGAAGCAGATGTCAAGCCCTAGTCAGGTGTTCCAGTGGCTGCAGCTCTGGCTGATTGCTTGAGTGAAACCTCACGAAGGACCCTGAGCCAGAACCACCAGCTTGGCCACTCCTACTAAATTTCTGGCAGGTGGAACAACCTATTTGTAAGGTACCTCGAGATCCAGAAAGTGCCTCTTCAGCTGAAACCCAGCCTTCTGGTGCCCCTCCCTGCAGGGCTGTTTCAGTTACAGGAGGAAAATCCTCTCTCACATGACGGACTGTCCCCTGGTGCAGCCAGATTTCTTATGGGAAAAAGTGCCTTCACTCAGGCAGGGGCCTCAGCCACAGCCTAGATGTTTTACTTAATGTTTCATTTATGCCTCACCCACAGCCTAGGTCATGTTTTAGTTGATATTTCACTCTTGATGTTGATAGTGATCTATTACCAATAATAAATAGCAAATGATATAAGAATGGTGTTCTATTAACCAAACAATATAAAAAGCATTTATTAATAAATTGGAATTTAGTTTCTATTTTGTACATGTTGTTAATTCTTTGAGATGCTTCTGTGAATGTCAGTAAATGGCTGCTGACTAGGCCCTTGAATACTTGCCCCTGGCCATGTGGCCTTGAGCATCACCCTTTCCCATCATCAAAAGAGGGGGAGCTGGTTGTGATTAAAACTTAGACTGCCTCTCACTTTTGTATAGTTGCTAATTTACTGAAGGGCTCCAGTGGGACAGACAGAGCAGTGAACTTAACTACGTGTCTTGAAACTCAGACCCAGCTGGTGGGCCAGTTGGTGAAGCATTGCCCAGATGTGCCAATGTTGTGGGTTTTATCCCCAGCCAGGGTGCATACAAGAAAAAACAACAATGAATCCTACAATGTATGGCATCAAAAAAGAAAAAAAATCAATGTGTCTCTGTCTCTCGAATAAAAAAATAAAAAATTTAAAAAGTAGATTCTTCTCCCTTGTCGGGTGACCCTTCATATAGGAGTCTTCACTTGGTGCCATACAGTCCTGTTTTCTGGGCCACCGCTGATGTCCCGGAGGAGAGAAAAGATCCTTTGCCCATGGCTTGATCAGTCTTACCCAACAGGGATTCTATGATTGTGGGTGACTCAACTGGGCAGACTATGTGCTGCACCCAGCCAATGGATGAACTTGATTCAGCTCACTCAGTTTATTTTCAGTGTAATGGGTTGTCCACATTACATGAGTGTAATATTTTACATTTACAATCATGCTTTATTTATTTAACCTTCGGGGAAAAAAATCATAGAATATCTGGTTGCCCTGGCTGGTGTGGTTCAGTAGATTGCGCGTCAGCCAGTAAGCCAAAAGATTTCCTGCTCGATTCATGATCAGGGCACATGTTGGGTTGTGGACCAGGTCAGCCCTGGCCAGGTCACTCACTTAGATGAAGCGTTGTCCCTTGCTCCAAAAGATTTCCGGTCAAAACAAATCTCTAAAATCCGGTCTCTAAAATCAATTACATATCTTCCAGTGAGGATCAAAAAGAATGAAAAAAAAAAGTCATTAATCACCACCAAAGGCAGCAGCAGTTGGCATTTTTGTGGCCACTGAGACATTCATCAAATGCTTTTGCACTTGGCCTTGTAGTTCATAGTGTAAAAGGGCCCCAGCCTGGAGACCTCTTTCCCGTTCCACCTACCCGATTTTCCTCTCCTGTGTTCTCCCTTATTTGTATCATTATTTTCATCTGCAAAGTAACTTGATCGCCAGGACTAAGTGCCTTTGTACATCTTAATCATACAGATAGCCAGGCAGGACTACTGGGAGCAGCAAGGGAAGGAACAGGAGGGGCCACCTGCAGGGATATCCATCTGCCCTGCTCAATGGTGGGGCTGAGGGAGCAGAGACATTGCCTTGGTAAGCGGCTCCTGACTTGAATGTCCGGCATTCTATTCTGGAGGCAAATACCCTGACCCCGCAAGAGGGCAGCAGGAGGAAGTGAGCACTGCACCGAGTAGGCGCAAAGCTAGCAAGACGCTTGGACTCGGGAAAAGCCCTCTTACAACCTGACTGGGGCGGGACTGGACAAGACTGGCACGTTCACTACAAAGGTCAGAATGGCTGCAGGGCGGAGGAGCTGGATTGAAGACTAGCCTGTCAGTCTAGCCTGGGGAGAAGAAAGGAATAGACTTCGCGCGGGCACACCCCCGCCCCCGCTCACGGGAATCTGGTTAGTTCATTGGGCATTTAGACTGTCCTACACCTGAAACTCATATAAATGCAGGGTAAGGAAGGGCCAGTCTCTTGCCCACCTAGGAAGAGATCCTGGGACCTTGTGGCCCTAGAAGCGACCTGGCTAAAGTCAGGGCCTGCAGGTTACAGGAGGCAGCTTCAAACCGGACAGGAACACGCTGAGCTGCCTGGGTGACTGCCGACAGCACGAGCTGTTCCCAAAAGATGGTACTTTGAAGCAGGAGCTCTGCACACGGCCTTCTATTGTGGTTTGGCTGAGGACGGCTGGGGGTTTTCCTCGGATTTTCGGAGGGGATGGGCTCTGAGACAAGCGTCTGCCACTCTCCCCAACCCTGCAGATTCTGAATGAAAAACCTCTTTCACACCGTCTCCGCCCCTAGACCTTTCCTACTGGGGGCGACGGGCAGCGAGCGGTACCCCCACTTTGGTTCTGTAACAACAAGGTGCCCTGAACGGGAGCTGGCACTTAAGGCGAAGATCTGATACTTCCTTTGTGTTTGCAATGATTTGCTTTCCGGAGTCTCTGAACGCTTTACAAATTTCCTGCAAGTCAACAACTGCATCGGGACTCCTGGCTGATGAGCAGGGGCTCCAGCGTCTTTTCCAGCTTCCACCAACGCCCCGCCTTTTCTGCAATGTCCCTCCCCCTCCCTTCCCTCCAGCTCGCTCGGGTCCCCGCTCCACCTTGCGGACCGCAGTGCACCCCCCACCCTCTGGTCCCACAGTTCCGCGCACCCCGCTCCTCCCTGTCCAGCGTCCTACTCTGTCGTTGCCTCCCTTTCCTTCTTTACTGCGCTTTCTTCGTCCTGACGCCCGAGATCGCTCACGAACGGCGCCTTCTCGACCGTATTCCGTTGGGTCTTCTGGGGCGCGGAGTGTCGCGACCTCCGCTCAGGCTCGGGTTCTCCCGGCGGCGCTCGCTCTGAGCGGAGCCGAGAGAGGACTGGGCGGCGGCGCGCGGGGTTCTGGGAAGTGCCGTAGGCCGGTCTGCGCAGGCGCAGGGAGATCGAGGGTCCCAGCGGACGCGGGTGGCTTTCCTGAGGTTGCCGAGTGGTTAGTGCCTGCGGACCAGGCAAGGGCGTGAGAAGACGGGGCGGATCTGTGTGCTCCTGCAGGTGAAGGTGGTGCCCGTGGGGGCATGGAGTGGGTGGTGTGCGTGTGTGTTGGGCTGAGACTCCCCGGCCGTCTCTTTGTGTGTCGGGGTTCGTTACCTCGTGTCTCCGGGAGGCCCCGTGTCTGGCCTTTCCTCTTTCGCGGGTGTGTCGGCTGCCCGTCTCGGTCTCTCCGGGGTCCCTCAGTGTCCACGTCGTCCGTGTGCGCGTCTGCCTTTGTTTCCGTCCGCGGCGTCTCAGCGTGAGGGCGCCGTCCAGGGGTCCCCCTGTGACGGGTCTCTTCCTCGGCGCCTGTCTGTGTGTCAGGTGTGAGTGTGTCTGCGCGTGTGGGGGTGTGTCTCTCCTGTCCGAGCCTCCCCCTGTCTGTGCGCCCCTGCGCCTCTGTCTGTGGGCGCGGCTCACGTGTGTGAGGGTGCGTCGGGGGTGCCCTCCCGGGAGCGCGGGGAAGACGCCCTCCTGCACAGGCGGGCCTGGCGGCGCTGCCTGCCCGCGGGCCCCGCAGCCCGTCTCCTTCCCGCCCCCAGAGGCTCCCCGGCCCCCGGGAGGGCAGGGCGTGTGTGGTCGCCAGGTGCGGGGCTGAGGAAGAGGGTCAGAGGCCCCGACCCCATGGTGACCGGGGTGGGTTCGTTCAGGGAGGGTGTGTTGGGTGCTCAGGGTGTCGTTCTAGGCGTTTCCAAGTAACTGAGGTTGGGACCCTTATGGTTCCCGTTTTGCACGTGGAGAAACTGAGGTGCAAAGACTTGAATTACCCAACTCCACACACAGGCATCTGAGTTCCAGCGCCACCACACTAACCACCCCACAGATGGCAAATTCTTGTTTCCCCTTAGAAACAATGGAGGGAAGGAAATGGCAGAAACCTTGGACAGCGCGGAAAGTGCAGGGACAGCCTCCACCCCTGGCGCTGCAGCCACAGATCCGAGGCCACAGTGGGTTCAGCGGTCACCAAGCCTGTGCACATGCCACTTCCAGGAGCACTGTCTCTTCATGACTTTTTAAATATAAAAGTAACAATTAGAGTGGTGATTGCATTGCTGTAAGGACGAGAAGAGTCCAGGCCAGAGTACATTCGAGTTTTCTCTTAAGATATTGAAAGAAATGATATTTTCAAGGGTGCCTGCAGGTGTTAGGGCCCTGGGCCCACTGTTCTTCCTTGGTAGATTGACTCTGGAGGCTTCCTATTCCGGAAAAGAGCCTGCCTTGTGTGTCTCACTGTATAGGAATAGCAGTCAGAGACCGCAAATTCAGAGAGAATACATTTCTAAAAATTAAATTCTGTTGAAAAAATCATGAAGTCACTGCATCCAGGGACATAAGATCACTCTTATTTCTAGGGACAACCAGGAATTTCAGACCGGACACCTGACATCTGTGTGCCTATCCAGGGTTTGTTTGTTGGTTGATGGTTTAGTGATTTTTCTAGGAACAGTAGTAGAATAAACATTGGTGACATGTTTATTGATTTTAAAGAGAGGAAGAGAAACAAAGATCAGTTGTCTCCCACTCACAGTGCAACCTGGGATCGTGGGATGAACCTGCAGCCTAGGCCTGGGCCTCGACCAGAAATTGATCCCAACCTTTTATATTCACGACAATGCTCCCACCAGTGGAATCACATGACTCCACTGTACATGTGTCTGATCCGTGAGCCTCACAGTAACCCCAAGGGATCTGGAGGAGTCTCAGAGGTCGGATTCGGTGCTCAGGTGTTTTTCTGGGGCCCATGGCCAGCCAACAGACCCAGCGCACAGGCAGAGGGTCTTATAGTGCCCTCCAGGCTGTGAGACTGGCGGTGTGCGCATGCATGTGTGTTGGGGGAGTGTCAGTGTGTGGGTGTGAGGTGTGTCCAGGCATATGAACCAGTGTATGCTTTGACCAATTCTAATCTTAGCCTTGTCTTCTTGGGCTCATGGCTTATCTTTCTGGGCTTCAGTTTCCTCTTCTGTGAAATGGGGTGAGTGGAAATAGCCCTCACTTTGCAGGCTGTGAGATGGATCAAATCAGGGAAGTTTGTCTAATTCTTTGAATGCCATGGGCCCTCTGCACCCGTACACTATTAACGCGTCTGCATATCTGTCTCTCTTTCTTCTAGTAGGTGTGTCTGTCATGTCTGCATTGTGGATCGTGCCTCCGTGTGATCTCTCACTGTGCCTCTCTCTTTCTTCTGCTGCACACAGCCTGCCCGTGCCCAGGTCACCATGGTCATTGGAAGGATGGTCACCCAGCCACTGACCAAGAAGACCCTGGTGAGTCATGCTATCCTCTTATACCTTCTTCCTGAGGGTCAGGCTTCTGGGCAGGGGTGACTCTCTGCCCCCCACCAAACTCCCTCAGAGCCCAGGCCCCAACCCAGTCTCCTGAGGTTGTGTCCTCCCTGAGTTGAGAGAGTACTGTCCTGACAGTGGCCTTTTTCTTCTCTAGGGGACAGGATGGCTCGGAAGTGAGCTGTCCTACCCTGGGGGCTCTCAGGAGACACCAGTGGGCCCCCGGGAAGTCGCGGCTTAAACATTTTCCATGAAGTGTGACAGAGGTCACGGGTAGGCCATGCTAGAAGAGGGACCTTCAGAAGTGGGCAGGGGACACTAAATGCTCAGGGGACTAGAGAGGGACAGGAGGATGACGCCTCTGATGGGGGACCTGTGAATATCTCTGGCTGTCACCGTGATGTTTTATGATGTTTAAATGGGTTTCTATTTGTAGTATTTTTCTCTAAATTTCCTTCTATGGAGGAAATACTTTACAATAAACAATATACAGATGTAGCTCAGTTGGTTACAGGACCATCCTGATATGCCAAGATTGTGGGTTTGATCCCTGGTCACAGCACAAACATCAAGCAACCAATCAATTCATCAATACATAGAACGGCATCTCTTTATCTCTCTGTCTCTCAGATCAGTAAGTTATATATGTGTGTATACACACGCATATATACACATACATATACAGACACACACACACACCCCTAGGTGTGAATCTTATTTTTTTTTTTAAATATATTCGCTAGAGGATATTCTTACTGAGTTTTAGGGAGAGAGGAAGAGAGAGAGAGAGAAATACATATGTGAGAGAGAAACATCAACCTGTTGCCTCCAGCACGCAGCCCAACCCTGGACTGAACCTACAACCTTTTGGCGTACAGGACAACGCTCCCACGAACCGAGCCATTGTCCAGAGCTGGGCATTAATCTTTGTCCTGCATTTTGAATGCTTTTTCTTCTTTTTATTTTTTTAATTATAAATGGTAAAGCAACTGTGTAAAGATTTCATTTATATTTTAGTAAGAGTATAAGGGAGGGAAAAATAAAGGGAGAGAAACATCATAGTGGGAGACAAACATCGACGGGTTGCTTCTTACATGCCCCAGTTGCGAACCTGGCCCACAACCCAGCCATGTGCCCTGACTAGGAATCAAACAGGGGACCTTTGGTTTCAAAGGCCAGCGCTCGATCTACTGAGCCACACCAGCCAGGCTTTATGATTTCATTAGGTGCGATTCCTTCCACAGAAGCTTGAGAGGGGTATTTTTAAATCCTGAAGGAGTTCATATTTACGGGTTGGGGGAGTTTATTCTCCCACCACCATGTAGCCGGGGCTGCCTCTGTGTCCTGTTGGCCATTGTTTGGTGCTTATTCTGCTCATTGAATAGAAATTACAAGGATACACTATGCTTGTGATAGGTGAGAACTGATGTCCCGTGATGTGTTTCTATGTAGCATTGTTTGTAGTATTAATGACATTTGTTTTATAGAAAATATGTATTCCTCCCTGGCTGGTGTGGCTGAGTGGATTGAGCGCCAGCCTGCGAACCAAAGGGTCTGTGGTTCAATTCCCAGTTGGGGCACAGGCCTGGGTTGCAGGCCAGGTCCCCAGTAGAGGGCACATGAGAGGCTACCACACATTGATGTATCTCTCCCTTTTTTTCTCCCTCCCTTCCCTTCTCTCTCTCTAAAAATAAATATATAAAATCTTTAAAAAAAAGAAACAATAAAGCATAATGCACCGAAAATGTTGCATCTTTTTTTCCACCATCATTATTAAAATAGCAGCACAAAAAACTCACTAGTTTTGATATTTTTTGTGAATAGCACACAGATGTGATAGCTCTCATGGTACAGTCTAACAAAATGGTTTCAAATTAAGTTAAGGATGACTAGACGCTGCTAGAACCATCGTATGGAAAAAATATAACAGACTTTTTGGCCAATCCAGTCCTTCAAATTTATCAAATTACATAGCTGTAATATGTGCTGCTTCTAGTATACCAATTATACCTCAATAAAGTGGTTTAAAAAAAATGTGTGTGTGTGTGATGTGTATCTATCCCTGGCCTTGAGATGCAGGTGGTTGGAGCATTGTCCTATGCACCAAAATGTTGTGGGTTTGATCCTCTGCTCAGGGCAGATTTGAGAGTCAGTTGATTGATGTTTCTCTCTCATGTTGATGTTTCACTATCTCCCTCTTTCTCTCTCAAATCAATAAACATATCTTCTGAAAAGGATTACAATAGAAAGAAATTATTACCCGGGCTTTCCCAAAGGATGAATGGGGCAAAGAATCAAATAATTATTTAAAATAAGTATTTTTTAACGTTTTAAAAAAATTTTTTAATTTATAAATCATGTTTATTCTATTACAGTTGTCTCTATTTTTCCCCCTTTACCCCCCCATCCATCCCTCCCCCACCCCCCACTCCCGCAGTCAAATCCCACTCTGTTGTCCATGTCCATGGGTCATTCATACATGTTCTTTGTCTAGTCCCTTCCCCTTCTTTCCACCATTGTCCTCTTTCCCTCTCCCCTCTGGTCACTTTCAGTCTGCTCCACATTTCCGTGCCTGTGGTTTATTTTGTTCATTAGTTTATTTTGTTGAACAGAGGCCACTTATAGCTGAGATCATTCAGTATTTGTCTTTCATCAACTGGCTTATTTCACTTAGCTTAATATTCTCCAGTTCCATCCATGTTGTCACAAAAGGTAGCAGTTCCATTTCTTTCTTTCTTTCTTTCTTAAATGCAGATTGAGTTTATTTATAAAATAAGTATTAGTGATGAGGAATATATAGAAGAGATACATGAAACGCCCAATTAATCACATGATAAAAGCAGTAGTTGCCATTTCTGAGACTTCCTGCAGCCAGATCACACTGTGGAATCACACACGCGTGACCCCATTTAACCTCGTAACAGCTACAGAGGGAGTGTTGGTACTAGGAGCTCCATTGAACAGACGGGCACAGGAAGGTTAGGTCGTCAGAGGCATTGACAGCCGGTGTGTGGGGCAGAGCCCAGGTTTGTTCATGGGCTCTGAAGACCCACACTGTTAACCACTGACTGCCCTGTACTGACCCTTCATCACATGGTGGTGGCTCACAGGTAAGTTCTGCACTTGCGGAGGGTGACCCGTGATTCATGCATAGTCCGTGACCAGCAAGCCATTCAGCTTGGCGCGGGGCAGCAAAGCACCACAGACTGGGTTTCTTGAACCAAAGGATTCTATACTCGCAGCCCGGGGGCCCAGAAGTTGGAGACCAAGGCATCAGCACAGTGATGCCCCCTCTGAAGGCGCCAGTAGAGTGTCTGTTCCAGGTGTTACTTTCAGCTTCTGCTGGTTGTGTGGCTCGTGGCACTGTAACTCCCATCCTCACGTGACGTGTCCCTGTGTGCACGTTTCTCTGTCCAAATTTCTCCTTTTTAAAAGGACATCAGTGCTGTCACCTTAGGGGCCACCCTTCTCCAGTGTGACCTCATCTTACCTCAGTACACCTGCAGGGTCCCTGTTCCCAAATCAAGTCCCATCCTGAGGTGCTGCGGGTTCGCACTCCAACATAGTAACTCAACACGAAACTGAACAAGTAGCATGGCTTAGACTAAAACCTGGTACAGAACAACTGCTTAGTGTTTGGCAGATGTCATTACTGCTGTGGTGACGATGTTGTCATCATTATGTCATCTTCATCCACAAAGTGCTGAGCCACATTTATTTCATACACAGGGTCATGTCATAGCGTCCTCAGTGCTCTCTTGTGCCATTTAAGCCTCAGGTGTTGACTCGCCTGCCCCCACCCAGTGTATCCCTGCAAAAATCCAACCACAGACCACAGCTTCCAGCTTCCCAGACACCCCCTAGAGTTGCCACTGCTCAGATACCTGTCATGATGATACTGACCAAATTGTGAGTCAGCTACGGGGGCTTCTGTGTAACAGGCGTGAGGTGATATCTCATTGTGTTTTCAATTTGGCAGCTCTCATGATACTGAGTGTCTTCCGTATGTCCGTTGGCCATCCATATGTCCTCTTTGTAGAAGTGTCTACTCAGACTCCTTGCCCACTGTTGGATTTTTTCCTTTTTTTTTTTTTGATATTGAGGTAGGGTTTCATTTATCTTTTTTTGTATATTTTATTGATTATGCTATTACAGTCGTCCCAATTTCCCCCCTTTGCCCCTCTGTGCCTGGTACCCCTCTTCCCTCCAGCAATTCCCCCTGCCTTAATTCATGCCCATGGGTCCTTTGTCTGTTGTTTAAGTGGGTTGTTTAAATGGGTTGTTTGTCTTCCTGGTGTACAGCCGCATGATTTATTTGTCCCTCCAGTGACCATCCGCTGTACTTAGGCACCAAGGACACTGAGGGGTCAGGCCTTGTTGATCACCTTGTTGACACCACATCGCATGCATCCCGTGTGCCTTCTTGATCCTCTTGGCCCCTCTGGCCGAGTCTCCAGACCTCCGTGAGGAGGGCCCTGTGGTGAGCGGCGTGCGCTTCCTCTTACAGGGGTCAGTGGCGTTCAGGGATGTGATTGTGGACTTCACCCCGGAGGAGTGGCAGCAGCTGAAGCCTGCGCAGAAGGACCTGTACAGGGACGTGATGATGGAGACCTACTGGAACCTGGTCTCGCTGGGTAAGGGGGCAGCTTCACCATGTTACTTTCTGCCTGTCACTTCAAGGTGACACAGAAAGAAAAATGTGGACAGATCTTACAGGTAGGATGTTCAAATTACTGGAAGCTAAAAATGATAGATGATGAAGTTGGGAAGAGTGTTTGCTACATGTATAACAGTCAGAGGATTATAAATATAGAGAGTTCCTAGGATTAAACGAGAAAAAGACTGAACGGATAATAGAAAGATGGACTAAACTGAGCAGACAATTTACAGTTGTAGAAGTGCATGGAGGTACACATTACAAAATATTTTTAAACAAATAGTCAAACAAGTACCAAACATAAGGTACACAGACATTAAAAGGAATACCTGCCCTGGCTGGTTGTGGCTGAATTGGGTGGAGTGTCCTCCCCTACTCCAAAAGGTTGCAGGTTCAATTCCCTGTCGGGGTACATATCTTACTTGCCCTGTTGAACCCCGGGCGGGGCACATTCAGAAGACAACTGATCTGTGTTTCTGTCTCTCATCAATGTTTGTCTCTTTCTCTCTCTCTCACCTTCTCCCTCTCTATTTACTTCCTCCCTCTGAAGCATATCTTTGGGTGAAGCATGGAAAAAAAGAGTAAAACAAGTATGTAGTATAAAAATGTAGGGAAAGGTGTCCTCATTTTAGGAGCATGAAGTTAACATCTGTTTTGGGAGACAGTTTCGTGTTACCAACCAAACTTCAAATGATTCCATTTCTAAAATAAATGTGATAAAATGTTTCCTATGGTGTGCAGAGTTTTTGTAGGAAGGAAAATTCCGAGAAATGCCCTAGGTGCCCACCTGCAAGACTGACAGAACAAACCAGGGTGTAGCAATGTGGTGGGAACCACAGTGGGCTTCCAAGATGAGCAGTCTGTGCAGTTACTGACACAGAGAGATGTCCTTGAGTAATATTGTTCCTCTAACTTTCAGAACTAGTGTACGGTCCCATTTCTTGAACAGCTTTGGTGGAGGTTTAACTGACCTACAATTATTGCAGATAGTTAAAGTGAACGATTTCGTGCATTTTGACATTTGTATCCACCCAGGAAATCATTGTCGTGATGCAGACATGTCCATTAGCCCAAAATGTTTTTCTTTCCTCTCGACCACCCTCCATTCCCCAGCCACCAATGTGGTTTCGTTTGCCTGGTCTACAGTTTTATATATATGGACCCATATGGCACATACTCTTTTTTTTTTTTTTTTAATCTGACTTCTTAACTGCTCATCGTTTGAGGTTCACCCACATGGTCTGTATGTATCAATTGTTCCCTCTTTTTTTTTTCTTTACTATTTTATTTATTTATTTTTAGAGAAAGGGATGGAGAAAGAGAGGAAGTGAAATATCAATGTGTGGTTGCCTCTCGAATGCCCGCAACTGGGGACCTGGCCCACAACCCAGGCCTGTGCCCTGACTGGCAATTGAACCAGCGAACTTTCGGTTCTCAGGCTGGCGCTCAATCCACTGAGCTACATCAGCCAGGGCCATCTGTTACTTTCTTTGGGGATTGCACTTACGACCATATTCCCAACAGAGACTCCTCTCTCCAATCTCTGCAGCCGTAAGCCAGTTATGTCCCCAGCATTTCTCAGGCCCATGGACCCCAAATAACTCACCATCACCCCCCTTCCCTTTTCCCTCTGGAAACTTACCATCAGCTTTCATGTCCCAGGCCACCCCCTGCTGTGACATCCAGCGTCACCCAGACACCGCAGGGTCCCAAAACCAGGATCTTTCTACTGTGTACTTCCCAAATCCTTTCCTCCAGAATAGGATATTTACAGAGGCCAGATAGTGACCCAGGGATTGGTTCACGTGATCGAATTTGCTGAGTGATGTTTTGGCTGTAGCTCCGGAGCCTCAGTTTCCGTATCTGTAAAATGGGTATTATCTTACCAGCAGTCACTTACGTGCGGTGTGGGCTACCTCATTCCATGCCAGCGTGTGGCTGGCGCTCAGTGAAGGTTTGAGGATGAGCACCTGTAGGGCAGCCTGGGGAAGGGCAGGTGCAAAGGCTCTGAGGCAGGAAGCACTGGGCATAGACAAGGAAATCAAAGGGAAACAAGGATGAGTGGGGCTGGACTGTGTAGGGAAGTCGGAAGAGGGAGAGGGCGTTTCCTCTGGTCCCCAGGGTACTGGGAAGGTGCTGGAGGGTTTGGTCTGGTTCTGACGTCCTCTTCCCGTGGAGTGGACCGTGGGTGGTAGAGAGCGGGGGAGCCTGCTGCATCGGCGGCGGTGGCCGTGCGTCCATCTGGGCCAGTTCAAGCTGTTGTCCTGTGTTAACAGTCTGGATGGTGGGAGGGAGGGGTGACTCAAGGATGACGACTAGCCCTGGCTGGTGTGGCTCAGTGGATTGAGCGCTGGCCTGTGAACCAAAGGGTCGCCGGTTCAATCCCCAGTTAGGGCACCTGGGTTCCTGGATTCCCTAGGTTGCAGGCCAGGTCCCCAGTAGGGGGTGCATGAGAGGCAACCACACTTTGATGTTTCTCTCTGTCTCATTCTCCCTCCCCCTCTCTAAAAATAAATAAATGAAATCTTTTTTTTTTAAAAAGGATGACTACTAGATCTTTTTTTTTTTAATTATAGAAAAAATTTTATTAAAGATTTCATTTATTTACTTTTAGGATAAAGGGAAGGGAGGGAGAAAGAGAGGCACAGAAATATCAATGTCTGGTTGCTTCTTACCTGCCCCCACCTGGGGACCTGGCCTGCAACCCAGGCCTGTGCCCTGACTGAGAATTGAACTGGCGACCCTTTGGTTTGCAGGCCAGCACTCAATCCACTGAGCCACACCAGCCAGGGCAAAAAATTTATTTTCTCAGTGGTTGCAAAGCATATATAACATAAAATAACCATTTAACTAGTTTGTTTTTGACCATTTAACTATTTTTATGTGCACAGTTCCATGGCTTGAAGCACAATCACATTATTGTTCAACCATCACCACCATCCACCTCCAGAACTCTTATCTGTCCCCAGCTGACAGTCTGTCATCTCTGAACACCAGCTCCCCATCCCCCATCCCCTGTGCCTGGCACCCATGTCCTACTTTCTGTCTCTATTGCTTTGACAGTTCTGTTTGCCTCACAGGAGCGGAATCATACTGTATTGGTCATTGCGTGTCTTCCTAATTTTTCTAAGTTACTCTGATGGGTCTTTTCCTGTTTCCGTTATTGGGGCCTGGAGGTACCTAAATCACTTGTTTACATCCAGTGCGTTAGGTTTGTGATGCTGGAGAAGGATGCCCTGCAGGCCTTGGATTATTCCTCAGCGGAGCTCAGAGATGGGGTCTGGACAGGGGCTTCCATTTAGGAGGTGTCAGCATAGAGACAACCCCGGGCTTTCAGGACTCAGGGGAGAGGCCTCAAACTCAGGTGTTGTGGGGCCAGTCGGGGCTTAAAGGGGGAAGGGGAAAGGGGGACAGCTGCTTACCACTCCCACTGTCTTTGTTGCCTCCTAGGAAGGAGGGCTCTGTGTGGCTGGACCTTCCCTTTTTAAATGAAGTTTTTGTGTAAGACCTCACAGTTTTTAATGTTGGGAGGAACCCTGATGTCCATGTGCAGAGTCCGGAACTCAAGACAGCCCCTAGGTGGACACAGAAATTATGGAATCTACAGGACACACACGGAGGGGACTGGAGCGGCTGTGGTCAGCAGGGAGGGACGAGTGTGCAAAGAAGAGTGGTCCGGCCCCAGCTGCCAGGGCCGGCCGCTCCTGGGCTACGTAGGAAAGTGGGTGCTTGGCTCGGGGGACACAGAGAACAACCAACACAATCACGCGTGAGTCAGCTCTCACTTTATCGTTTCTAATTACAGTCAATTATTTGAGAAGCACTTCTGGCCGGGGGCATGCCGGAGGAGGCCTGGAAATGAGGAGCTTGGTGCAGTCAACAGTCACTGGGTTTAGGGATGCCGATGAGTCATGCCTCCAAACCCGTCTTCCTACTCTTTCCCTTCAGGCACCTGTCTTCCCATCTGGGCTCCGCTGTCCGCCTTTGCACCTACTCGCAAGGTTACATTTCTCACTCTCCACTTACCTCCCTCAACCTCACCATCTCCAATCACTGCTTCCCTTCTCCCTGTGTCCCCACGACAGGCTGTCCCACGCTCTTAGACTGTGCCTGGCGGTGGCTTGGGAAGATTCTCCTTCCCGGCATGGTTAACTGCATATGTGTCATCATCCCTTTCCCCCTCCCTTCAGACTTGGAGACTACACCTGACATGAAAGAATTGGACCCACAGGAGGACGATTGGGAAGACAAACCATCTGTTGTGGTTGTTGCAGAAGGACCCCTGAGGGATGGTGTCCAGGGTTCTACATGTGAAGGAGCAGGGACACAGGGTGACTGGACGGGGTGGCAACAGAGGAACCCAGGGACCTGCCTGGGGCATTTGGACATATCCCAAGTGTTAGCCCCTGAATATTGTGAATTTAAGGCATTCATCCACCAAAGTCCCATGTGGGCCCCAACAGTATCAGAGAGACGGAGAGGAACGGAGATGCACCTGTTTACCATGTGTGGGAAGGACTCAGGTACTTCAACACCCATTTCTCTGTCCAACCTCAGTGCAGAGAAGAAGCCATACAAGTGTGGGGAATGTGGCAAGGCCTTCAGCTATAACTCCTCCCTGAGGATGCATCAGCGAATCCACACTGGGGAGAAGCTCTTCTCATGCCATACGTGTGGAAAGCAGTTTACTCAGCAGTCATCCCTCACTATCCACCAGCGCGTGCACACGGGGGAGAAACCATATGTGTGTGGGGACTGTGGCAAGGCCTTCATGCTGAAGGTGAGCATCATCCAGCACCAGAGAACGCACACTGGGGAGAAGCCATACGTGTGTGGTGACTGCGGCAAGGCCTTCAGGCTGAAGGCTCACATCATCTTACATCAAAGGACGCACACCGGAGAGAAACCGTTCATGTGCGGGGACTGTGGCAAGGCCTTCAGACAGAAAGGGAACCTCAAAGAGCACCAGAGGATGCACAATGGGGAGAAGGCCTATGTGTGTGGGGACTGCGGCAAGGCCTTCAGCCAGAAGACAAACATCATCCGGCACCAGAGAACGCACACGGGGGAGAAGCCATATGTGTGTGGGGCCTGCGGCAAGGCCTTCAGCCGGAAGGAGACCCTCAGCGAACACGAGAGGACACACAATGGGGAGAAGCTGTATACGTGTGAGTACTGTGGTAAGACCTTCATCCAGAAAGGGCACCTCATCCGGCACCAGAGGATGCACACTGGCGAGAAGCCATTCACATGTGGCAACTGCGGCAAGGCCTTCAGACAGAAGGGGAGCTTCAAGGAGCACCAGAGGATGCACACTGGGGAGAAGCCATATGTGTGTGGAGACTGTGGGAAGGCCTTCAGCCAGAACGAGTACCTCACCCTACACCAGAGGACACATACTGGGGAGAAGCCATATGCTTGCGGTCAGTGCAGCAAAGCCTTCAGGCAATACTCCTCCCTCAGGACACACCGGCGCGTGCACACTGGAGAGAAGCCCTACAGGTGCAGTCAGTGTGGCAAAGCCTTTAGCCAAAACTCATCGCTGAGGACACATCAACGCGTGCACACTGGAGAGAAGCCCTATAAGTGCAGCCAGTGCGACAAGGCCTTCAGCAAGAACTGTTCTCTCAGGAAACACAGGCATGTGCACACCGGGGACTAGCCCTACCAGTGCTCTGTCTGCCAGAAGTGCTTCATAACACGCTTGTCCCTGCAGGGGAACGTGACCAACCACCCCATGGAGAAGCTTTATAAGTATGGCCAGTATAGCAAAGCCTTACAGGAACTTCCTCCTTCCTGTCCACCAGAGGATCCACGTGGAAGAGAAGCCTTACGAGTGTGGCAAGTGTGGGAAAACCTTCAGCGGGAACTTAAACCTCACCAGTCACATAGTAGGAAGCTGGGGATCTCAGAGTCCAAACTCGACAGGCAGGTCATGAGCCCATGGGCAGTGCCAGACTTGATATTGGAGCCCATCGATAGGGTGCAAGAGAAGTTCTGCGGAGAGTGGTATTAGGAATGTGGGTGCCGGGGACAGGCCACAACATGCTCACTGTTCGTATCCTCAGTGCCATGCGGAAAGGAAGCCCACCAACAGGTCTAGAATCTGGGATTGTGTCCAGAGGTGCTCTGGCTCCTGACTGAGCTGGAATAAGCTGACATATCACTTTGGACAACACATTTAGAGTCTCTGGGTCTCCATCTCCTGCATAGTCAAGTGGAGGAGGGGGAGGAGAAAGGAAAAAGGGAGAGGCCGGCTCCATGGAACATTGTCACTTTGTCACTCATGCCTGGATCTAGTCCAGAGATCAGGTTGTCGCCATTTGTGTGTTTCTTCATTTTCCCCACACACAACCTCTAGTTCCCCTGCAACACCAGCTGGAAGGTCCCACGCTTGTAAGCTGTAGAAGTTACCAGGTGGTTCACAAGGAGGAAAAATAGATTTTTCAGGATTGGAAATAACTAGTCACTTCAGATACCAAAGTATCTCACAGTGATCTGTTCAATTTTTCAGAATAAAAGTATTAATTACTTGAGACCAATGTCATTTTAAACAGTTGTCAGGTGCAAAAGATGCAGGTACTGGTTGTCCTGTCCAAATGAATTTCAACACTTGTTGGGAGGGAGCACAAATACCCAACAGGAACACACAGAACCCAGGAAGCCTGTACCAGGACACATGCCCCTTGCAGTTCTGGATTCCTGGCTTGGGGATGGTCGCACCATCTCGCATGCTTGTTAGGAGAATGGTTTTCCCTGGGTTTTTCTGGCCTCCTTGTACCATCGAGTATTAGTAGTAGGAAAAGACATCTTTCCTTTTCCTGTAGCATCAGGAGGTTCAGTGATTTCCCATCCCCTTTACATGGCTGCTCATTTACCCGGTACATCCCTCCCTGGCATGAAATGTCATCAGGGGAATTTTCCTTTGGCCCAAGTTTCTTAGAGGGCTGCCTAGAAGGGAGTGTGTCCTGACAGGTGATCACCTGCTTTCCTGAGGAGCTGAGCGGTGGCAAGAAGTGGAGGAGGAGGAGAGGCAAGCACACAGCTGGCAGTATTTTCGCTGCTGAATTCGATGTGGCACAGGGAGGTTCACGTGACTGATGTTGTGAACAGGGGCGTGACAGAATGGGGTCGAGTGGGAGCCTGAGTTGTTTCCTTTCTCACTTAGTGGAGGGGAGAGGCTGTTTGAAGACATTAGAAAGTGGATGCCTAATACATGAAAGCCTAGGATTTCTGCTTCCTCTGATAAGCAGGAGTCTCGAGAAACGAGAGGCTTCAGGTAAAAGCAAGTCCTTCACCAGGTATCTGAGCGCTGCCTCTGTTCCAGGCACTGGGAGTCCAGTGAGTGAGCCATAGTCCCTGATCTCACGGAGCCCCCACTGCCCATGACTGAGCGACACCACAGGTGAAGAGATAGAAAGTGATGGGACGGGCTGTTCCAGCTCTGGCAGTCAGGGAGGTCCTCTCTCAGAAGGTGACATTGGAGCACAGCCCCCGTCAGCAAAGACAAGACAGCTGTATAGCGATTGGGGTACAGGACAGCATCCTCCCAGCCCAGGGCCCTGGAGGTTGGAGGAGAGGAAGCATTGACAGCCCCATGGATCATCTTTAGCAGGTGGGCTGAATCCGTTCAAATCTTGTCTGCATAAGAAATGGTGAGGAAGAGCTGAATAGGCCGATAGAGATGGATGAGAGGAAACCCCTGTGTGAGGGGGTGGATAGGAGGCCCGCATTTCTCTGAGTGGACTTGTCAACTCTGCCCTTCTGGAATGCACCCCAGGTGATGGGATGCTTCAGGGTTTGAGGCAACTCAGGTGAGTTTTTTCCATTTCAACCCTTTTGTCCTGCAGAATAAACTGAAGAATTTTCAGTCGTAATGAAACAGACCATTGGGGGCTGATTGCCCTGGGGAAGTCCTGGTGATTCCCTTCACAAGTTGAGTTTGGGCCTCTCCACATGGGTCTCAGGATCTCAAATGATCACTCCTGTAAATAACTCCCCTGTCTGCTCTTTGGGGGAAGGGTCACAAAAACCGGATGCATCTGTTGCTACCTGGGAGAGACCTGAATCGGCCCCTCCCCGCCTCTGGGCTATTTCCTCAGTTCTTGTCTCACTTCCAAGAGAGAAATTCAAGCAAGAGACACCACGTGTAGTGGAAGTGAGATAGCCAGTTTACTTACAAAACATATAGGACAAAGCCAGCCCCCTGAATCTAAATGCCCTACGTCTGGAGGGAATGAAAGTTGTAAGTTCCATACAGTTGAGTGCAGGCTGAGTGGTCAGTCAGCCGAATCAGAGTACAATGACTATTGGGGTTCAGGGTTATATATAGTTCGGTTTTTATGTTCTCCCTTCTAAACCTTGGGCATAATGTACAGCTCCAAAGGCTTTCTCAGCTGGTAAAGGCTTCTTGTCTTAGCTAGGGAGACTGCTACAGAGGCTCCCTTTGCCAGCCCAGAGCCTCACGGACCCCCATCCTCCCATCTTTCCTCCTGATGTTCGGAACGCCCAGGGATTGGAGCGGGCCAGGCTGAATCAGCGGGTGAGATGTGTCTCCTCCCCCACCCAGCCTTAGTTTACTGCCTGTCCTACCTCACTTTCCCCTCCAAGCATTGGAACCCAAAAATCGGGGGACTTTGGACTGATGTTCTCCATGGCTACTTTAGCTGTAAAAAGAACGTTGATACTTCTTTGGGTTCCCTCCTCTTGCTAACTGCTACTTGGAGGAGGTGGAGGGAAGTGCCTGCCCATTGGTGCATGACAGATGTCCAGAGCCTGGGGTTCAGGGGCCGATAGAAATTGTGTCTGGAGGTAATCAAGTTGACAAAAGGGTTAGTGGAGCAGAAGACCTGGGGCTGTATCTGATGGGGTTAAATCCAAGGGGGTTAGAAAAGTCCCTTTCACAGGGAGGAGGCTGAGCATATTGACAGACTGGTGGGAAGATTGTTAAAAAGATGAGAAAGACAATTAAGGCCTGGTGGTGTAATTTATCTGGAACAGGTTTGTTTCTTGAAGAGGAACTTGAGGTCCTTGATAGCTTCATAGGTAGACGTCTCAGGCAAACCTGAACACTCATGTTAGATATTCTCGTTGGTGCCTCCAAACACAGACCCAGCAGGTCTGAATGCCCCGCCCACCTCCACAGCTTTGCTGGGCCTCCTTTCCCCCAAAGGGCAATGAAGCGTTTCCGGTGACCCCGTTAATCACTTTATTCCAGGCAGTCGGAGACCAGGGGTGGGATCCCAGTCACAGCACCAAATATGTTACTAGGGAGAGACCTGACAAGACCCGCCTCTCCCCCCGCCCCCGATTTGTTCCTTCTTTCTTGCTTGGCTCACAAGAGACAAAATCAAGCGAGAGATAAACAGGTATAGTCGAAATGAGGTAGGAAGTTTATTGAAACAATGTGAGTACAAAGCTGCCAGCAGGCACCCAGCTAGTCTGAACGCCCTACATTTGAAGGAAATAAAGTTGTTGGTAAGTGTGTTATTCTATATGCCTCGTATGCTTGAGCCAAGGCTGTAAGTAGGCACTCAGCTAACTAATCATGTTACTGAACAAAAGAACCCGTTGGCTGGGGGGTAGGGGGGAGGTACCCAGATGCTATTACCGAAACGACACCGTCCCCCGGGATCCCTCCGTTGTGGGTCCCTTGCCCGCCACCCTTGGAATTATGGCTCCGAATGACAGAGTTTGGTGAAAAGGAAAAGGAATGATTTATTCAAAAGTTATACAGGTTTTATTAATGGCTAAATGTCACCCTTAAACCTCAAAATCCCTTCGAAACAATCACCAGCACACACACTGTCCTGCCTTCCCCGGCTTTGCCCGGTTATGCCAGTCAGGGGTACCGTCCTTCAGAAGAAAAAGAACAGGAGTCCGGGGCTCGGCTGGGCAGGCCTCTCGCGGGTCTCAGCACCATCCGCTGCGTCGCCAGGATCTCCAGCTCTTAATCCATAACCATGTGGCACCTTCTCCTGGCCCACAAGCAAGAGTCCTTTCTCCCCGCGTGGTCTTCACAGCATTCCCCAGTCTCTGTCCCTCCATCTCTCCTGTAGGTCCCCATCTCACCTCTTTCTCTCCCAGTTACATTCTATATTAAGCCTTTTAAACCTTCCTGATTAGCTTTGGTGACATGCAAAATACTCTCTGCAAATAAGGAATGAAGCTATCCTGTTATTGACATGCAAAATGACTTCTTAATGGCCCTGCTCAAGGCTCCATATCCTCCATGGCGGCCCGCCCTGGGGTGGGGAGAATATATTTTTCTTGGACACCCCACTCTTTGGACCCTTTGCGGGGGCAGGGGGGCCCTGGCTGTGCCCTGTTAGAATCAAAGTGTGCTATTTGGGTTCCGAGCTTATATAGTGTAGTGAGTTTGTACATACCCCTGCTCGCCCCCTTCTAAACCTAGGGGATGATGTACAGCTACAAAGGCTTTCCTTCTCAGCAAGTAAAGGCTTTTTCTCAGTGCAGTTGCTACAGAGGCTCCCTTTCCCAGCAGACTCCCAGGGCCTCCCCTCCCCCACATTGTTTGCTCGTGATGTTCCAAAGGCCTGACCACCTTTCGGGACTGGGCTCCCCGCTGCTGAATAAATGGGTGTGACATGTCTCCCTCCTGTTCCCAGACTTGGTTTGCTAACCATCCTACCTAACGTGCACACAGTGGGATTCTATATAGTTGTTTAAGGGAAAAACAAGTTTGGTGCTGGCCTGGTAGCTGAGTTATAGCATCAGCCTGATACACCAAGGTACATGTTTGATCCCTGGTTCTGGCACATACAAGAATTAACCAATGAATGCATAAAAAAGTGGAAAAACATGGATTTCTCTCTTTCCCAAAATTGGGAAAAAAATCTACCAATGAGTGTATTAAATAACTGGAATAACAAATCTTTCTCACTCTCAAATAATTAAAAAATTTAAAAGTGAAGTAGATTCTCCTTCTGGGGACTTAGATGGAGATCACAGCTTAGCCGGCCTGGCTCAACAGCTTCAACAGGTCTATCTGAAGCGGGGTTCAGCCCAGGCCGGGTGGCTCACTTAGATGGAATATCGCCTGGTGCACCAAAATGTTGCAGGTTGCAACAGACTGACGTTTCTCTCACACATAGATTTTTTTCTCTCTCTCAAAAATCAATACACATATCCCCGGGTGAGAATGTAAATTCAGAGAAGGGAAAGTCATTAATCACCACCTCAGGCGGCTGCAGCTGGCACTTTTGCAGCCACTGGACTTCTGGCCAATGCCTTTGCACTGGGCTTTGTGGTTCACGGTGTAAGAGCGCCCCAGCCTGGAGACCTCTTTCCCACCCCAGCTCCCCCCACTTCCCACTCCTGGGCCCTCCCTTGCCTGTATCACCATCCTCATCTGGAAAGTAGCCTGGCTGCCAGGACTAAATGAGTTTGTGCATCTCAATGCTACAGATGGCCAGGCGGGACCGCTGAGAGGAAAGGGCAGGAAAAGGAGCCTCCTGAGAGCTCCATCTCCCGGGGCAAAGGGGAGGCGGTGGGTGCGGCCTCTCTGCCTTGGTAACCGAGCTCCTAGCCTTTCTCTGCGAGCGTCTTAGCCTCGACTCAGATCCCCTGCCCCAGGCAAGAGGGCTGCAGAAGGAAGTACCGCCCTGAGTAGGCGCCCTGTGACGGGCGGGGGGAAAGGCCCTCTGCACCTGACGGGGCGTGGGACCCGGGGAAGAGACTCACAGGCAGCAAAGGGGTCACAGGGCCGCAGGGCGGAGGTGCTGGACCGAAGCCTAGCCTGTCAGTCTAGCCTGGGAGAGAAGTGACTGGTGGTGTGAAGACCACCCCCAGCCCGGCACGCAGAAATTTGTCAAGTATATTCCGCATTCACCCCGTCTCACACCTGAAAGTACTGTAAACCCAGGGTTAGGAAGGGCCGTTCTCTCGACACCGGGCGAACCTACAAAGCGGTGAGCTAGAGGGACCTTGTGGTCCTGGAGGCGGCCTGGCTGACGTCGGTTCCTGCTGGTTCTAAGGCGGGGCCGGAAAGCAGACAGTGACCGGGAGCGAGCTGAGCTGCCTGGGTGGCTGCTCAGCGACACCTGCGGTTCCCAAAAGACGGTACTTTGAATGGGAGCAGGAACTTGACGCTGCCTTCTAGTCCGGTCTGGCTGAGGACGGCTGGGTGTGTCCTCCGGCTTTGCGGAGAGGAAGGGTTTTGAGACAAAAGTCTGCCGTTCTGCGTGACCCTGCGGCAACTGAATGCAAAGCCTGTTTCTTTTCTCACACGCCTGTCTCGAGATCTTGCCTATTGAGAGGGCGGCGCGGGCTGCAGAACCCCCACTTTGGTTCCGTATCAGTACCTCGACCAGAGCAGGAGCTGTACAGCGCGAACGGCTCATGCTCTCCGACTACCACCGTTCGCTCCCGGCGTCTCCGCACGCTTTCCAAGTTTTCTGCGAGTGGGCGGGACGATCAGGACCCCTGTTGGACGCTGGAGGTCTGCAAAGGGGCTACGCCGCGCCTTTTGCAGTTTCCCCCTCCAGCGCTCTCTGCCTCCGTCCCCTCCTCATCTCCCTTCTGCAGTCTCTTCCAGTCCGCCCCGTCCCTGGGCTTCCTCTCTCCGCTCCCACCTCGCTCCTCCCTGGCCAGCGCCAGGATCCATCAATTTGCTTCCGGTACTGGCTCCGCTGCGCGACCTGCCCAATTACCCCCACTGATCCCGCCTTCTTGACCCCGGTGCCTTCGGGGCTTCTGGGACTAGGAACCGCGCGCGCTTCGACCTATCAGGTTCTGGTTCACCTCACGGCAGGTCAGCAGCGCCCCCTTGAGGGGAGGCCGAAGCCGAGGACTCCGCGGCGCGCTGGGGTTCTGGGAAGTGCAGGCCGGCCTTCCGCGCAGGCGCAATACGGTCCGGCGTCTAGGCGGAAGCCGGCTAGTTCCCTGACGGTGCCTAGTCCTAAGACCGGAGGTCGCGGGGTCTGGCGCGGAAGGAGAGCTTTCGGGTCCCGGAAAGGGGTGTGTGCACTCGTGAAGGGGTGCGGATCGTCGCCGGTTCGTTCGGGTGAATGGGACGCCTGTGGTTGTGTGTGTGTTGGGCTAAGAAACCCGGGCCTTCGCTATGAGCGTGGCTCCGGGTTTGTCACTACTTGTGTCTGCCTGTCCTCCTGTGTCTCGCCTTTGCTTGTGTGTGTGTGTGTCGGCTGCCCGTCTTGCTCTCTTCAGAGTCCTCCTGTGTCCACGTCTGTGTGTATCTCTCCCTTTCTTTCAGTCCGCGGTGTCTGAGAGTGAGGGCGCCATCCTAGTGATCATCTGTGTCTGGTACGCCTGTGTCTGGTGTGAGGGTGTCTGCGTGGGGGGGGGGGGGTGTCTGTCAAGTTCGAGCCTCCCTGTCTGTGCGCCCCTGCGCCTCTGTCTCTGGGCGCGGCTGACGTGTGTGAGGGTGCGTCGGGGGTGCCCTCCCGGGAGCGCGGGGAAGACGCCCTCCTGCACAGGCGGGCCTGGCGGCGCTGCCTGCCCGCGGGCCCCGCAGCCCATCGCCCTCCTGCCCTCAGAGCCTCCCCGGCCCCCGGGAGGGCAGGGCGTGTGTGGTCGCCAGGTGCGGGGCTGAGGAAGAGGGTCAGCGGCCCCGACCCCATGGTGTCCGGGGTGGGTTTGTTCAGGGAGGGTGTGTTGGGTGCCCAGGGTATGGTTCTGGGGGTTTTATAGGCCTCCCAGTAACTCTGAGGTAGGGACCCTCATCATCCCCATTTTGCAGTTGGGGAAACTGAGGCTCAGAGACTTTGAGTGAACCACCCAGCTGGACATCCAGGCATCCGGGTTCCGGAGCCCCCACATCAACCACCCCACAGATGGCAAATCCTTGTTTCCCCTTAGAAACAGTGGATGGAAGGAAATGCCAGAAGGATTGGATGGAAGAGGGGCAGGGGCAGGAGCAGCTGCCACCCTTGGCTCCGCAGCCGCAGACCTGAGGCCACTGTAGACACTTGCAGGGCCACTGAGCCTTCCTGACCTCCTTTTAAATAAACTGAGAACTAGAGCTGTGATTGCATTGCTCTAAGGGCAACAATAATCTAGGCTGGATTGGCTCCCCATTTTCTCTTGTAAGAGGAACAGTAACGAGGATATTTTCAAGGTCCCCTATGGGTGTCAGGGGCCCTGGGCCCCCTGTGCCTCCTGGGTAAGTCGGCTCTTGGGGCTCCCTTCTCCTGCAGTGACAGCCCGTGTCGTTGCCTTCGTGGTTCAGGGATTGGAGTTAGAAACCCCAAGTCCAGGAAGAATACATTTGTAAAAATTAAATTCTGTCTTAAAAATCATAAATGCACTGTGCTCAGGCCCATAACGTAACTCCTGCTTCTGGGAGGCAAACCTGGAGTTTCAGCCCAGACACCCGGCTTCTGCCGAAATCTCCAGGGTTGGTTGGTAGGTTGGTGTTTCTTTCTAGGAACAGTGCTACGATAAACCTCGTTTGTGTGTTTATTGATTTTAGAGAACGAGGAACATTGATCGGATGCCTCCTGCTCGAACGGGACCTAGGATCAGGGCATGAAACCCACAACCTAGGCTCAGGCCACACCCAGGGATTGAACCCGACCTTTTGTGTTCAGGACGGCGCTCCCGCCAGTGCAGTCCCCGGGCTCCTGGCTCCCTCCATGCGTCTGGTCAGTGAGCCTCACAGTAACCACAGACCTGGAGACGTGGAGACGTGGAGGCCTGGAGGGTGGTTGTGGCGTTGGGGTGTGTCGTGAGGAAGGGGCCGGCAGGGCCGGCAGTGAGGTGGAGGCCGCGGCAGAGAGACTTGTTCCTCTCTCCAGGCTGTAGGACTGGGTGTGTGCGCATGCGTGTGTTGGGGGAGTGTCAGGGTGTGGGTGTGACGTGTGCACTCACCACATCAACTCTGATATACTCAGCCCAGTCCTAATCCTGGCCTTATCATTTTGGGCGCATGACTTTTGTTTTGGGGCCTCAGTTTCCTCATCTCTAAAACGGGACGAGTGGAAAGAGCTCCCAGTTTGTAGGGTGTCAGGAGGATTAAGTCAGGGACAATTGTCAAGTGCCTTGGATGCCATTGGCCTCCCCAGTGTGATCACTGTTATGTGTGTGCGTGTCCCTCTCTGCCTGTGTGTGCGTGTCCCTCTCTGCCTGTGTGGGCGTGTCCCTCTCTGCCGGTGTGGGCGTGTCCCTCTCTGCCTGTGTGTGCGTGTCCCTCTCTGCCTGTGTGGGTGTGTCCCTCTCTGCCGGTGTGGGCGTGTCCCTCTCTGCCGGTGTGGGCGTGTCCCTCTCTGCCGGTCTCCTAGTTGATGTTTCCGCCTGTCCTGCCTGCACTGTGGGGCCGGCCTTGACCTGGTCTCTCACGGTGCGTTTCTCTTTTTCCCCTGCGCACAGCCTGGCCGTGTCCAGGTCACCATGGGCACTGGAAGGATGGCCACCCAGCCGCTGACCAAGAAGGCCCTGGTGAGTCACGTCACCCTCTGGCACCTCCTTCCTTAGGGTCAGGCTTCTGGGCAGGGGTGGCCCTCTGCCCCCCCCACGATATCCCTCAGGGCCCAGGCCGCTGTCCGGGCCTCCTGGGGTTGTGTCCGCCCTGGTTGGGAGAGTGCTATCTGGACAGTGGCGTTTTTCTCCCGCAGGGGACAGGATGGCTCAGGAGTGAGCTAACTCTGGGGCTCTCAGGAGACACCAGCGGGCACCTGGGAAGGGGCGGCTTAAACACATTCGATGAAGTGTGAAGCCCGGGCAGAACGTGCTGGGCGAGGGACCTTTTGAAATGGGCAGGTGGCACTAAATGCTGGAGGGGGACTGGACGCCATAGTGAGGGACCCATGAATGTCCCTTATTGTCACCATGATGTTTTACGATGTTTTAGTGGGTGGCGATTTGTGGTATTTTTCTTTATATTTTCTTCTATGGATGAAATACTTTACAATTAAAACATAGATGTAGCTCATTGGTTAGAAGATCATCTTGATGTACCAAGGTTGTGTGTACCGTCCCTGGTCAGGGCACACACGAGAAGCCAACGATGAATTCACCAAGAAGTGGAACAACCTTTCTTTCTCTTGCTCCTGTCAAATCAGTGAGTTTATGTTTATGTATATACATGCACATAGATATGGGGGTCAATTTTTTTTTGTCATCACCAGAGGACGTGTTCATTGAGTTTTAGGGAGAGAGGGAAAGAGAGAGAGGAAGCACAGACGTGAGAGAGAAGCAGCAGTCTGTTGCCTCCCACACGTGCCCCGACCCCAGATCAAACCCACAGCCTCTTGGTGTACGGGACGGCGCGCCAGCCAACTGAGCGATCCGGCCGCGGCTGCACATAAATCTTTGCCCTGCGTTTTGTATGTTTTTTCTCCTTCTCTTTTATTGTTTTTATTATGGAAGGTTGAGCACCTGTATAAAGATCTTTTAATTTTCTTAGGAGGCAGGGAAGGGATGGAGAAATAGAGAGAAACACAATGTTGTGGGAGACAAACATCAGTGGGTTGCCTCTCGCACAACCCCAGCTGGGGACCTGGTGTCCAGCCCAGACCTGTGCCCCGAGTGGGAATGGAACAGGAGCCCTTACGGTTCGCAGACCGGTGTTCAGTCCACTGAGTCCTATTAGCCAGGTCTTCATGAGATCTTTCTTTTTTTTAATAGATTTTATTTATTTATTTTAATTTTATTTTTTAAGTATATTTTATTGATCCTGCTATTACAGTTGTCCCATTGTCTTCTAACCTTTATTCCCCTCCACCCTGCACCGCCCCCACCAGCAGTCCCCTCCTTAGTTCATGCCCGTGGGGCGCACAGGCAAGCTCTTTGGCGTCTCCGTTTCCTATACTATTCTTAACCTCCCTCTGTCTGTTTGTACCTACCAGTTATGCTTCTTATTCCATGTACCTTGTCCTCCCTCCTTCCCCTCCCCATCCCTGCTGATAACCCTCCATGTGATCTCCATTTCTGTGATTCTGTCATTCCTGTGCTAGTTGTTCACTTAGTTTGTTCTTAGGTTCAGTTGTTGATACCTGTGAGTTTGTTGTCATTTTACTGTTCATAGTTTTTGATCTTTTTCTTACATAAGTCCTTTTAACATTTCATATAATAGGGGTTTGGTGATGATGGACTCCTTTCACTTGACCTTATCTGGGAAGCACTCTGCCCTTCCATTCTAAATGATAGCTCTTTGCTGGATAGAGTCATCTTGGATGTAGGTCCTTGCGTTTCACGACGTTGAATACGCCTTGCCTGCAAGGTTACTTTTGAGAAATCAGCTGATAGTCTTATGGGCACTCCTTTGTAGGTATCTAGCTCCTTTTTCTTGCTGCTTTTAAGATTTGCTCCTCATCTTTAATCTCGGGTAATGTAATGATGATGTGCCATGGTGTGTGCTTCCTTGGGTCCCCAGGCAGATGTGGGACTGCCCGGACATCAGCCGCAGGCTCACACACCGAGTCCTCCAGCCCCGTCTCCGCCCCTTCTGCCCGGCTGGGTGACTGTTTCTTCTTTAACTCCTTGGTTGTCGAACTTCCATACACTTCAATTTACTGGCAGTTCTGGTTCTTTTTTGTTTTTAAATTTATTTTCCTTCTTTTGGTTGTGCAAGGAGGCAGAGTGTATCTACTTATGCCTCCATCCATCTTGGCAGGAAGTCCTTATTTATTTATTTCGAGAGAGAGGAGGGGAGGTTGAAAGAGGAAGAGAAACATCAATGTGTGGTTGCCTCTCATGCGCCCCCTACTGGGGACCTGGCTGGCAACCCAGGCCTGTGCCCTGATTGGGAATCTAACCCACGACCCTTTGATTCACAAGCTGGCACTCAATTCACTGAGCGACACCAGCCAGGGCTAAATAAAGTCTTTTTAAAAAATAAAACAAAAATAAATAAAAAAGTGAAATGAGTATAATAAAAAGAAATAAGTACAATAATAAAGGGTGCAGGAGAAAATGGGGAGGTGGTGGATGAGCCTGTGGCCTCAATGGTCATTTCAAAGGTATGCGCTAAAAGCAGAAAACAGGAAGAAAGCTGCGTGCTCATTGGGTTGGCCCAAAAGTTCATTATGTTTTTTTCTATAAAATAAAAGGCATTTTCATTTTCACTGGTCACCTCATTGATTTGGAGATCTTGGCGTCAGGGTCCTCAGTGCTCCCACCTGCTATTTAATCCTCAGGTCTTGATCCCCCCACCCCACCCAAATCTCTACCCATGGCCCCAGCCACAGACCACAGCTGCTGATTTCCCGGACACCCTCCAAAGCTGCCGCTGCTCAGGGCCCCTGTCACGATGGTATTGTCGGTGGTGGGTCCTTTACGGGAGTTTTCATTTGACGGGTGTGAGGTGGTATCTGATTGAGGTTTCAGGTTGCAGCTCTCTGATGATGGGTGATGTTGAGTATTTTTTCACGTGTTTATTGGCCATGTGTGTGTCGTCTTTGGAAAAGTATCTATTCAGACCCTTTGCCCATTGTTTACATGGATGCTTTGTCTTCCTGATGAACAGCCCCATTGTTTACTTGTTTGTCCAAGGCCCGTGCAGTGTACTTCAGCACCGCAGACACTGAGGGGTCAGGCCGTTCTGAACTCGCACCTGGTTGACACCATGTCAGGTGCATCGCATGTGCCTTCCTGATCCCCGCGGCCCTTCTGACCCCATGTCCCAACCTCTGTGAGGAGGGCCCTGTGGTGAGTGGTGTGCGCTTCCTGTTACAGGGGTCGGTGGCGTTCAGGGATGTGATTGTGGACTTCACCCCGGAGGAGTGGCAGCAGCTGAAGCCTGCGCAGAAGGACCTGTACAGGGACGTGATGATGGAGACCTACTGGAACCTGGTCTCGCTGGGTAAGGAGGTATTTTCGCCTCGTTACTCACCACCTGCCTGTCACTTCAGGATGACATGGAAATAGAAAATATGGACAGATCTGACATAGAGGAGGTTCAAATTACTTGAAGCTAAAAGTAAAGTTGATAGGTGATGAAGTGGGAAAGAGTATTTACTGCATGTATAACATTCAGAGGATTGTAAATATGTAGAAAGCTCCTTGGAATAAATGAGAAGAAGACCAAATGAATAAAAGAGAGATGGACAAGTCTTATGAGCATGTAATTCACAGATGCAGAAATGCATGTCATTACATGCTACAAAACGTTTTTAAACCATATTAATAGTCAAAGAAGTACCTGTTGAGTAATAGAAATATATTTCTTGCCCATGGGGCACACAGAGATAAAAAAGAATATTAGACCTGGCAGGATGTGGCTCTGTTGGTTGCAGCTTCATCCCATACACCGAAAGTTGTGGGTTCGATTTCCTGTCAGGATACATACTTAGGCTGTGAGTGTGCTCCCCAGGCGGAGCATATGTGGCAGGTGACCGACTGATGTTTCTCTTTCTCTCTTTCTCCCCATCTTCCTGCCAATTCCCGTCCTCCTCCTCTACACATATCCTGAGAGTGGCATAAGACACAAGAGTAACAGCATCCTGTGTTATGAGGGTGCATGGAAAGGGAATCTTCACTTTAGGAGCATGAAGTTGCAACAACTCATTTGGAGGATCATTTAGTGTTACCTACCAAATCTCAAAAGATGAAGGCAATGTCTGTGCTCCCCAGGGTACTGGGAAAGTGCTGGAGGGTTCGGTCCGATTCTGAGGCCCTCTTCCCGTGGAGTGGACCGTGGGTGGTAGAGAGCCAGGGAGGCTGCTGCGCTGGCGGCGGTGGCCGTGCATCGGTCTGGGCCGGTTCAAGCTGTTGTCCTGTGCGGTGGCAGTTAGTCTGGACAGTGGGAGGGAGGGGGAAGCAGGGAAGTCAAGGATGGATAGTCAATCTTTTTTCTTTTTAATTATAAAAACACTTTGTCCTGGCTGGTGTGGCTCAGTAGATTGAGTTCCAGTCTATGAAATGAAAGGTTACTAGTTCGATCCCTAGTCAGGGCACATGCCTGGGTTGCAGTTGGGGGAGAGCAAGATACAACTGATGTGTCTTTCTTGCATCAGTGTTTCTCTCCCTCTCTTTCTCCCTCATTTCCCTTCTCTCCAAAGGTAAATAAATAAAGTCCTTTTTAAAATTATAATATTTGTTTTCTTCATAGTTGAAAACATACATAACATAAAATGTTTAACTATTTCGTTTCTGACCATTTAAATCTTTTGATGTGTACAGTTCTGTGGCATGAAGTTCCGTTACGTTATTGTTCAACCATCACCATCATCCACCTCCAGAATTTTTTTTTTTTTTAAGATTTATGTATTTATTTTTAGGGAGCAGAAGGGAGGAGAAAGGGCGGAAGAGAAACATCAATGTGTGGTTGCTTCTGGCACATGCCCTGTGGGGACCAGGCATGTGCCCTGACTGGGAATGGAACTGTCCACCTTTTGGTTCTCAGTCTGGTGCTCAGTCCACTGAGCCACACCCGCCAGGCACCCCCAGGGTTCTTAATCACCCCCAGCTGACAGTCTGTCACCTCTAAAGAACACATCCCCATTCCCCTCCTGAGCCCTGGCCCTCATGGCCGCCTCCTCTCTATCAATTTGACGGCTCTTGTTGCCTCCTATGAGTGGATTCATACGTATCTGTTATGTGTGTCTTATTTTGCTAAATCTCTTTGATGGGACTCTCTCTCTCTTTTTTTTTCCCATTATTTGGGACTGGAGGTTCTGAAATCCCAAGTCTCACTTGCAGTGTGTTAGGTTGAGATATCCGAGAGGGGCGCCCAGAGGCCTCGGATTATCCTCAGCAGAGCTCAGGGAGGGGCTCTGGGCGGGGGCGTCCATTTCGGAGGTGTCAGCATGGAGGCTGAAATCCGGGCTCTTAGGACTCAGGGGAAGGGTCTCAAGCTCAGGGTTTGTGTGGCCAGCGGGGGCTTAAAGAGGGAAGGGGGGCAGCCGCTTACTACGGCCACCTTCTTTGTTCCCTCCTGAGAAGGAGGGCTGTGTGTGGCAGCATCTTCACTTTTTTAATGAGATCTTCGTGTAACACAGTTTTTAGAATTTGGGAGGAACCGTGATGTCCATGTGCAGAGTCCGGGACTCAGGACAGCCCCCTAGGTTGGAAAGAGATTGAGGATCCCACAGGACAGAGCACCAGGGGACCGGAGCAGCTGTGGTCAGCAGGGAGGGACGAGTGTGCAAAGGGGAGGGTGAGGAGCCAGCAGCCTGGGCGCGCAGGAAGGCGGGAGCTTGGCTGGGGGTGGGGAGGCAGAGGACAACCAGAACCCACACGAGAGTCAGCTCTTACTTTATCATTTCTAATTGACAGTCAATGCTTTGAGAGGCACAGCTGGCTGGGGACATGCAGGACAGGCCTGGAAGCCAGGAGCCGGGTGAAGTGAACGCTCAGTGTGTTTGTGGGAGCCTTTGATCCGCTCCTCCAAGCCCGTCTTCCTCCTCTTTCTCTTCAGGGTCTGTCTGCACCGCTCTGAGCTCCCTGGCCACCTTTGCACCCACTCACAAGGGGACCTTTCACGCTCTCTGCGCACCTCCGTGCACCTCACTGTCTCAGCTCAGTGCTTCCCCTGTCCCTCTGTCTAATGACAGGCTGTCCCTGCTCTCAGGCTGTGCCTTGTCCTTTCTTTGGATGGTCCTCCATTCCAGTGTTGTTAACTACGTGTGTGTCATCTCTTTCCCCTCCTCTCAGACTTGGAGACTAGACCCGACATGAAACAGTCGGACCCGCAGGAGGATGACTGGGGAGACAGACCATCCGCTGCAGTGGTTGCAGAAGAACCCACGAGTAATGGTGCCCAGGGTTGCACGTGGGAAGGAGCAGGGACACAGGGTGACCAGGCGGGGCAACAACAGGGGAGCCCAGGGACCTGTCTGGGGCATTTGGACATGTCTCAAGTGTTAGCCCCTGAACGTTGTGATTTCAAGGCACTTGACCACCAAAGGCCCAAGCTGGCCCTGCAAAGATCGGAAGGATTGAGAGGAGTGAGGACGTACCCTTTTACCATGTGTGGGAACAACTCAGGTACTTCAAGCCTCAGTCCTTCCTCCCAACTCTGTGCAGAGAAGGCCTATAAATGCGGACAGTGTGGCAAGGCTTTCAGCTATAACTCATCCCTGAAGGAGCATCAGCGAATCCACACTGGGGAGAAGCCTTTCTCATGTGCCACGTGCAGTAAGCAGTTTACCCTGCGGTCTTCCCTCACCACCCACCAGCGCCTACATACTGGGGAGAAGCCTTACGCATGCGGGGACTGTGGCAAGGCCTTCAGCCAGAAGGCGCACCTCATTCAGCACCAGAGGACGCACACTGGGGAGAATCCGTATGTGTGTGGGGAATGTGGCAAGTCCTTCAGCCAGAAGGCACATGTCATACAGCACCAGAGGACGCACACTGGAGAGAAGCCGTACACGTGTGGGGCCTGTGGAAAGGTGTTCAGCCAGAAGGCGAACATCATCCGGCACCAGAGAATGCACACCGGGGAGAAGCCATACACCTGTGGGGATTGTGGAATGGCCTTCCGGCTGAACAGGAAACTCATTGAACATCAGAGCACGCACACCGGGGTTAAGCCCTATTTCTGTAGGGACTGTGGCATGGCCTTCAGTCGGAATGATTACCTGATCACACACCAGAGGACGCACACCGGGGAGAAGCCTTATGCATGTGGGGACTGCGGCAAGGCCTTCATGCACAACAGGAGCCTCATTGCCCACCAGAGGACGCACACTGGGGAGAAACCATTTGTGTGCGGGGACTGCAGCAAGGCCTTCAGCCGGCAGGAGTGCCTCAAAGCGCACCAGAGGACACACACTGGGGAAAAGCTCTACACATGCAGAGATTGCGGCAAGGCCTTCAGGCATAAAGGGAACCTCAGCCTACACCAGAGAACTCACACCGGGGTGAAGGCGTACGTGTGCAGTACCTGTGGCAAGGCCTTCAGCCGGAACAGGAGCCTCATCGTGCATCAGAGGATGCACACTGGGGAGAAGCCGTACGCATGCAAAGACTGCGAAAAGGCCTTCAGCCGGATTGAGCACCTTATGGTGCATCAGAGGACGCACACCGGTGAGAAACCGTACATGTGTGGTCAGTGCGGCAAAGACTTCACGCAAAACTACTCTCTCATTGAACACCAGCGCGTGCACACTGGGGAGAAGCCCTACAAGTGTGCCCAGTGCGGCAAGGCCTTCAGGCAAAACTCCTCGCTCAGGGAGCACCAGCATGTGCACACCGGGGAGAAGCCCTACACATGTGCCCAGTGCGGCAAGGCCTTCCGACAAAATTCCTCACTCAGGGACCACCGGCGTGTGCACACTGGGGAGAAGCCCTACAACTGCAGCCAGTGCGGCAAGTTCTTTAGCCTGAAATCCTCTCTCAGGAAGCACCAGCGCTTGCACACCGGGGAGTAGCCCTACCAGTGCTCCATCTCCAGAGGCCCCAGAGGAGGATGCACATGTAGCAGAGGGGCCAGAAATCTCAGAATCCGCACCGAACTGGCAGGTCTTGAGTCCATGGGTCAGTACCAGACTTGACAGTGAGCCCACAGGTAGGGGGCAAGAGAAGTCCTACCCAGATGGGTCATCGGGGGCCCCGGGGACAGGCCACACCATGCTTACCTTTGCTTCCGCAGCCTCAGCAGGGCCGTGTGGAAAGCAAGTCCCCCTCCAGGTCCTGTATCTGGAAGCACGGCCTGGGGCGCTATGGCTCCTCACCTGGCTAGACGATGAGTATGCGGGGGATGTGGCAGGACCTTTGGCCAGAAGGTGCACATGATCCAACACCAGAGGACACACCCTGGGGAGAACCTTTTGTGTGCAGGGACTGCCGCAAGGCTTCCGACAGAAAGGGAACCTCAGAGAGCACCAGAGGATGCACATCAGGGAGAAGCCATACACGAGCAGGGACTGCAGAAAGGCCTTCAGCCAAAACTCCTCGCTCAGGAAGCACAGCTGGGTGCACACGGGAGAGAAGCCCTACAAGTGCTCCATCTGACAGAAGTGCTTCATGGCTCACTCGTCCTTGCAGGAGCGGCAGACCAACCACACACAGTGTGGAGAAAGCTTGTAAGTGCTGCCAGTGCTCAAAGCCTTTGTCAGGAATACCTTCCTCCCTGTCCACCAGAGAATGCACGTGGGAGACAAGCCCTACGAGTGTGACAAGTGCGGGAAACCCTTCAGAGGGAATTTCAACATCATGCGACACCAGAGGAGGATGAGGTGGGGTGTATCAATCCGCACTCAACAGGCAGGTCCTGAGCCTGTGGATGAGTGCCAGACTTGATATTGGAGCCCACAGGTAGGACGCTAGAGGTGACCTGCACAGACGGGCCGTAGGAATGTGGGCGCCGAAGACAGGCCATCCTGTGCTCACCCTTTGTTTTTACAGTGTCCTTGTGGAAATCAAACCCACTCTACAGGTCTAGTAGAGGAGAGCGTGGCCAGGGGCACTGTGGCTCCCAACCGAGCTGGAGTAAACTGTCCTATGAGCGTGGAGAACGCATTTAGCATCTCTGGGTGTCCATCTGCATAGTCAAGTGCAGGAGGGGGAGGAGAAAGGAAGAGGAGAGTGGGCTCCATGGGGACATTGTCACTTTGTCACACAGGGCGGGATCTAGTCCAGAGGTCAGGTTGTTGCCATCTTGTGTGTTTCCTCTTTTTCCCCCACTCACAGCCCCTAGTTGCCCTGCAACACCAGCTGGAAGGCCCCACGGTCATAAGCTGTAGAATTTACCAGGTGGTTCATGAGGAGAAAAAAATATTTTTTTCAGGATTAGGAAATAACAGTAATCACTTCAGATACCAAACTTTCTCAGGATGGTCTGTTACATTTTTTTTTATAAATAAAAATCTAATTAAGTGAAATGAACATTTTTTTCTAAAACTTTATTTTCAGCGAGAAGGGGAAGGGAAGGGAGGGAGGGCGAGAAACATCAATGTGTGGTTGCCTCTCATGCACCCCTTCCTGGGGGCCTGGCTGGTAACCCAGGCCTGTGCCCTGACTAGGAATTGAACTGGTGACCCTTTGGGTCACATGTCGGCACTTAGTCCACAGAGCCAAACCAGCCAGGGCCAGAGTGTTTCATAGTAAGAAAAATCAAGAGAAATACCCTAGATGCCTACCCACGAGACTGAACAAACCAGGGTGTAGCAATATGTAGAAATCACAACCCTCTTCAAAGATGAGCACTCTTAGTAGTTACTGACACAAAAAGATGTTTCTGGATAGTAGTATTCAGGAAAAACTAACTTTCAGAGTGGGAAAAGGTCCCATTTCTCTAACAGTTTATCTGGAGAGTTAATTTACCTAAAATTAACTGTACACAGTTACAGGAAACGATTTGATGTATTTTACCTTTTGTATTCACCAGGGAAATCATCGTCATGATACAGACATGTCTGTTAGCCAAAATAGTTTTCCTTCCATTTTGACCACCCTGCAGCCCCCTTGACTACTGTGGTTTAGTTTGCCTGTTCTAGAATTTCATGTATATGGAATCCTGTGAAATGCACTCTTTTTTTTTAATTTGACTTCTTACCCTTGGCATCATTTCTTTGAAGTTCATTCTTGTCATCGATATGTATGAATAGTTTTCTCCATTTTTTCCCCTTTTTTTCTTTTCTTTATTTGAGAAAGAAAGCGAGTGACAAACATTAATCAGTTGCCTCCCATCCAGGCCCTGAAGTTCAATTGGCCCGCAACCTTTTGTGCACGCGATGATGCTCCAACCAGCTGAGCCACGCAGCCAGGGCAATAGCTGACTTCTTTTTATTGCTGAGTAATATTATACTTCTGGAATAGACCACCATTGTTTATCGTTTCATTTGATGATGAACAGAAGGATTGCTCTGGTTCTGGACTCCGTGGACAGTTCTCAAATCCAGAGGTCGTGTGTCCAGTGAGGGCTTTAATGGGGGTTAGGAGATAGCTGTTACCACTCCTGCTTTCTTTGTTCCCTCCTAGGAAGGAGGGATACATGTGGCGAGATCTTCCTTTTTTAAATGAGATTTTTATGCGAGATCTCACAGTATTTAAAGATTTTATTAATTTATTTTTAGAGAGGGGAAGGGAGGGAGAAAGGGAAAAAAAATATCAATGTGTTTCTGAAAGCAAGGCTTGCGCCCCGACTGGGAATCAAACTGGCAACCCTTTAGATCGCAGGCTAGCACTCAATTTACTGAACCACATCAGGGAGGGTCGCTCTCACAGCTTTTCCATGTTTGGGTGAAGCTTAAAGTCCTTATGCAGAGTCTGGTACTCAGGGAAGACTCCCAGGCTGGAAACAGATTGAGGAACCTATGGGACAAGGCACAAGGGGCTTGGAGCAGCTGTGGTCAGCAGGCTGGACTAGTGTGCTAAGGGGAGGTCTAAGGATCCAGCCCAAGGGTTAGGCCGCTCCTGGGCAGTGTAGGAATGTGGGAATTTCACTGGCAGGTTGGGAGACAGAATAAGCAACACAACCACACGAGAATCAGCTTTTACTTTATCGTTAGTAATAACAGTCAATGCTTTGAGAAGCACAGCTGGCTGGTGGACGTGCAGGACGAGGCTTGGGAGCAAAGAGCTGGGTGTAGTGAACCCTCACTGGGTGTGTGGGATCCTGTTATCTGCTCCTCCAAGCCTGCTTTCTTCTACTTTCTCTTCAGCATCTTTCCTCCCAGCTCTGAGCTCTGTTGGCTGCCTTTGCCCCCGCCCCCAGTCAGGCCTTTCTTGCTCTGTGTTCACCTCCCTACATCTCACTGTCTCAGATCATGGCTTCCCTTCCCCCTGTATCCCCATGAAAGGCTGTCCCCTGCTCTCGTGCTGTGCCTTGTATCTTGGGAAGATCCTCCCTCCCAGCGTGCTTAACTATACGTGTGTCGTCGTCTCTTTCCCATTCCCCTCAGACTTGAAGACTAAACAGGACATGAAAGAACTGAACCTAGATAAGGACGCTTGTGAAGACAGACAATCCATTGCGGTGGTGGTGGATAGACGCATGAGGAATGGAGCCCAGGATCACGCCTGTACCGTGTGTGGTAAGAACTCAGGTACTTCAAGCCTCGGTCCTCCCTCCCAACTTTGTGCAGAGAAGAAGGCATACAGTTGGGGACAGCGTGGCAAGGTTTTCAGCTGTAAGTTGTCACAGTCGAAGCACCAATGATTCCACACCAGGGAGAAGCCATATATGTGCAGGGAGTGTTGCAAGTCCTTCAGCCAGAAGGGTAAAATCATTGTACACCGGCGAACACACACTGGGGAGAAGCCACACATGTGTGCGGACTGTGGCAAGTCCTTCAGATGTAGGTGTAAAATCATCGAACACCAGAGAACACACAGTGGGAAGAAGCCATACATGTGTGGGGACTGTGGCAAGTCCTTTGTCTGTGAGGGTAACTTCATCCAACACCAGAGGATGCGTACTGGAGAGAAGCCACACGTGTGTGAGGACTGCGCCAAGGCCTTCAGCAGGAAATCGACCTCAGATCATCAAAGGATGCACACTGGGGAGAAGCCATATGTGTGCGGGGACTGCGGCAGTGCCTTCAGAAGGAGATGGTTCCTCGTCCTGCATCAGAGGGAGCACACTGGGGAGAAGCCATACGCATGCGGGGACTGGCAAGGCCCATGGCAGTGGCTCCTCTCTCAGGCAGCACAGGCCTGTGCACGGCAGGGTGCAGCCCTACCAGTGCTCTACCTACCAGGAGCACTTCGTGATGCCCTCGTCCCTGCAGGAGCACCTGACCAACTGTACCCCGGGGAAGCTTTATAAGTGCGGCCGGAGCTGCAAACTCTTGGTCAGGACCTTCTTGCCCCCTCTCCCCCAGAGAATCCACGTAGGACACAAGCCCTCCGAATGTGCCAAGTGCAGAAAAACCTTCAGCAGAACTTAAATCTCACAGGACAAGTAGAAGGCAGGTGGGGAATCCAGAATCCACACCCAACAGGCCAGTCATGACCCCATGGGGCAATGCCAGACTTGGTGTCGAAGCCCAGTATTAAGTATCAGAAGCCAAATATTTGGGGACTTTGAACCAACGACCTCTGTGGCTACTTCCTGCTTTAAAAGGGATGTTGATACTCTTTGGGTTCCCTCCTCTTGCTAACTGTTACTTGGAAAAGGTGGAGCGAAGTGCCTGCCCATCTGTCCATGGTGGATGTTTGGACCCTGGGGGCCCAGGGGTTCATAGTGCTTGTTGTGACCTGGGAGTGATCAAGTTGGCAAAACAGTTAGTGGAGCTGAGGACCTGGCTCTCTGTCTGACCAGGTTTAAATCCAGTAGGGGTAGAAAAATGCCTTTCTTGTGGAGGAGGCTGAGCACATAGACAGGCTGGTAGAGTGTTAGGAATATGAGAAAGAGAATTCTGTTAGGGTCTAGTTGTGCTGTTTTCTGTACCAGGTTTTTTGTGTCTTGAAGAGGAATTTGAGGTCCTTGATTATTTCACAAGTGTATGTCTCAGGCTATGGTTACTGTGGGGACTTCTAAGACATAGGTTTAATTTGAGATCAGCAGACCTAAGTGGCTATCCCTGTGAGCATAGTCGGGGTGTTTAATAGGACCTGTGTGGACCCTTTCATCTGGGCTACAGTGGAGACAGAATAGTTGTTCTAGGTTTTTTAAGTAGACTCTGTACCCTGGTTCACTTGTTTGTGTTGGTCATTTTAAATTAATTTCTATATTCCCATAATACCTTTTATACTTGTCCTAGATTAATAGTGTAAGACAATCTAGGGTCTGTATTATATGTTTACGGCCCAGGGCCTCTGTTGGGGGATAGATAAGTAGATCAATCACGTTTTAGATTTCTAGGCTACTCGCCTCAAGTGACAGGTCCCCTAAGTCCTCTGCTGATGCCTCAGTGAGTGAGGGCTGTCCCTAAATCCCTGAGGGAGGTCAGCCCAGTTTAGTTGTGTCTTCTGTCTCTGTGAAACTGTCAGTTAATGTAAAGAGAAAGTCCTGATTGTAGGCTTTTCTGCTACTCCTGGGATGGTGCAGGATTGTGAGGAGAGTGGTCAGTCAGCTGAATCAGAGTACAATGACTATTGGGGTTCAGGGTTATATATAGTTCAGTTTCTATGTTTCCTTTCTAAACCTTGGGCATAATGTACAGCTCCAAAGGCTTTCTCAGCTGGTAAAGGCTTCTTGTCTTAGCTAGAGAGACTGCTACAGACGCTCCCTTTGCCAGCCCAGAGCCTCACGGACCCCCATCCTCCCATCTTTCCTCCTGATGTTCGGAACGCCCAGGGATTGGAGCGGGCCAGGCTGAATCAGCGGGTGAGATGTGTCTCCTCCCCCACCCAGCCTTAGTTTACTGCCTGTCCTACCTCACTTTCCCCTCCAAGCATCAGAACCCAAAAATCGGGGGACTTTGGACCGACGTTCTCCGTGGCTACTTTAGCTGTAAAAAGAACGTTGATACTTCTTTGGGTTCCCTCCTCTTGCTAACTGCTACTTGGAGGAGGTGGAGGGAAGTGCCTGCCGATTGGTGCATGACAGATGTCCAGAGCCTGGGGTTCAGGGGCCGATAGAAATTGTGTCTGGAGGTAATCAAGTTGACAAAAGGGTTAGTGGAGCAGAAGACCTGGGGCTGTATCTGATGGGGTTAAATCCAAGGGGGTTAGAAAAGTCCCTTTCACAGGGAGGAGGCTGAGCATATTGACAGACTGGTGGGAAGATTGTTAGAAAGATGAGAAAGACAATTAAGGCCTGGTGGTGTAATTTATCTGGAACAGGTTTTTTGTTTCCTGAAGAGGAACTTGAGGTCCTTGATAGCTTCATAGGTGGGACGTCTCAGGCAAACCTGAACACTCATGTTAGATATTCTCGTTTGTGCCTCCAAACACAGACCCAGCAGGTCTGAATGCCCCGCCCACCTCCACAGCTTTGCTGGGCCTCCTTTCCCCCAAAGGGCAATGAAGTGTTTCCGGTGACACCGTTAACCACTTCATTCCAGGCAGTCGGAGACCAGGGGTGGGATCCCAGTCACAGCACCAAATATGTTACTAGGGAGAGACCTGACAAGACAGCCTCTCCCCCCGCCGCCAATTTGTTCCTTCTTTCTTGCTTGGCTCGCAAGAGACGAATTCAAGTGAGAGACAAACAGGTATAGTGGAAATGAGGTAGGAAGTTTATTGATGAAACAATATGAGTACAAAGCTGCCAGCAGGCACCCAGCTAGTCTGAACGCCCTACATTTGAAGGAAATAAAGTTGTTGGTAAGTGTGTTATTCTATATGCCTCGTATGCTTGAGCCAAAGCTGTAAGTGGGCACTCAGCTAACTAATCTGGTGTGCTATTTGGGTTCCGAGCTTATATATAGTGTAGTGAGTTTGTACGTACCCCTGCTCGCCCCCTTCTAAACCTAGGGGATGATGTACAGCTACAAAGGCTTTCCTTCTCAGCAAGTAAAGGCTTTTTCTCAGTGCAGTTGCTACAGAGGCTCCCTTTCCCAGCACAGACTCCCAGGGCCTCCCCTCCCCCACACTGTTTGCTCGTGATGTTCCAAAGGCCTGACCACCTTTCGGGACAGGGCTCCCGGCTGCTGAATAAATGGGTGTGACATGTCTCCCTCCTGTTCCCGGACTTGGTTTGCTAATCATCCTACCTAACATGTGCACACAGTGGGATTAATTCTATATAGTTGTTTAAGGGAAAAACAAGTTTGGTGCTGGCCTGGTAGATGAGTTATAGCATCGGCCTGATACAACAAGGTACGTTGATCCCTGGTTCTGGCACATACAAGAATTAACCAATGAATGCATAAAAAAGTGGAAAAACACATGGATTTCTCTTTCCCTAAAATTGGAAAAAAAACCTACCCATGAATGTATTAAATAACTAGAACAACAGATCTTTCTCACTCTCAAATAATTAAAAATTTAAAAGTGAAGTAGATTCTCCTTGTGAGGTGATCCTTCCTTAGGAGCGGTTTTACTTGGTGCCACCCGTCCCTGCCTTTTAGGCCCCCATTGATGGATGCCCCATAGGAGGAGACAACAGAACCCATGCCATGGCTTGGTCTCCCAGCAGTCAGCCAGCAGGGATTCCAAGATATGGGTGACTCAGCTACACAAACCATGGGCTGCACCCAGCCAACAGGTGGACTTGATTCAGCCCACTCACTTTTACTCTTAAATTAATGAGCTGTCCACATTAAGATGTTGGAATGTTTTACATCTATAAGCATCGCCTTTTATTCACTGACCTCTTCAGAAAAAAACCATGGAATACCTTGCATGTGCCAAGAATAGTCCTAACAGCTGGACAATCAGCGCTGTATTACAAACATAGAGTCTTCACCATCATGGACGTGAAATTTTAGAAAGCAAGGCAACAACATTAAAGAAAAAAGATTTTTAATATAATTAAATCTAGTTTCTTTATATAATATAGAATCAGAAGCCACTGGGCCAACAGCTCCATGAAAAGTTAGAAAAGTAGAGAAGAGCCCGCTTTCAGTAGGTCTATCAGATCAAAAGCTCAAGCCAGGCCCTGGCTGGTGTGGCTCAGTGAAGTGATTGCTGGCCTGTGAACTGAAAGCTCGCTGGTTCAAATCCCAGTCAGGGCACATGCCTGGGCTGAGGTCCAGGGTCCCCATTTGGGAGCATGTGAGAAGCAATCAATCCATGTATCTGTAGCACATCAATGTTTATCTCTCTTTTCCTCTCTCTAAAAATAAAGAAATAAAACCTTAAAAAAAATTTAATAAAAGCTAAAGTCAGACCCTGAAAGCTTTCTGCTCCCTAAGGAGGTATGGAAACTCTCCTCTTAGGAGAAGGGGACATGCCTCTGGTGTCTCTTGCAACATTCAGCCCATTGGAGGTATTTTATGAATGTGTGTCTCTTGAGTGATGTGGGCAGCTCTAGCTTCCCTGGTGACCAGATCTTTGGGCATATCCACCCACTCACCATTTCCAGGGTGGCTGGAACTTTATGCCACGGGCTCATTCCCGAAGACTGTGCTCTATTCAAAACTTGCACAATTCAGAGCCAAACCTAATGAGAGGTGATGGGAATGTGTCTGCACTAGTTTAAGTGATCCTAAATAACACACATGGTTTACCATTTACATGAGTGATATTAGTAAGGATTTGTAGGAAATTTAAATTGCAAGAGTTGTCTCTCCAAAAAAAAGCCAAAAATATCACAATTTCAAGTGTTTATAATTCAAGTTAGTACAAAATATAGTTATGCTGTATTCTGATACACAATGATATCCTTCTTTGACCTCACCTCGCATCATAAAAACTAGAACCTGGCAAGTAACTCACATATCCCTACACAGCCCTGCCGCAATTTTCCACAATCCAAGTAACCATCATCAGGAATCCTGGCACGTGTTTTGTTTTTCATTTTTGTTGGGGGGCGGGTTACATTTTTTCCCACAGAATTGTTCTCAAAACTCCATGTTAATCATCTCAGTCAGGTCGCAGACATGCCCTGCCATTCCAGAGACAGAGCGGCCTCTTAAAAATGACTGCAGTTTCTGCCCTCGTCTGCTCTCATTCCCCACTCCCACGGCCCAGAGAGCTGTGTTCGCTGGAAACAGCAGGGTTCTTTCCCAGTCTGCTCCCTTCTTTGAAGAAGTAAGTATAGACTTTTTCTCTCTCTCAAAAACCAATACCATATCCCCGGGTGAGAATGTAAATACAAAGAAGGGAAAGTCATTAATCACCACCTCAGGCGGCTGCAGCTGGCACTTTTGCAGCCACTGGACTTCTGGCCAATGCCTTTGCACTGGGCTTTGTGGTTCACGGTGTAAGAGCGCCCCAGCCTGGAGACCTCTTTCCCACCCCAGCTCCCCCACTTCCCACTCCTGGGCCCTCCCTTGCCTGTATCACTATCCTCATCTGGAAAGTAGCCTGGCTGCCAGGACTAAATGAGTTTGTGCATCTCAATGCTACAGATGGCCAGGCGGGACCGCTGAGAGGAAAGGGCAGGAAAAGGAGCCTCCTGAGAGCTCCATCTCCCGGGGCAAAGGGGAGGCGGTGGGTGCGGCCTCTCTGCCTTGGTAACCGAGCTCCCAGCCTTTCTCAGCGAGCGTCTTAGCCTCGACTCAGATCCCCTGCCCCAGGCAAGAGGGCTGCAGAAGGAAGTACCGCCCTGAGTAGGCGCCCTGTGAGGGGCGGGGGGGGGGGGGGCGGGGAAGGCCCTCTGCACCTGACTGGGGGTGGGACCTGGGGCAGAGACTCACAGGCAGCAAAGGGGTCACAGGGCCGCAGGGCGGAGGTGCTGGACCGAAGCCTAGCCTGTCAGTCTAGCCTGGGAGAGAAGTGACTGGTCCTGTGAAGACCACCCCCAGCCCGGCACGCAGAAATTTGTCAAGTTTATTGCGCATTCAGCCTGTCCCACACTCGAAAAGTACTGTAAACCCAAGGTTAGAAGGGCCGTTCTCTCGACACCGGGCGAACCTACAAAGCGGTGAGCTAGAGGGACCTTGTGGTCCTGGAGGCGGCCTGGCTGACGTCGGTTCCTGCTGGTTCTAAGGCGGGGCCGGAAAGCAGACAGTGACCGGGAGCGAGCTGAGCTGCCTGGGTGGCTGCTCAGCGACACCTGCGGTTCCCAAACGACGGTACTTTGAATGGGAGCAGGAACTTGACGCTGCCTTCTAGTCCGGTCTGGCTGAGGACGGCTGGGTGTGTCCTCCGGCTTTGCGGAGAGGAAGGGTTTTGAGACAAAAGTCTGCCGTTCTGCGTGACCCTGCGGCAACTGAATGCAAAGCCTGTTTCTTTTCTCACACGCCTGTCTCGAGATCTTGCCTATTGAGAGGGCGGCGCGGGCTGCAGAACCCCCACTTTGGTTCCGTATCAGTACCTCGACCAGAGCAGGAGCTGTACAGCGCGAACGGCTCATGCTCTCCGACTACCACCGTTCGCTCCCGGCGTCTCCGCACGCTTTCCAAGTTTTCTGCGAGTGAGCGGGACGATCAGGACCCCTGTTGGACGCTGGAGGTCTGCAAAGGGGCTACCGCGTCTTTTTCCGCCTCCACCCACGCCGCGCCTTTTCTGCAAGTCCCTTTCCTCCCCCGCCCGGGCCCCTACTTCGTCCGCCCAATCCGTTCCCGCGGGGACCCTGTCCTGCTTCCTCCTCCGCCTCCCACTTCCGGCACCCCTGCACGTCTTGACCCCTAATCCCCCAAAGACCCGGCCTTCTTGACGCTGGTGCTGAGCGGGAGCATTTGAGACGAGCAGCGTCACGCCAGCCTCTCAGGCTGCCAGCTAGTCAGCTGGGCTCACTCGACGGGAGGCGGGAGAGGAGGAAACGGCGGCGCGCGGGGTTGTGGGAAGTGTAGTCAGCCGGTCTGCGCAGGCGCAGTGTGATCGAGAGTCCAAGCGGACGCAGGTCACTTTCCTGAGGTAGCCGCGTGGTAAGTCCTGCTGCGGATCGGGCAGGGGTGGGAATAGAGAGTTTGCGGCGGTGGGGAAGGGGCATGAGGGTTCGGGAGAGTGTGCGGATGGAATGGGGATGTGCGGTGAAGGTGATGCCTGTGGCTGTGTGAGAGTGTCTGCGTTTGTCACCGCCTGTGTCTGGGTGGCCTCCTGTGTCTCCCCTTTGCTTGTGTGTGTGTGTCGGCTGCTTGTCTCGGCCTCTCCGGGGTCCCTCTGTGTCCACGTCCGTGTGCGCGTCTGCCTTTGTTTCCGTCCGCGGCGTCTCAGCGTGAGGGCGCCGTCCAGGGGTCCCCCTGCGTCTCGTCTCTTCCTCGGCGCCGGCCTGTGTGTCAGGTGTGAGTGTGTCTGTGCGCGTGGGTCTGCGCCTCTCCTGTCCCATCCTCCCCCTGTCTGTGCGCCCCTGCGCCTCTCTCTGTGGGTGCGGCTGACGTGTGTGAGGGTGCGACGGGGGTGCCCTCCCGGGAGCGCGGGGAAGACGCCCTCCTGCACAGGCGGACCTGGCGGCGCTGCCTGCCCGCGGGCCCCACAGCCCGTCTCCTTCCTGCCCTCAGAGGCTCCCCGGCCCCCGGGAGGGCAGGGCGTGTGTGGTCGCCAGGTGCGGGGCTGAGGAAGAGGGTCAGAGGCCCTGACCCGATGGTGTCCGGGGTGGGTTCGTTCAGGGAGGGTGTGTTGGGTGCCCAGGGTGTCGTTCTGGGCATTTCATAGGCCTCCCAGTTAAGTCTGAGGCAGGGACCCTCACCATCCCCATTTTGCAGTTGGGGAAACTGAGGCTCAGAGATTTTAAGTGAAATCCCAAGTCGACATCCGCGTATCAGACCCTCCCACCCTAACCACCCCACAGGGGGAAACCCTTGTGTCCCTTTAGAAACAAGGGACAGAAGGAAATGCCAGAAAGCTTGGACAGAGGGGGAGTGGGAGCAGGAGCAGCTGCCACCCCTGGCTCTGCAGCCACAGACCTGAGGCCACACTGGGTTCAGCGGTCACCTGTGCACATGCCACTTACAGGACCATTGTGATTTCTTGGTCTCCTTTTAAATAAAGTAAAAATTAGAGTTGGGATTGTGTTGCTGTGAGGAGAAAAATATTTCAGGCTGGATTAGATTCGTGTGTCCTCATACAATATTAAGAGATGTGATGGTATTTTCAAGGGCGCCAACAGGTGTCAGGGGCCCTGGGCCCACTGTGCCTCCGGAGTAAGTCAGTTCTGGGCACTTCCTTGTCTTTTAACAGGAGCCAGTGTTGTTCCCCTCGTGGTGCAGGGTTAGGAGTGAGAAACCGCAAGTCCAGGAAAAATACATTTGTACAGATTAGACTCTGTTTAAGAGATCTTGAAGTCGCTGCACTCAGGGGCATAACATAACTCCGGCTTCTGGGAGGCAGCCTGGGATTTCAGACCCGAACCCAGCATCTATCTGTATATCCAGGGTTGGTGGGGTTGGTTGGTTGGTTGGCTTGTGTTTGTTTTTAGGAACAGTACTACAGTAAACATCATTAATGTGCACAGATTTTAGGGAGAGAGGGAGAGAGAGAGAAACAGTGATCAGTTGCCTCCCACTCATACCCCAGCCTGGGATCAGGTGATGAAACCCAAAACCTAGGCCCAGGCCATGACCAGGGATTGACCCCAAGCTTTTGTGTTCAGGAGGACACTCCCACGAGTGGAGTCCCGCAGTTCTAGGGTCCATATATGTGTCTGATCTGTGAGCTTCACAGTCATCCCAGGAGATCTGGAGGAGGCCTGGAGGGCAGTTACCCTGCAGGGGTGACTTCTGCGGCCCGGAGCAGCAGTCAGACCCAGGGCGGGGGCAGAGGGCCCTGTTTTCCTGCCAGGCTGTGGGACTGGCTGTGTGCGCATTCCTGTGTGTTGGGAGAGTGTCAGTTTGTGGTTGTGATACGTGCAGCAAGCACATGGACCCTGCATACTGGACCCCATCATAATCCCAGCCTCATGTTCTTGGGCGCACAGCTTCTCCTTTTGGGCCTCAGTTTCCTCGTCTGTGAAATGGGGTGAGTGAACATAGCCTCTAAACTGTAGCATGTCAGGAGGATTAAATCAGGCCTGTTTGTGGAGTGCCTTAAATGCCATAGGCCCCCAGCACGCGTTCACTATGAACATGTGTGCCTGTCCCTGTCTGCCTGTCTTCTAGTGGGTGTGTGTCTGTCCTGCCTGCACTGTGCTTCAGGCTTCGACCTCATCTCTCACTGGGCCTTTCTCTTTCTCTCCCTCCACACAGTCTGCCCATCCCCTGGTCACCATGGGCACCGGAAGGATGGCCACCGAGCCGATGACCATGAAGGCCCTGGTGAGTCATGTCACCCTCTCACACCTCCTTCCTTAGGGTCAAGCATCTGGGCAGAGATGACCCTCTGTCCCCCAAACTCCCTCAGGGCCCCGGCCCCTGACACATTCTCCAGGGACTGTCCACCCTGAGTTGGGAGAGTACTGTCCTGACACTGGCGTATTCCTACCACAGGGGACAGGATGGCTCAGGAGTGACCTGTCTTGCCCTGGACACCAGCTCTCAGGAGACACCAGTGGTCACTGGGAAGAAGTGGCAGCTTAAACACATTTGATGAAGTGTGACTGAGGCCCCTGGCAGCACATGCTGGACGAGGCACTTTTGGAAGTGGGCGGGGGCCCTGAATGCCCAGGGGACAGGAGGAGGATGGACGGAGGACGCCTGAAGTGAGGGACCGTGAAAGTCCCTGGCTATGGCTGCGATGATGTTTTAACAGTGTTTTAGTGGGTGGCTATTGGTAGTATATTTCTCTAAATTTCCTTCATTGGAAGAAATACTTTATGATAAAAACATACAGATGTAGCTCATTTGGTTAGAGGATCATCTTGGTATGCCAAGGTTGGGGGTTCGATTGCTGGTTGGGGCACACGTGAGAAGCAATGAATTCAACAGTATGCGCACATCTCTTTCACTTGCACCTTCTCTCAAATCGATTTTTTGTGTATATATATATATAGTGTATAGTGTCCGGGGGTAAATCTTTCCTTTTTTTTTTAATCATCACCAGAGGATGTTCACTGAGTTGTAGGGAAAGTAGAAGAGAGAAAATAACAGATGTGAGAAAGAAACATCGATTGGTTGCCTCCCGTCCACACCCCAATCCCAGATCAAATCCAAACTCTTATGGTGTACAGGACAACACTCCAACCAGTTGAGCCACCCAGCCAGGGCTGGGCATATATATTTGCCCTGCATTTTGTATGATTTTCTTTTTATTTTTTTTTTAATTATGGAGGGTGGAGCAACTATGTCAATATTTGTATTTATTTTTTTAGAGAGAGGGGAAGGGAGGGAGAAATAAAGGGAGAGAAACATCAAAGTGTGGTTGCCTCTCACACACCGCCAAATGGGGACACTACTTGCAACCCAGGCCTGTGCGCTGACTAGGAATGAAACTGGTGACCATTTGGTTCACTGACAGGCACTCAGTCCACTGAGCCACACCAGCCAGGGCAGATTTTATTTCTTTTTAGAAGAAGGGAATAGAGGGATAAAAAAAAAAGAGAGAGAAAAGAAACATCAATGTGTGAGAGAAACGTTAATTGGTTGCCTCCCATATGCGCCCGAATCAGGAACTGCACTGTCATCCTCTGGTCGTACAGACATCCCTCCAACCATCTGAGTCACCCGGCCAGGACTGACATTTCTTAACAGTGGAATCGCACAATGTGGTTTTTGTTTCTGGCTGCTTTCACTGAGCCTCCTGTTTTTGATGTTCATCTCTGTTGTAGCAGGTGTTATTTTTCGTGGCTGTCTACTATTTCTGTTGTACTGGTAGACTCTGTGCTTATGCATTTACCTGGTGGTGTACATTTGGGTCGTTTCCACTTTTTGGTGTTAGTAATGCTGCTGTGAACATTCATGTAGAGTTTTTTGTTTGAACTTCTCATTTCTCGTGAGTGTAGGAGAGGAAATTATGGATCCTTCCATAACTGTACATTTAACTATTTAGGGAACAATGTGTTTTCAATGCGGTTGCACCATGATGTCTCCACTGTTACCTTCTTTGTGATCGTTGCCTTAGTTCTCTCCTTGAAAAATATTGTTTAGGATTTCTTTATGGTTGTCATTTCCATGTCGCTGGGATTTGGAGGTTCAATTTTTTTTAATGTGTTTTAGTGTAATTACATTTTCATTTTTCAAAAAATAGAGCCTGCCCTGGCTGTGTCGCTCAGTGGGCTGTAGCGTCATCCCATACACCAAAATGTTGCAGACTGGGTTCCCGGTCGTAGTGTGTGCATAGGCCAACAGATTGATGTCTCTCTCTCTCTCTCTCTGACACTATCTTTCTCTTGCTCTAAAATCAATAAAGATATTCTCCTGTGAGAAAGTAAAAAAAAAAAATAGAGCCTAATTTCAGTTTTTTGGAACTGGGTGATGTTTTTCTTGTGTTGAAGTGTTGTGTGCCATTAGGCAAGAATCCAAAACAGATGGAGCCTGGAATGAGTGGCCTCGATCATGTGCCCGCAGTGCACTCCGAGGGCTTTGGTGCACTTGGACGGAAGGCCCGTTTCCAGGGGAATCTCCCGTCCCTTCTGAGAGGGGCCTCTGTGTCTCACCTCCACATCCTGGCTGTTCCGCGTGGGCTCCCAGACGCCCAGCACCTTCTCAGGGTTTCAGCCTGTCCCAGCCTGGGCTTGGTGCATGGAACCAAATGGTAAAAATTTCATTCAGTGAGTTTATTGAGGTAGAAAAACTGTAAGCACAAGTTATATTTAAAAAATTAAAATGATATAACAATAAGTAGGGCAGAATGAAGTGGGGAAGTGGTGGATGAGTTTGTGGACTCGATGGTTATCTCAAAAGTTTATTCTTCCTGGGCTGACTAAAAGGTCCGTTATGTTTTTTGCATAATGTAAAACACATTTATCATTTTCACCAGTCACTTTTTTTTGCATATTTTGGTGTCTGCATCCTCAGTGCTCCATTTGCCACTTAAGCCTCAGGTCTTGACCCACCCGCCCGCAGTGGGGTCTCCCCACAAGGACTGAACCACAGACCACACCTTCCAGCTTGCCGTCCACCCTCTAGAGCTAATGCCGCTCAGACGTGTCACCCTGGTAGTCCCAGTAATGGGTCCTTTACGGGTGTTTTCATTTGACGGGTGTGAGGTGGTATCTGATTGAGATTTCAGGTTGCAGCTCTCTGATGATGGGTGACGTTGACTGTTTTTTCACATGTTTATTGGACGTGTGTGCCATCTTTGGAGAAGTGTCTATTCTCCAAAGACACTCCTTTGCCCATTATTTACGTGGATAGTTTGTCTTCCTTGTGAACAGCCCCATTGTTTATTTGTCCAAGGCCCATGCAGTGTGCTTAGGCACCGAGGACACTGAGGGGTCAGGCCCTTCAGAGCTCCGCACCTTGTTGACACCACAGCAGATGCATCCCGTGTGCCTTCCTGATCCTCCCGGCCCTGCTGGCCGCGTCTCCTGACCTCCGTGAGGAGGGCCCTGTGGTGAGTGGTGTGCGCTTCCTGTTACAGGGGTCAGTGGCGTTCAGGGATGTGATTGTGGACTTCACCCCGGAGGAGTGGCAGCAGCTGAAGCCTGCGCAGAAGGACCTGTACAGGGACGTGATGATGGAGACCTACTGGAACCTGGTCTCGCTGGGTAAGGGGGCAGCTTTGCTGTGTTACTCTCCCCCTGTCACTTCAGGATGACACAGAAACAGAAAAGATGTACAGGTCTGACATGTAGGATCTTCATATAACTTGAAGCTGAAAATAAAGTTAATAGGTAATTGAGTGGGGAAGAGTATTTACCATATGTATATAACAATCAGAGGATTATATATATATAAATACCTCCTTGGAATAAACGAGAAAAAGACCAAATGATGATAGAGAAATGGACTAAGCTTATGGGTGTGCAATTCACAGATGTAGAAATGCATGCAGTGAAACTTTTAGAAAAGATTTTTAAACTGTACTAATGGTCAAAAAAGTACCACTTGAGTCACAGAAATAAACTCTTGCCCATGAGATACACAGAGAAGAACAAGAATAACAGCCCTGATCAGGTGTAGCTTGGTTGGTTGGAGCTTCGTTCCATACACCAAAAGGTTCTGAGTTCGATTTCCTATCAGGATATACATGTAGGTTGTGATTTGCTTTCCATCAGGGCAGGTATGGGAGGCAAGCAAGGCATATTTTCTTCTTCCTCTCTCTCCCCCTCTTCCTTCCTCCCTCTCTAAGCATATCCTCAAGTGAGGCATTAAAAAAAAAAGAAGAATAACAACATCCTGTATTGTGAGGGTGCAGGGAAAGGGAGTTTAGGAGCATGAAGTCTGAAGTTACAACAACTCACTTGGAAGACAGTCTGATGTTCCCTCCCAAATCTCAAAAGATGAAGGCGATGCCTGTGCTCCCCAGGGTACTGGGAAAGTGCTGGAGGGTTTGGTCTGGCTCTGACGTCTTCCCGCGGAGCGGACCATGGGTGGTAGAGAGCGGGGGAGGCTGCTGCGCTGGTGGTGGCGGCCGTGCATCAGTCTGGGCCAGTTCAAGCTGCTCTCCCGTGCGGCGGCAGTTGTTAGGGTCTGGATGTGGGAGGGAGTCGGGGAGTCAAGGATCGCTAGTAAATCTTTTTTTTCTCTTTTTCATTATAAAAATATTTATCTTTTTAATGGTTGAAAACATACATCATGTAAAATTAACTGTTTACCTATTTGTTTTTGACTGTTTAACTATTTTGACATGCACAGCTCCATGGCATGAAGTTCCCTCACATTATTGTTCAACCATCAGCAGCATCTATCTCCAGTTCTCTCCATCATACCCAGCTGACAGTCTGTCCCTCTGAAGACCAGCTTGCCATCCCCCTCCCTGAGCCCTGGTACCCATGTCCTGCTTTCTGTCTGTGAAATGCCTCATATGAGTGGAATCATATGGTATCAGTCATTGTGTGTCTGACTTATTTTGCTAAGTCTCTTTGATGTGCCTTTTTATTATTTGAGACCGAAGGATTCAAAATCACAAGTCTCTCATCCAGTGCGTTAGGTATGTGATACCGAGTCGGTTGCCAAATAGGCCTTGGATTATTCCTCAGCAGAGCTCAGAGAGGGGGTCTGTGTGGGGGTGTCCATTTAGCAGGTGTCAGCATGGAGAAGAGACACAAATCAGCCTCGCAATACTCAGGGGAGGGGCCTCAAACTTACAGACTGTGGGGCCAGTGGGGGCTTAAATGAGAGTAGGGGAACAGCTGCTTATCCCTCCCACTGTCTCTGTTGCCTCCTAGGAAGGAGGGCTCCCTGTGGCTGGATCTTCCCTTTTTAATGAGTTTTTAGTGTAAGATCTCAGTTTTTCATATTGGCAGGAACCCTGAGTTCTATGTGCAGAGTCTGGAACTAAGGACAGCCCTGTAGGCTGGAAACAGATATTGAGGATCCCCCGGCACAAAGCCCAAGGGGACTGGAGCAGCTGTGGTCAGCAGGGAGAGTGGAGTGTGCATAGAGGGGGAGGAGCCACCTGCAAGGCCAGGTCTCTGGGACAGCATAGTGAGGAGGAGCTTGGCTGGGGGGTGGGTACACAGAGGGCAACCAGCACATCCACAGGAGAGTCAGCTCTTCAGCTTTTCTAATAACAGTTGTCGCTTTAAGAAGCACAGCTGGCAGGCGACATGCAGGACAGGCGCAGTGAATCCTCACTGGGTGTGGGAGCCTTTGATCAGCGACTCGAAGCCCGCCTTCCTTCTCTTTCTCTTTGGGGTCTGTCTACACAGCTCTGCAAGGGGACCTTTTGTGCTCTCTGTCACCTCCCTACAACATATTGTCTCAGCTCACTGCTTGCTTTCTCCCTTGGTTCCCATGACAGGCTATGCCCTGCTCTCGGGCTCTGCCCTGTGTCTTGGGAAGGCCCTCCCTCCCAACATTTTTAACTATGTGTGTCCTCATCTGTTTCCCCCTCCCCTCAGACTTGGAGACTAGACCTGACCTGAAAGAATCGGACCCACAGGAGGACAACTGGGGAGACGGGCCATCCATTGCAGTGATTGCAGAAGGACCTATGAGGAATGGTGCCCAGGGTTGCACCTGGGAAGGAGCAGGGACACAGGGTGACTGGGTGGGACAGCCACATGGGAGCCCAGGGACCTGTCTAGGACATTTGGACATGAATCAAGGATTAGCCTCTGAATGTTGTGAATTTACAGAATTGGTGCACCAACGCTCCACGCCGGCCCCACCAAGATGGGAAGTACAGAAAGGGGAGAGGACGCACCTGTTCACCACGTGTGGGAAACTCGCAGGGACTTCAAGCCTCCATCCTGCCTCCGAACACCATGCAGGGAAGCCTTATGAGTGCCAGGACTGTGGCAAGGCCTTCACACGGAACAGGAGCCTCATTGTGCATCAGAGGACGCACACCGGGGAGAAGCCTTTCACGTGCAGGGACTGCGGCAAAGCCTTCACACGGAAGGTGTACCTCATCACACACCAGAGGACACATACTGGGGAGAAGCCATACGTATGCCAGGACTGTGGCAAGGCCTTCACCCAGAGTAGGAGTCTCATTGTACATCAGAGGACGCACACTGGGGAGAATCCATACGTATGTGGGGAATGTGGCAAGGCCTTCAGCCAGAAGGCACATGTCATACAGCACCAGAGGACGCACACCGGAGAGAAGCCATACACTTGTGCGGAGTGCGGAAAGGCCTTCAGGCAGAAGTCAAACATCATTCGGCACCAGAGAACGCACACTGGGGAGAACCTTTACACATGCAAGGACTGTGGAAAGGCCTTCAGGCTGAACAGAAAACTCATTGAGCATCAGAGGACGCACGCCTGGGTGAAGCCCTATTTCTGTAGGGACTGTGGCATGGTCTTCAGTCGGAATGATTCCCTCATCACACACCAAAGGACGCACATTGGGGAGAAGCCTTTTGTATGTGGGAACTGCGGCAAGGCCTTCAGGCAGAAAAGGAGCCTTATCGACCACCTGAGGACTCACACTGGGGAGAAGCCATATGTGTGCGGGGACTGCAGCAAGGCCTTCAGCCGGCAGGAGTGCCTCAAAGCGCACCAGAGGATACACACTGCAGAGAAGCTGTATGCCTGTGGGGAATGCGGCAAGGCCTTCAGACATAAAGGGTACCTCAAAGTGCACCAGAGGATGCACACTGGGGTGAAGCCATACGTGTGCAGTACCTGCAGCAAGGCCTTCAGCAGGAACACGAGCCTCATCATGCATCAGAGGACGCACACTGGGGAAAAACCGTATACTTGTGCGGACTGTGGAAAGGCTTTCAGCCGGAATGACCACCTCATCCTCCATCAGAGGACGCACATGGGCAAGGAGCCATACATGTACGGCCAGTGTGGCAAGGCCTTCAGGCAAAACTTCTCACTCGGCGTGCACTGGCAAATGCACACTGGGGAGAAGCCCTACGTGTGTAGACAGTGCGGCAAGGCCTTCAGGCTAAACTTCTCGCTCAGGGAGCACCTGCACCTTCACACTGGGGAGAAGCCCTACAGCTGCAGCCAGTGCGGCAAGTTCTTTAGCCTCAAATCCTATCTCAGGAAGCACCAGCGCTTGCACACTGGGGAGTAGCCCTACCAGTGCTCCATCTGCCAGAAGCACCAGAGGAGGGTGCACACGTAGCAGAGGGGCCAGAAATCTCAGAATCCGCACCCAACTGGCAGGTCTTGAGTCCATGGGTCAGTACCAGACTTGACAGTGAGGCCACAGGTAGGGGGCAAGAAAAGTCCTACCCAGATGGGTCATCGGGGGCCCTGGGGACATGCCACACCTTACTCACCTTTGCTTCCGCAGGCTCAGCAGGGCCGTGTGAAAAACAAGTCCCCCTCCAGGTCCTGTATCTGGAAGCATGGCCTGGGGCACTGTAGTTCCTGAATGAGATGGAGTAAGCTGACCTATGAGCTTGGACAACGCATTTAGTGTCTCTGGGTCTCCATCTCCTCAACAGAAAAGTGGAGGAGTGGGAGAAGAAAGGGAAGGGGTAGGTGGTCTCCATGGTAACATTGTCGCTTCCAAAAGCCATTGTCTCATTTTCTATGTCCACCAGCACATGCTGAGAATTTCTTTGCTCTGTGTGCTCGTCAGAACTGAATATGCTCAGCCTTTCTCATTGCAGCCATTCTTGCTGGCGTGCAGTCGTACCCCACTCCAGCTTGCAGCTGGTACTGAGAACCTTGCCAGTGTATTTGCCATCAGTATATTCTTTTGGTGAAGTGTCTGGTTCAAGTCTTTTGCCTTTTTTTTCAGTTGGATTGTTTGCTTTCCCGTTACTCAATTTTAAAAGTTCTTCACATATTCTTTTGTTGTCAATTTTTGCTCTAAGACCTTTATCAGGTGTGTGCTTTGCAACCGTTTCTCCCATTCTGTGGGTAGTTTTTTTCTCTTCCTTGATGGCATCATTTGGAATGCAAATGTTTTTAATGTTGATGGGGTCCAGTTCATTTATTTTGTTGTTGCTTGTGGTTTTGGAGTCATGTCTGAGGCACCGTTGCCTAACCAAAGGCCGTGAAGATTTACTCCTGTTTATTCTACAAGTTTTAGAATTTTAGCTATTTATTATTAAGGGAGACCAACATCATTTTAAACACTCTTCAGGTGCAAAAGATACAGTTATTGGTTGTTTTGTCAAAAGGAGTGTCAAAGTTGAGGGGAGGAAGCAGGAACACCCCACAGGAACCCAGCAGGCCTGCCTCAGGCCACGTGCCCCTCTCAGCCCTGCATTCCTGGCTTAGGAATGGTCAGACCGGAAGGCAGGGCCCAGGCCCTAAGCAGGAGGGATCGTGGAAGGTGCCCCCTGCAGAAACTGAGACTTGTGGATCCCCGCCCTGCAGGGCTGTTTCAGTTACAGGAGAAGAATCCTCTCTCACATCACAGACTGTCCACTACCCACCCTCTGCTGGCTGGAATTCTTGTGAAAATAAAGGGCCTTCAGTCGGACTGGGCCATTATGCAATCTATGCCTCACCTACGTCCATAGTCATGGTGTTCTTAAGGTTTCCTTATTGGGATGAAAGCAATCTATTTCCAATAATAAACATCAAACGATGTAAGGATGGTGCTCTATTAATAATAAGGTAATACAGTATTTTTTAAGGATTTTATTTATTTTTTAGAGAGTGTAAGGGAGAGAAACATCAATGTGCAGTTGCATTTTACCCACCCCCTGCTGGGTGACCCGGCCTGCAACCCAGGCATGTGCCCTACACTGGGAATTGAACCAGTGACCCTTTGGTTCATAGGCAGGCACTCAATCCACTGAGCCTCGCCAGCCAGGGCTACATAAAGCCTTTTTTAAAATATTTTATTTTTAGAGAGAGGGGAAGGGAGGATGAAAGAAGGAGAGAAACATCAATGTGTGGCTGCCTCCTGTGCATTCCCCACTCGGGACCTGGCCCTCAACCCTGGCATGTGCCCTGACTGGGAATTGAACCAGTGACCCCTTGGCTTGCAGGCCGGCACTCAGTCCATGGAGCCACACCAGTCAGGGCATCGTTTTTTAATAAATGGGTAATTAGTTACTACTTTTGTATAGGTTGCTACTCTGTTGAGATGCTTTTGTGAACGTTAGTAAATGACTGCTGAGACCCCTGATGCTGCCTGCAGTCCTGCAGCCTTTTCATCTCCTTCATATCACAAAACGGTACAAGCCGGTGATGCTTAATAGTTGGGCTGGCTCATCCTGCTAACTTAGTGAAATGGGACAGACAGACCCACGTGATCTGAAAGTGGGACACCTCTGGCGGCTCAGGTCATGAAGTATTGCACCTGTATGTCAAAGTTATGGGTTCAATCCATGATTTAGGCACAAAGAAGAAACCAGTGAATCCTTGAATGAGTGGAACAAGGAGTTGATGCCTCTCTTTCTCTCTATTTCTCTGTAATAAATAAAAATTTTAAAAAGTGAAATAGATTTTCCTTGTGGAGTGAATCTTACAGTCTTTAGTTGGTGCCACACAGTCCTGCCTTCTGGGCCACCACTGATGGCCCAGAGGAGGGAACAACAGAAACCTGGCCCATGGCAAAGTCGCCTGACAGAGTCTTAACAGGCATTCTGTGGTCATGGGTGGCACCTGGGCACATCTTGGGCTGCACCCAGTCAACAGATAGACATAATTCAGCTCACTCTCCTTAAATGTAATGTGTTATCCACATTTAAGGCATTGGAATATTTTGTATTTACAAGCATCACCTTTTATTCACTTAATCCTTAAGGAAAAAAATAGAATATGAGTTTACGCTAGCTAGTGTGGGTCAGCATATTGAGCATTGTCCTGCACACTGAACATTTGCCAGTTCCATTCCCACTCAAGGCATGTGCCTCAGTTGGGGCCAGGTCCCCAGTTGGAGGCACGGAAGAGGCAACCAAATGATGTTTCTATGACACGTTGATGCTTCTCTCCCTCTCCTTTACTCCATCTCAAATCAATAAAAGTCTTTTTTTTTAATATTTAGAGAGGGGGGAGGGAGAAAGTGAGGGAGAGAAACATTAATGTGTGGTTGCCTCTTGCGCTCCCCCTACCAGGGACCTGGCCTGCAACCCAAGCATATGCCCTGACTAGGAATTGAACCAGTGACCCTTTGATTTGCAGGCTGGCGCTCGATCCACTGAGCTATACCAGCCAGGGCTAAAATCAGTGAAATTTTTAAATAAAGATTTTAGTTATGTTTAGAGTTGAAGGGACTGAGAGTGAGGGGGAGAGCAACATCAATCTTTGGTTGCCTCTTCCACACCCCCTGCTGGGGACCTGGCCTGCAACCTAGGCACATGCCCTAGACTGGGAATTGAATGAGCCACCCTTTAGTTCATAGGCTGGTTGCTCAATCCACTGAACCACACCAGCCAGGTAGAAAATTAATGAAATTTTAGAAAAAGAATATTTGGTATGTGCCAAGAATATCCTAATGGGTGGAAACTCAGAGATTTATTATAAGAACAGTTCCCATCATCTGTGGACAGGGACAACAGTGTGGAGACACACTGCAGGAACGGTGGGAAGGGGTACAAAGGGCAAAAATTGGGACAACTGTAACAGCATAAACAAAAATGTCTAAAAAAGGAAACATACAGTCTCCGTCACCATGGAGGCCAAATCACAGAAAGCAGGGGAGATAGTATGAAAGGAAAACGATTTTTAACATAATAAATTTAATTTTTAGAGAATTTGGAATATCAAAACCCACTGGGCTAAAAACTCCTTTAGAAAAGTACGGCAGAGCCAGAGTTCAGCGGTCTAGCTGATTTAAAGGTTAAATCAGACACTGAAAGCTTCCTACCCCTTAAAGAGTTGTGGAAATTATCCTCTTAGAGGAAGGGGGATGTGGCTCAAGTGTCTTTTGCAATATTCAGCATCCAGTGGGTGTTTTATGAATGTCTGTGTGTTGAGTGATGGGGGCAGCGGTGGCTTCCCTGGTCACCAGATCTTTGGGAAGAACAAACATCCATCCATTGAGTCATCAATTCCAGAGTGGCTGAATTTTCATGCCTGGGGGTGGGGGTGATTCTTGAAGACATCGCTCCATTCCAGAATTGCATAATTCAGGGCCAACCCTAACAAAAGTGATTGGCATGTCTCTTCACCTGCTAAAGAGATACCAAAATTACAAACACAGTATACAATGTACACAATTAATTATATTAGAAAGTAAGGATTTATAAGAAAATTTTTTCAGAATTTTAAGGTTTTATTAACACAAATACAATGTGTACACAATCTGTCTTCCTTTTCTTCACTGCACAGCCGGGCATTGGGGTTGGTGGCTCTGATGGCCAGCTGGGCTGCTCTTTCCACAACGGCTTTGTGGTTCTTTGAGGAGACATGAGCAATCTCAGCACAGTATAGCTTGGTGCACATCAGCAGCACTTGAAGCTCCTTGTCCTTGTGGACCAGGAACTTTCAAAAACTACTGGGCAGCATGTGGTTTGTTGTTTTCTTGCTCCCATAACCAATGTTGGGCATTAAGATCTGCCGCTTCTGTGCACCTTCCTGTCAATACCTCTGGGTTTGCGCCAGTTCTGCTTAATTTTGGCATATTGGTTTGACTGGTGCCCAATGAACTTCTTGGTCCTCTTTTTGACAATCTTGCGTTCCGCAAAGGGTCTGAGGGCAGCCATGGTGCAGAGTAAGAGGTGGTTCCCATCTCCATAGGCAGCGCCAAGGAAGTGAGCTTAAGAAACTTGTTTTCTTACATATATTTTATTGATTATGTTATTACAGATGTCCCTTTTTTTCCTCCCCTTTATTACCTTCCACCCAGCATCTCCCCCGTCCCGCTTAGTTCATGTCCATGGGTCATGTAAGTTCTTCGGCTTCTCCATTCCCTATACTATTCTTAACATACCCCTATCTATTTTGTACTTACTATTTATGCTTCTTATTCCCCGTACCTTTTCCCCTGTTGTCCCCTCTCCACCTTCCCCGCTGATCTTCATTTCTGTGATTCTGTTCCTGTTTTAGTTGTTAGCTTAGTTTGTTTATGTTTTTGGTTTTTTAGGTTCAGTTGTTGATAGTTGAGTTTATTGTCATTTTACTGTTCAAAGTTTTTGATCTTTTTTTAGATAAGTCCCTTTAACATTTCCTATAATAAGGGTTTGGTGATGATGAACTCCTTTAACTTGACGTTACTTGGGATGCACTTAATCTGCCCTTCCATTCTAAATGATAGCTTTGCTGGATAGAGTAATCTTGGATGTAGATCCTTGCCTTTCATGACTTTGAATATGTCTTTCCAGCCCTTTCTTGCCTGCAAGGATTCTTTTGAGAAGTCAACTGGGAACTCCTTTGTAGGTAACTGTCTTCTTTTCTTGCTTTTAAGATTCTCTCCTTATCTTTAATCTTGGTAATGTAATTATGATGTGCCTTGGTGTGTGCTTCCTTGGGTCCAACTTCTTTGGGACTCTCTGAGCTTCCTGGATCTCCTGGAAGCCTATTTCCTTCACCCAGATGGGGGACGTTCTCTGTGGTGGAGTCCTCTGATTTGCCGCGGATGAAGTAACAAATCATTCCAGACACCAAGTGCTGTCAAGAAAAGGGGAAGGCGATTCTCTAGAGGAGAATGCCCTGAGCCCCTGTGCTCAACAGCTTTCATGGAGAGGGTTACAGGCGGGGGAGGGGCAGGCAGCAGGAATGTCTAGGCAATCTATCTACATCAGCAGCTTAAGCTTACAGAGAATAGATACTGTTTAAAGAAGACAATGGCAGGAACTGCTTCGGGTTAGTGTTGAGCAAACATTACGGTTCCAGGTGGGTTCTGAGTCAGGGTCCAGGAGTTTTGTAAATTTCTTTCCTAGCTTAGAGCTGGCTATTTGGTACAGGATTAACAGAGTTTGAGAGAGAAACCAAGCATGCTTCAAGGAGTGTAATTTACTTCTAAATTCTGCTTCCCCCCAGGGGGCCCTTGGAGTCAGTATTAGGCCTTGCCTACCTCCAGCATTACCAGCATTCCAGCCAAGACTTACAGGTCCTTTCCCAGGCCCCAGCTTGCGCGGGGCTGCAATTCCTGATACCACTCAAAGCGGCCCCCTACAGTTCTCCATTATTTTTAAAAGTTTTCAATTTCTTGCTCTTCCTTTTCTCTTTCTGGTACCCCTAGGATTTGGATGATGAAACGGTTAAAGTTGTCCCAGAGGTTCCTAAGTCTCTCCCCATTTTCTTGAATTCTTGTTTCTTCATTCCATTCTGGTTGAAAATGTATTTCTTCTGTTTCAAATCGTTGACTTGAGTCCCGATTTTCTTCCCTTTATTTTTGGTTCCCTGTATATTTTTCTTTATTTCACTTTGTACAGCCTTTACTTTTTCCTCCATTTTGCAACCATACTCAACCATTTCCGTAAGCATCCTGATTACCAGTGTTTTTGAACTATGCATCTGATGAATTGTCTCTCTCTTCATGGCTTAGTTCTGTTTTTTGAGCTTTGATCTGTTCTTTCATTTGGGTCATATTTCTTTGTCTCAGTGCACCTGTTACATTGGAAGGGGTGGAGACTTAGCTATTGCCAGGGTGGGGCAACACAGGTTGCTGCTTTGTGATGCTGTAGGTTGGGGAGGGGTCTGAGAAGGAACAATGCTGTTTGCTCAGCACTTGGCTGGCTTTCAGTCACTTCCCCCACTACCCACAAGCAAATTGGGCCCTTCTGATGCTGATTCCCAGGTGGGTGGGTTTGTGTATGTTCTAGGACCCTGTGGGTCTCTCCAGCAAACTCTCCTGTGAGGCTGGGAGTTTCTCCCACCACTGCAACACCCACAGGTTTTTTTTTTATAGTCAGAGGTTTTGAGGATTTCTTTTCCCACACTGGAATCTGGATTGCGTTGTCTTTGTCACTCCCTAGCTGTTCCCAGCCCAGGTTTATCCTCATGCAAATGTGGGACTGCCTGGTCTGCCAGCTGCAGCCTTGCCTTGTCCTCTCTGCCCCAGCTGCCTGTCTCCGCCCCTCTACCTGTCTGGATGAATGTTTCTTCTTTAACTCCTTGGTTGTCTGACTTCCATACAGTTCGAATTTCTGGTTGTTCTGGTTATTGCTTTTAAATTTGTTGTTGTCCTTCTTTTGGTTGTGCAAGGAGGCAAAGTGTATCTACCTATGCCTCCATCTTGGCTGGAAGTCTAGCTTAAGAAACTTTAAATTGCAAGGATTCTTGTCATTCCCCAAAATATGCCATTCAAATATTGTGATTTCAAGTGTTTATAATTCAAGTTAGTATAAATCAGCCATACTGTATTCTATTTTTAAAGCGCTTTTAAGTTACAGCATTTGTAGCTTCTTTTTTTAAAAAAAGACTTCATTTACTTTTAGAGAGAGGAGAAGGGAGGGAGAAACAGAGGGAGAGAAACATCCATCACACATCGACTGGTTGCCCTTCACAGGTCCCCCAGTTGAGGACCTGGCTGGCAACCCAGTCAAGTGCCCTGACTAGGAAGCAAACCAGCCACCTTCTGGCTGACGGGCCAGCCCTCAATCCACTGAGCCACACGAGCCAGGGTGCTATGCTGTATTCTTATAAAAACACAATAATATCCTTCTTTGAAACCACCTCCCAAAGTAAAAACTAGAACCTTGCCAATAACTCACATATCCCTACATAGCACTCCCAGAATTTTCCCCAAGGCAAGGAAACCATCATCCTGAATCCTTGCATGTTTATCTTGTTTCTCATTTTTTGGGGGTACATTTTTTCCCCACAGAAATGTGTTTGAAACCCCATGTGAATAATTTCGGTCAGGATGTAGCCAGACCCCGCCATTCTAAAAGACAAAGCTGCCTCTTAAAAATGACCGTGCAGGTTTTGCCCTCATCTGCTTTTATCCCATGCTCCCCACAGCCCAGAGAGCTTTGTTCCCAGACAGATCTATCCTTTGAAGCAGTCAGAGGTAGAGAGCTCTGTGTTCTGCCTAGAGATTTAATCAGGCGCAGCTCCAGCCAGTCTGACTCAGCAGCACAGACATGTCTCTCCATGACGCTCACCATGGCAGATTGGTCTATGGGAAAAGGGTTCAGAACCACAGACAACTGGGCTGGCCTGTCTGGACAGCTTGAACAGGTCTATCTGAAAGGGGGTTCAACCTGGCCTGGGGCTCACTTAGATGGAGCATTGTCCCATGCACCAAAAGGTTGTGGGTCACAATAGATCAATGTTTCTCACATCAATTTCTCTCTCTCCCCCTTCCTCCCTCTCATAATCAATGAGCATTTATATTTGGGTGAGATTTTAAAAAGGAAATAAGAAAAATCAGTCATTAATTACAACCTAAGGTGGCTGCAGTTTGCATTTTTATGGACACTGAGACATTCAGCAAGTGCTTTTGCACTTGTGTTGTAGGTTAGGGTGTAGGAGGGCCCCAGCTCAGAGACCTCTTTCCCGCCTCAACTCCCTTATTTTCCTCTCCTGTGACCTCCCTTGTGTGCATCAATGTCCTCATCTAAAGAGTAGCTTTGTTGCCAGGAATAAATGATTTTGTACATCTTAATGATACAGATAGCCAGGCAGGACCCCTGGGAGGAGACAAGGGCAGGAACCAGAGGGGCATCTGAGATCTACATCTTCCCTGTGCCATTGTGAGACTGTGGGAGGGGCCGAATTGCCTTGGTAACTGAGCTTCCACTTGGAATGTGAAGCATCCAATCCTGGAGGCAGATACCCTGCCCCAGGGCAAGAGGGCAGCAGAAGGAAGTACTGCACTGAATAGGCACAATTCTAGCAAGATGAAAGGATGGGGAAAAGACCTCCTACAACCTATTGGTACCTGATGGGGGTGGGACCAGGGGAAGGTGGGCACATGCACTTTAGGGGTCAGAATGGCAGCAGGGGACAGGTGCTGGAGGGAAGACTAGCCTGTCAGTCTAGCCTGGGGAGAAAAAGCAATTGGTTGTGGGTAGGCCACCCCCTCTTCAGCAAGGGAAAATCTGAAAAGTTAATAGGGCATTCAGACCACCCCATACCTGAAACTAATATAAACACAGGGAACTGAGGAGCTGCTCTCTTGCCCACCTGCTGAAGTTACTACTTGATGAGTTGTAGAACAACCTTGTGAACCTGGAAGCAGTCTTGTGGACTTTAGCCCCAGCGGTTTCCACAAGGGAGCCTGAAACAGGGCGGTGGCCAGGAGCGAGCTGAGCTGCCTGGGTGACTGCTCAGTGGCACCTGGGGTTCCCAAAAGACTGTACTTTCAATGGGAGCAGGAACTCTGCATTTTGTTATCATCTTGCTTAGGACGTTCGGATTTTTCCTTGGTTTTCTGGAGGGGATGAGCTTTGAGACAAGTCTGCTGTTCTCTCTGAACCTGCAGCATCTGAATGAAAAACTTCTTTCCTTTCTCACTGGCCTCTGCCTCTAGAACTTGCCTATTGGGGGCGAGGGGCAGAGGGACCCACATTTGGGTTCTGTAACAATAACATGCCCAGAACATGGGCTGGCAAGTAACGGAAAGGACTGATTCTTCCTTTCTGTTTATAACTTTTACTTTTTTGCACCTCTGCATACTTTAAAATATTGTGCAAGTCAGCATGCCTGTCAGGGCTCCTTGGCCAGATGCAGGATGTCTGCAGAGGGGCTACAGTATCTTTCCCTGCCTCCACCCATGCCCCACCTTTTCTACAATTTCCCTCTCCCTCCCTCCTCTCCAGCTCACTCTGCTCCCATCCCCCTCCCCATCTCCCTTCTGCTGTCTCTCCCTGTCCCCCCTCTCCCTGGAATTCCTCTTCCCCCTCCCATCCCATTCCTCCCTGGGCACCGTCAGACTCCATGGTCTTGCTCCCGCTCCTGGCTCCACTGCGCTACCTGCCCTCTTATCTCTCACTAACCCTGCCTTTCCCCGCCCCCCCACTGATGTAATCACTTTATTATTAGAACAAAAGAATAGACTGCTTCTTAGTATTTATCCCAAAAGAGGTCACACCTGACAGGGTAAGGAAGCACAGGTAATCATATGTCATCTGCTGATGCTTGAAGCAAGATTGGAACTGCCACCTTATCTTCCAGATGTCCACCTCCCCATTTCAGTAATGGCAGAGTTGCTGTGGCCATGTAAGACTAGCTGGGAAGCAAGGGATGACTAATCTTTCTGTTCCTAGATGTCATAATTGTTCTAGTTCTTTCTGGGGAAGGGTTGTTAATTGTTTTTTTCTGAGAACCAGCGATTGTCTCAGTCATAATAGATTGCTATCATGTTTGTATGCTGTTGGCATAACAGGCACTTGCTGACTAGAAAAGTTTTATGTAATGAGTTCATGTTCCTCTGGTAGCAGATCAAAGACACACTTCAAGTTAAGTTCCTACTATTCTTCTATACACTCAGAATCTCAAAATCTTCCTCCAGGTGAAACTCCTCAAGTTGTTCAGTAGAGTTAATGAATTCTGCCCCAGTGGTTGTCACCTCTGGTTTGGCTGGAGGTACAAAGGGAGTCCAGTCTGATGGATGTTTCTGAACTAATTCAAACATCCTTAAGTTTTCCTTTAGAATTTCCTTCTGAACAAGGCTACATCAGCTATCAAAAGTCTTGTCTTCTTTGCAGAAAAATCCTAGTGCCACAGAAGGATCCAAGTCCAGAATGCTCATTCGCTGTGGTGACTGCAGACAATGGAAAGTCTGGCCATCAACTGTCTCTTTCTCTTCAATGTCTACAAAGGGCTGTGTGAGGGTCCAGGAAAATGAGCTCATCACCTAAGAATCCTATGAAATAACAGGCATTATTTGTTTTTCCTTCTAATGCCCCTATAGACTGTGGCATCTAAAAACATTCTTTGAACGCATCAACATAGACAGGATTGATTTGGTTTATGCCCAGGCAGAGGGGCACAATGAGCAGCAGGGGTTTCCAGTCTGGGCAGCGGGCAGGGGTGGCCTTACTGTGTTTAGAGCATTCCAAGGGTCATGGGGGCTCTCGCTGGGTATGTCAGCACTCAAGAGAAGGATGCAATACATTTTTTTAAATCTTCTATGACCACTGTGTTATCCATTGAAACATAAACAGCCAAGGAATTCCATTAATCAAGTAAAGCAAGTTTTGTGGGGTTTTAACACCTGTGCAACTGTATTTGGTCCAAATCATTCACCAATTGACTTCCCTTCTACACGCATTTGTGCCATTTGTTGGGTAGAATAGCAACAGTCTTTTCTATCTGAGAAGCATTGCAGGACCCGCTGGTATTCTTTGGGTGGTTCTTTTTGTTTCTCCCACTTCCAGTCCCTCCCCAAGTGTCTGCAGGTAAGAGCTTGAGCCGGCACCATTGGTCCGCTGCCTAGCACACCTCCCCAGCCAGCTTCTGAGGAAGGGCCTGCTCCCCCAATTGGTGAAAATTTCCTTCTGTATGTGAACCACAGACGAGCACTTGTATAAGCCAACAGCTTAGATTTTCCAGTTGTGTAGCCTTGCCACTGAGATTCACATTCCTCATCTGTTTTAAGGAGATGTTTCCCCAAGTCCCACATCAGCTCATCTCTCTCTGGAAATTCTTCTAGGTAGTCAGTGAAAACAGTCACCTGGTTTTCACACTTGGATAAAACTGACTCCCATCTCCAGCGGTCATTCTGGGCTAACCCCGCCTTCGTGACCCCGGTGCCTCGGGGGTTTCTGGTACGGGGAACAACGCTCGCCCACCAGTCCGGTTCCTGTCGGTTTCCCGTCAGGTCAGGGACGACCGCTCTGAGGAGAGGCCCAAGCTGACGACGTAGCGGCGCGCAGGGTTCTGGGAAGTGTAGTCCGCCCGTCCGCGCAAGCGTAGTACTGTCCCGGGTCTAGGCGGAAGTCGGTCCCTTTCTTGAGGGTGCCGTGTCCGGAGTCACGCAGTAGACAAGTCTGGGGCGGAAGTAAAGAGCTTGCAGGTCCGGTGAAGGGGCCCGTGGACTCGGGAGGGAGTGCGGCTCGAGGCGGGTTCGTGCGGGGGAAGGTGATGCCTGCGGTTGTGTGAGTGTGTGTTGGGCTAAGAAACCCGGGCCTTCGCTGTGTGTCTCTGTGTTTGTCAGCGCGTGTGTCCGGATGTCCTACTGTGTCTCGCCTTTGCGTGTGTATGTGTCGGCTGCCCGTCTTGGCCTCTCCGGGGTCCCTCTGTGTCCACGTCTGTGTGCGTGTTTGCCTTTGTTTCCGCCCGCGGCGTCTCAGCGTGTTGGGCGCCATCCGGGTGTCCCCTTGTGTCTGGTCTCTTCCTCGGCGCCGGTGTCTGGTGTGGGTGTGTCTGTGCGTGTGGGGGTGTGTCTCTCCTCTCCGAACCTTTCCCTGTGCGTCCCTGCGCCTCTGTCTCGGGGCACAGCTGACGTGTGTGGGTGAGTAGGGGTTGCCCTCCTGAGAGCGTGGGAAAGACCGTGGGGAAGACGCCCTCCTGCACAGACGGGCCTGGCGGAGCTGCCTGCCCGCGGGCCCAGAGCCCATCTCCTTCCCGCCCTCAGAGCCTCCCCGGCCCCCGGGAGGGCAGGGCGTGTGTGGTCGCCAGGTGTGGGGCTAAGGAAGAGGGTCAGAGAGACCCCCAACCCCAGGCTGACTGGAGTAGATTTGTTCAGGGAGGGTGTGTTGGGTGCCCAGGGTATGGTTCTGGGGATTTTATAGGCCTCCTAGTAACTCTGAGGTAGGGACCCTTATCATCCCCATTTTGCAGTTGGGGAAACTGAGGCTCAGAGACTTTGAGTGAACCACCCAGCTGGACATCCAGGCATCCGGGTTCCGGAGTCCCCACATCAACCACCCCACAGATGGCAAATCCTTGTTTCCCCTTAGAAACAGTGGATGGAAGGAAATGCCAGAAGGATTGGACGGAGGAGGGGCAGGGGCAGGAGCAGCTGCCACCCTTGGCTCCGCAGCCACAGACCTGAGGCCACTGTAGACACTTGCAGGGCCACTGAGCCTTCCTGACCTCCTTTTAAATAAACTGAGAACTAGAGTTGTGATTGCATTGCTCTAAGGACAACAATAATCTAGGCTGGATTGGCTCCCCATTTTCTCTTGTAAGAGGAACAGTAACGAGGATATTTTCAAGGTCCCCTATGGGTGTCAGGGGCCCTGGGCCCCCTGTGCCTCCTGGGTAAGTCGGCTCTTGGGGCTCCCTTCTCCTGCAGTGACAGCCCGTGTCGTTGCCTTCGTGGTTCAGGGATTGGAGTTAGAAACCCCAAATGCAGGAAGAATACATTTGTAAAAATTAAATTCTGTCTTAAAAATCATAAATGCACTGTGCTCAGGCCCATAACGTAACTCCTGCTTCTGGGTGGCAAACCTGGAGTTTCAGCCCAGACACCCGGCTTCTGCCGAAATCTCCAGGGTTGGTTGGTAGGTTGGTGTTTCTTTCTAGGAACAGTGCTACGATAAACCTCGTTTGTGTGTTTATTGATTTTAGAGAACGAGGAACATTGATCGGATGCCTCCTGCTCGTAGGGGACCTAGGATCAGGTCATGAAACCCACAACCTAGGCTCAGGCCACACCCAGGGATTGAACCCGACCTTTTGTGTTCAGGACGGCGCTCCCGTCAGTGCAGTCCCCGGGCTCCTGGCTCCCTCCATGCGTCTGGTCAGTGAGCCTCACAGTAACCACAGACCTGGAGACGTGGAGACGTGGAGGCCTTGGAGGGTGGTTGTGGCGTTGGGGTGTGTCGTGAGGAAGGGGCCGGCAGGGCCGGCAGTGAGGTGGAGGCCGCGGCAGAGAGACTTGTTCCTCTCTCCAGGCTGTAGGACTGGGTGTGTGCGCATGCGTGTGTTGGGGGAGTGTCAGGGTGTGGGTGTGACGTGTGCACTCACCACATCAACTCTGATATACTCAGCCCAGTCCTAATCCCGGCCTTATCATTTTGGGCGCATGACTTTTGTTTTAGGGCCTCAGTTTCCTCATCTCTAAAATGGGGTGAGTGGAAAGAGGTCCCAGTTTGTAGGGTGTCAGGAGGATTAAATCAGGGACAATGTCAAGTGCCTTGGATGCCATTGGCCTCCCCAGTGTGATCACTGTTATGTGTGTGCGTGTCCCTCTCTGCCGGTGTGTGCGTGTCCCTCTCTGCCACTGTGTGCGTGTCCCTCTCTGCCACTGTGTGCGTGTCCCTCTCTGCCGGTGTGTGCGTGTCCCTCTCTGCCGGTGTGTGCGTGTCCCTCTCTGCCTGTGTGGGCAGGTCCCTCTCTGCCTGTGTGTGTGTGTCCCTCTCTGCCGGTCTCCTAGTTGATGTTTCCGCCTGTCCTGCCTGCACTGTGGGGCCGGCCTTGACCTGGTCTCTCACGGTGCGTTTCTCTTTTTCCCCTGCGCACAGCTTGGCCGTGTCCAGGTCACCATGGGCACTGGAAGGATGGCCACCCAGCCGCTGACCAAGAAGGCCCTGGTGAGTCACGTCACCCTCTGGCACCTCCTTCCTTAGGGTCAGGCTTCTGGGCAGGGGTGGCCCTCTGCCCCCCCACGATATCCCTCAGGGCCCAGGCCGCAGTCCAGGCCTCCTGGGGTTGTGTCCGCCCTGGTTGGGAGAGTACTATCTGGACAGTGGCGTTTTTCTCCCGCAGGGGACAGGATGGCTCAGGAGTGAGCTAACTCTGGGGGCTCTCAGGAGACACCAGCGGGCACCTGGGAAGGGGCGGCTTAAACACATTCGATGAAGTGTGAAGCCCGGGCAGAACGTGCTGGGCGAGGGACCTTTTGAAATGGGCCGGTGGCACTAAATGCTGGAGGGGGACTGGACGCCATAGTGAGGGACCCATGAATGTCCCTTATTGTCACCATGATGTTTTACGATGTTTTAGTGGGTGGCGATTTGTGGTATTTTTCTCTATATTTCGTTCTATGGATGAAATACTTTACAATTAAAACATAGATGTAGCTCATTGGTTAGAAGATCATCTTGATGTACCAAGGTTGTGTGTACCGTCCCTGGTCAGGGCACACACGAGAAGCCAACGATGAATTCACCAAGAAGTGGAACAACCTTTCTTTCTCTTGCTCCTGTCAAATCAGTGAGTTTATGTTTATGTATATACATGCACATAGATATGGGGGTCAATTTTTTTTGTCATCACCAGAGGACGTGTTCATTGAGTTTTAGGGAGAGAGGGAGAGAGAGAGGAAGCACAGACGTGAGAGAGAAGCAGCAGTCTGTTGCCTCCCACACGTGCCCCGACCCCAGATCAAACCCACAGCCTCTTGGTGTACGGGACGGCGCGCCAGCCAACTGAGCGATCCGGCCGCGGCTGCACATAAATCTTTGCCCTGCGTTTTGTATGTTTTTTCTCCTTCTCTTTTATTGTTTTTATTATGGAAGGTTGAGCACCTGTATAAAGATTTTTTAATTTTTTTAGGAAGCGGGGAAGGGATGGAGACATAGAGAGAAACACAATGTTGTGGGAGACAAACATCAGTGGGTTGCCTCTCGCACAACCCCAGCTGGGGACCTGGTGTCCAGCCCAGACATGTGCCCCGAGTGGGAATGGAACAGGAGCCCTTACGGTTCGCAGACCGGTGTTCAGTCCACTGAGTCCTATTAGCCAGGTCTTCATGAGATCTTTCTTTTTTTAATAGATTTTATTTATTTATTTTAATTTTATTTTTTAAGTATATTTTATTGATCCTGCTATTACAGTTGTCCCATTGTCTTCTAACCTTTATTCCCCTCCACCCTGCACCGCCCCCCACCAGCAGTCCCCTCCTTAGTTCATGCCCGTGGGGCGCACAGGCAAGCTCTTTGGCGTCTCCGTTTCCTATACTATTCTTAACCTCCCTCTGTCTGTTTGTACCTACCAGTTATGCTTCTTATTCCATGTACCTTGTCCTCCCTCCTTCCCCTCCCCATCCCTGCTGATAACCCTCCATGTGATCTCCGTTTCTGTGATTCTGTCATTCCTGTGCTAGTTGTTCACTTAGTTTGTTCTTAGGTTCAGTTGTTGATAGCTGTGAGTTTGTTGTCATTTTACTGTTCATAGTTTTTGATCTTTTTCTTACATAAGTCCTTTTAACATTTCATATAATAGGGGTTTGGTGATGATGGACTCCTTTCACTTGACCTTATCTGGGAAGCACTCTGTCTGCCCTTCCATTCTAAATGATAGCTCTTTGCTGGATAGAGTCATCTTGGATGTAGGTCCTTGCGTTTCACGACGTTGAATACCTCGTTGAATGCCTGCAAGGTTACTTTTGAGAAATCAGCTGATAGTCTTATGGGCACTCCTTTGTAGGTAACTAGCTCCTTTTTCTTGCTGCTTTTAAGATTTGCTCCTTATCTTTAATCTCGGGTAATGTAATGATGATGTGCCATGGTGTGTGCTTCCTTGGGTCCCCAGGCAGATGTGGGACTGCCCGGACATCAGCCGCAGGCTCACACACCGAGTCCTCCTCCAGCCCCGTCTCCGCCCCTTCTGCCCGGCTGGGTGACTTTCTTCTTTAACTCCTTGGTTGTCAGACTTCCATACACTTCAATTTACTGGCAGTTCTGGTTCTTTTTTGTTTTTAAATTTGTTTTCCTTCTTTTGGTTGTGCAAGGAGGCAGAGTGTATCTACCTATGCCTCCACCCATCTTGGCAGGAAGCCCTTATTATTTATTTTTAAAGAGAGGGGAAGGGAGGGAGAAAGAGGAAGAGAGAAACATCAATGTGTGGTTGCCTCTCACATGTCCCGTACTTGGGGCCTGGCCTGCTACCCAGGCATGTACCCTGAGTAGGAATCAAACCAGCAACCCTTTGCTTCATAGGCTGGCACTCAGTCCTCCGAGCCGCAGCAGCCAGGGCCCATGTATTTATGATTTCTTTGTGGGCGATTCCTTGCAGAGGAGTGTTGCTGTGGGTAGGTATTTTTAAAGCCTGAAGGAGTCTTCGTATTTCCGAGTTGAGACAGTTTATTCTCCCACCGCTGTTTTCAGTTGGTGGTTTTAGGTGCCGTTTCTTCTATTTGACTATAAATAACAAGTAGTATAAACTATCCTTGTGGTAGGTGCCACTGATGTCACATGATCTCTTTCCGAGTAACATTGTGTGTGATATTAGTGAGATTTAATTTTTAGAAGGTGTTTATTTGCCATTTATGCAGGAGGGCAAATTATTTATTCTGTGCTTGGCTGGTCCCCAGTGGACCGGTCCCCAGTTGGGGGACGCACGAGAGTCAACTGCATGTTGATGTTTCTCTTCCTTTCTTTCTCCCTCCATTCCCCTCTCTCTGAAAATAAAGTAAATAAAATCTTAAAAAAAAAATTAAATAAAAAATTCAAGTTAGTAAGTATAGAAAAAAGAAGTAAGTACAATAATAAAGGGTGCAGGAGAAAATGGGGAGGTGGTGGATGAGCCTGTGGCCTCAATGGTCATTTCAAATGTGTTTCCTAAAAAAAAACCCAAAACACAAGAAGAAAGCTATGTGCTCATTGGGTTGGCCCAAAAGTTCATTATGTTTCTTCTATAAAATAAAAGGCATTTTCATTTTCACTGGTCACCTCATTGATTTGGAGATCTTGGTGTCGGGGTCCTCAGTGCTCCCATCTGCTCTTTAATCAGGTCTTGATCCCCCCATCCCACGTGATCTCTACCCATGGCCCCAGCCACAGACCACAGCTGCTGATTTCCTGGACACCCTCCAGAGCTGCCGCTGCTCAGGGCCCCTGTGTTGATGGTATTGTCTGTGGTGGGTCCTTTACGGGAGTTTTCATTTGACGGGTGTGAGGTGGTATCTGATTGAGGTTTCAGGTTGCAGCTCTCTGATGATGGGTGATGTTGAGTATTTTTTCACGTGTTTATTGGCCATGTGTGTGTCATCTTTGGAAAAGTGTCTACTCAGACCCTTTGCCCATTGTTTACATGGATGCTTTGTCTTCCTGATGAACAGCCCTATTGTTTATTTGTTTGTCCAAGGCCCGTGCAGTGTACTTCAGCACCGCGGACACTGAGGGGTCAGGCCGTTCCGAACTCGCACCTGGTTGACACCACGTCAGGTGCATCCCGTGTGCCTTCCTGATCCTCTCGGCCCTGCTGGCCGCATCTCCCAACCTCTGTGAGGAGGGCGCTGTGGTGAGTGGTGTGCGCTTCCTGTTACAGGGGTCGGTGGCGTTCAGGGATGTGATTGTGGACTTCACCCCGGAGGAGTGGCAGCAGCTGAAGCCTGCGCAGAAGGACCTGTACAGGGACGTAATGATGGAGACCTACTGGAACCTGGTGTCGCTGGGTAAGGGGGCAGCTTCGCTTCGTAACTCATCATCTGCCTGTCACCTCAGGATGACAGAGAAATAGAAAAGATGGCCCTGGCTGGCGTGGCTTAGTGGATTGAGTGCCAGCCTGCGAACCAGAGGGTCACTGTTTTGGTTCCCAGTCAGGGCACATGCCTGGGTTGTGGGCCAGGCCACTGGTGTGGGGTCTGTAAGATGCAACCACACATTGATGTTTCTCTCCCTCTTTTTCTCCCTCCCTTTCCCTCTGTAAAAATAAATGAATAAAATCTTAAAAAAAAAAAAAAAAGGTGGACTGATCTGACAGGTAGGACATTCAAATTTCTTGAAGTCAAAATAAAGTTGATAGGTAATGAGCTGGGGAAGAGTATTTACTGCATGTATAACATTCAGAGGATTATAAATATATAGGAAGCTCCTTGGAAAAAATAAGATGACCAAATGAATAAAAGAGAGAAGGACCATTACATATGAGTGTGCAATTCACAGATGCAGAAATGCATGATGTTACACATGACAAAGGGTTTTTTAAAACATACTAATAGTCAAAGAAGTACCAGTTGAGTCACAGAAATATATTTCTTCCCCATGGGGCAGAGAGATGAAAAAGAGTATTAGACCTGGCTGGATATGGCTCTGCTGGTTGCAGCTTGATCCCATACACTGAAACTTGTGGGTTCGATTTCCTGTCAGGATACATACTTAGGCTGTGAGTTTGCTCCCCAGGTGGGGCATATCTGGCAGGTGACCGACTGATGTTTTTCTCTCTCTCTCTCTCCCCATCTTCCTGCCCACTCCCCTCTTCCCTCTCTACTCATATCCTCAAGTGTGGCATAAAACAAGAGTAATAGCATCCTGTGTTATGAGGGTTACCAGGGAAAGGGACTCTTCATTTTAGGAGCATGAAGTAGCAGCGCTCATTTGGAAGATAGTTCAAGTGTTCTCTTGTGCGGTGGCAGTTGTTAGCAGTCTGGACGGTGGGAGGGAGGGGGTGAGTCAAGGGTGACTACTAAATTTTTTTTTTTTTTTTAATTATAAAAGTATTTAGCCCTGGCTGGTGTGGCTCAGTACATTGAGTCCTGGTCTGAAACTGAAAGGTTGCCAGTTCGATTCCCAGTCAGGGCACATGATAGGGTTGCGGGCCAGGTCCCCAGTTGGGGGAGTGCAAGAGGGAATTGATGTGTCTCTCACACGTCGATATTCCTCTCCCACTCTTTCTCCCTCACTTCCCCTCTCCAAAGTTAAATAGATAAAATCTTTAAAAAAATATATAAAAATATTTATTTTCTTAACCGTTGAAAACATACATAACGTAAAATTGTTTAACTTGTTTTTGACCATTTAACTATTTTGATAGTTAACTTTTTTAACAGTTCTGTGGCATGAAGTTCCTTTACGTTATTGTTCAACCATCACCATCATCCACCTCCAGAATTTTTTTTTTTTTTAAGATTTATGTATTTATTTTTAGGGAGCAGAAGGGAGGAGAAAGGGTGGAAGAGAAACATCAATGTGTGGTTGCTTCTGGCACATGCCCTGTGGGGACCAGGCATGTGCCCTGACTGGGAATGGAACTGTCCACCTTTGGGTTCGCAGTCTGGTGCTCAGTCCACTGAGCCACACCCGCCAGGCACCCCCAGGGTTCTTAATCACCCCCAGCTGACAGTCTGTCACCTCTAAAGAACACATCCCCATTCCCCTCCTGAGCCCTGGCCCTCATGTCCTCCTTCTATCAATTTGACGGCTCTTGTTGCCTCCTATGAGTGGATTCATACGTATCTGTTATGTGTGTCTTATTTTGCTAAATCTCTTTGATGGGACTCTCTCTCTCTTTTTTTTTTTTTCCATTATTTGGGACTGGAGGTTTTGAAATCCCAAGTCTCACTTGCAGTGTGTTAGGTTGCGATACCCGAGAGGGGCGCCCAGAGGCCTCGGATTATCCTCAGCAGAGCTCAGGGAGGGGGTCTGGGCGGGGGCGTCCATTTCGGAGGTGTCAGCATGGAGGCTGAAATCCGGGCTCTTAGGACTCAGGGGAAGGGTCTCAAGCTCAGGGTTTGTGTGGCCAGCGGGGGCTTAAAGAGGGAAGGGGGGCAGCCGCTTACTACGGCCACCTTCTTTGTTCCCTCCTGAGAAGGAGGGCTGTGTGTGGCAGCATCTTCACTTTTTTAATGAGATCTTCGTGTAACACAGTTTTTAGAATTTGGGAGGAACCCTGATGTCCATGTGCAGAGTCCGGGACTCAAGACAGCCCCCTAGGTTGGAAAGAGAGATTGAGGATCCCACAGGACAGAGCACCAGGGGACCGGAGCAGCTGTGGTCAGCAGGGAGGGACGAGTGTGCAAAGGGGAGGGTGAGGAGCCAGCAGCCTGGGCGCGCAGGAAGGCGGGAGCTTGGCTGGGGGTGGGGAGGCAGAGGACAACCAGAACCCACACGAGAGTCAGCTCTTACTTTATCATTTCTAATTGACAGTCAATGCTTTGAGAGGCACAGCTGGCTGGGGACATGCAGGACAGGCCTGGAAGCCAGGAGCCGGGTGAAGTGAACGCTCAGTGTTTGTGGGAGCCTTTGATCTGCTCCTCCAAGCCCGTCTTCCTCCTCTTTCTCTTCAGGGTCTGTCTGCACCGCTCTGAGCTCCCTGGCCACCTTTGTACCCACTCCCAAAGGACCTTTCACGCTCTCTATTCACCTCACTCAACCTCACTGTCTCAGCTCAGTGCTTCCCCTATCCCTCTGTCTCATGACAGGCTGTCCCTGCTCTCAGACTGTGCCTTGTCCTTTCTTTGGATGGTCCTCCATCCCACCGTTGTTAACTACCTATGTGTCATCTCTTCCCCCTCCTCTCAGACTTGGAGACTAGACCCGACATGAAACAGTCGGACCCGCAGGAGGATGACTGGGGAGACAGACCATCCGCTGCAGTGGTTGCAGAAGAACCCACGAGTAATGGTGCCCAGGGTTGCACGTGGGAAGGAGCAGGGACACAGGGTGACCAGGCGGGGCAACAACAGGGGAGCCCAGGGACCTGTCTGGGGCATTTGGACATGTCTCAGGCATTAGCCCCTGAACGTTGTGAATTTAAGGCATTCGTCCGCCAAAGCCTCATACCGGCCCCTGCGAAATTGGAGGGACAGAGAGGATCAGGGAAGCACCCGTTCAGCATGTGCTGGAAGGACTCAGGTACTTCAAGCCTCAGTCCTTCCTCCCAACTCCGTGCAGAGAGGAAGCCCTATAAATGCGGAGAGTGTGGCAAGGCTTTCAGCTATAACTCATCCTTGAAGGAGCACCAACGAATGCACACTGGGGAGAACCCTTTCTCGTGTGCCACGTGCGATAAGCATTTCATCCGGCGGTCTTACCTCGCCACCCACCAGCGCCTACACACTGGGGAGAAGCCTTATGCATGCGGGGACTGTGGCAAGGCCTTCAGCCAGAAGGCGCACCTCATTCAGCACCAGAGGACGCACACCGGTGAGAAGCCTTATGCATGTGGGGATTGCGGCAAGGCCTTCATGCACAACAGGAGCCTCATTGTCCATCAGAGGACGCACACTGGGGAGAAACCATTTGTGTGCAGGGACTGCAGCAAGGCCTTCAGCCGGCAGGATTACCTCAAATCACACCAGAGGACACACACTGGGGAGAAGCTGTACACGTGCAGGGACTGCGGCAAGGCCTTCAGACATAAAGGCAGTCTTAACCTACACCAGAGGACTGACACCGGGGTGAAGGCCTACGTGTGCAGTACCTGTGGCAAGGCCTTCACCCGCAACACAAGCCTCATCACGCATCAGAGGATGCACACTGGGGAGAAGCCGTATGCATGCAAAGACTGCGAAAAGGCCTTCAGCCGGATTGAGCACCTCATGGTGCATCAGAGGACGCACACCGGTGAGAAACCATACATGTGTCGCCAGTGTGGGAAGGACTTCACAAAAAACTACTCGCTCTTGGAACACCAGCGCATGCACACCGGGGAGAAGCCCTACACGTGTGCCCAGTGCGGCAAGGCCTTCAGGCAAAACTTCTCGCTCAGGGAGCACCAGCATGTGCACACCGGGGAGAAGCCCTACACGTGTACCCAGTGCGGCAAGGCCTTCCGGCAAAATTCCTCGCTCAGGGACCACCGGCGTGTGCACACTGGGGAGAAGCCCTACAACTGCAGCCAGTGCGGCAAGTTCTTTAGCCTCAAATCCTCTCTCTGGAAGCACCAGCGCTTGCACACCGGGGAGAAGCCCTACAAGTGTGCCCAGTGTGACAAGGCCTTCAGGCAAAACTTCTCGCTTAGGGAGCATGAGCGTGTGCACAGCGGGGAGAAACCCTACAAGTGTGGCCAGTGTGACAAGGCCTTCAGGCAAAATTCCTCGCTCAGGGACCACCAGAGTGTGCACAGTGGGGAGAAGCCCTACAGCTGCAGCCAGTGCAGCAAGCTCTTTAACCTCAAATCCTCTCTCAGGAAGCACCAGCGCTTGCACACCGGGGAGTAGCCCTACCAGTGCTCCATCTCCAGAGGCCCCAGAGGAGGATACACATGTAGCAGAGGGGCCAGAAATCTCAGAATTCGCACCCAACTGGCAGGTCTTGAGTCCATGGGTCAGTATCAGACTTGACATTGAGCCCACAGGTAGGGGGCAAGAGAAGTCCTACCCAGATGGGTCATCGGGGGCCCCGGGGACAGGCCACACCATGCTTACCTTTGCTTCCGCAGCCTCAGCAGGGCCATGTGGAAAGCAAGTCCCCCTCCAGGTCCTGTATCTGGAAGCATGGCCTGGGGTGCTATGGCTCCTCACCTGGCTGGATGATGAGTATGCCGGGGATGTGGCGGGACCTTTCGCCAGAAGGTGCACATGATCCAGCACCAGAGGACACACCCTGGGGAGAACCTTTTGTGTGCAGGGACTGCCGCAAGGCTTCCGACAGAAAGGGAACCTCAGAGAGCACCAGAGGATGCACATCAGGGAGAAGCCATACACGTGCAGGGACTGCAGAAAGGCCTTCAGCCAAAACTCCTCGCTCAGGAAGCACAGCTGGTGCTCAGGAAGCACAGCTGGGTGCACACGGGAGAGAAGCCCTACAAGTGCTCCATCTGACAGAAGTGCTTCATGGCTCACTCGTCCTTGCAGGAGCGGCAGACCAACCACACACAGTGTGGAGAAAGCTTGTAAGTGCTGCCAGTGCTCAAAGCCTTTGTCAGGAATACCTTCCTCCCTGTCCACCAGAGAATGCACGTGGGAGACAAGCCCTACGAGTGTGACAAGTGCGGGAAACCCTTCAGAGGGAATTTCAACATCATGCGACACCAGAAGAGGATGAGGTGGGGTGTATCAATCCGCACTCAACAGGCAGGTCCTGAGCCCTTGGATGAGTGCCAGACTTGATATTGGAGCCCACAGGTAGGACGCTAGAGGTGACCTGCACAGACGGGCCGTAGGAATGTGGGCGCCGAAGACAGGCCATCCTGTGCTCACCCTTTGTTTTTACAGTGTCCTTGTGGAAATCAAACCCACTCTACAGGTCTAGTAGAGGAGAGCGTGGCCAGGGGCACTGTGGCTCCCAACCGAGCTGGAGTAAACTGTCCTATGAGCGTGGAGAACGCATTTAGCATCTCTGGGTGTCCATCTGCATAGTCAAGTGCAGGAGGGGGAGGAGAAAGGAAGAAGAGAGTGGGCTCCATGGGGACATTGTCACTTTGTCGCACAGGGCGGGATCTAGTCCAGAGGTCAGGTTGTTGCCATCTTGTGTGTTTCCTCTTTTTCCCCCACTCACAGCCCCTAGTTGCCCTGCAACACCAGCTGGAAGGCCCCACGGTCATAAGCTGTAGAATTTACCAGGTGGTTCATGAGGAGAAAAAAATATTTTTTTCAGGATTAGGAAATAACAGTAATCACTTCAGATACCAAAGTTTCTCAGGATGGTCTGTTAAATATTGTTTAAATAAAACTTTTAATTGACACCAACATCATTTTAAACAGTTGTTTCATGCAGAACATACAGGTACTGGTTGTCCCATTCAAAATGAATGTCAATGATTGTGGGGACAGTGCACAAATACCCAACAGGAACCCCCAGAACCCAGCAGCCTGTGCCTGGCCATGCGCCCCTCGCATCCCTGGATTCCTCACTTTGCACTGGTCACACCACGTCTCATGCCTGTTTTTGGAGCAGGTTTCCCTGGGGTTTGCTGGTCTCCCATGACCAGGAAGAAATATTAGCAGGAAATTACATAGGCCCATCTCCCCACCACACACACGTGTGCATGTGCACCAGCAGAATCAGGAGGTTGTGACTTCTCATCTCCTTTATCATGGATGCTCATTTACCCAATAAATATCCCCCATGAGAGAGAAAAGGAAAGAGCAACCCATGTGGTAAGAAGGTCATTCCTCTGCAGACTCAGCGTCTTGCTGAATAGGGTGGACCACTGGGAATGGGGCAAGACCGCCTCCGGTGGCATTTAATGTAGAATTGCTATTAAAAAACAAACAAACAGGTGAATGGGAGGGAGGCAGATATTGTGTGTCCTTGTTAAAAATATTCTGGGTCATTTCTAATTTTTGAGTTGCCATGATCCATGTCCCTGATAGAAAAGTCAATCTTTACCTTAATTGAGCCTATTGTCTCTTGGCCTGTGATGACATACCTTTGAAAGGTAAAGGTAACAAGCACCACACAGAAGCTGAGAACACAGATCCCTTCGTTGTTACTTACCATGTTAATGGATATTACAGTCTTGCACCCACCTATGTTAAAGAAGTATGTGTTTATCATTTTACTTTTTATCCAGTCCCAGAAGTTTTCCCCCTTTGCTTCCCCCCTAAACTATTGCCAGTGGATTTCAGGTAACCCTTTATGTCTCCTCTGAGGGTAATGTATGAAATGTGGTGCTAAAGTGCCATTCAGTGGAACATTTCTCAATCTGTTGTCCTTTCAGCAGAAATTAACTCACTAAAAATCCTACACAGGTTCGAATGTCTTCTTACGCTGACAGTAGCTTCACAGATTTTCTTCAAGTCAGCACGACTATCAGGGACCCTGGGTGGACACAGGATGCCTGCAGACCAGCTTCTTTTCCCACTTCCACCCACAGCACCGACTTCTGTAGAATTTCCCTCCCCCCTCCTTCCCCGGCATCTCGCCCTCCCCCACTCCCCTCCTCCAGTCCGCGGCCCTCCCCGTCTCCCCTCATCCGTCTCCCCTCTCACTCTCCTCCCTGGCCCCACTCCCTCCGTCCACTCCTTCCTGTCTGGCTCCGCTATACTCTCTCGTATTCCTCGCGCCCTACCAGCCCCTGAACGACATTCCGCCTGGTCCCACAGCGGCCCGCCTTCCTGCCCCCGGTGCCACAGGCGACCAACGCTCCGGTTGAGGTGCAGTGGGCAGCGCTCCCTCTGAGGGGAGGATGGACGGCGGCGGGGGTGGCGCGCGCGCTTCTGGGAAGTGTAGTCCGCCCGTCTGCGCACACTCCCTGCTGACGCTGCGGGGTGGCGTGGTCCGGCGGGCGCCATTCATTTTCTCGAGGGGGACTAGTGGTGACTCAGGCAGCTGGCTGCTTGAGGTGGCAGGACACCGGGTGTGGGTCCTGAGAAGGGGCAAGAGGTCCCCGAAGCGGGTACAGATTGAGGCAGGGCCGTGCGAGTGAAGGTGATGCCTGTGGCTCTGCGTGTGTGAGAAGCTGTGTTGCGTTGCGCTGACGCTCCCGCGCCGTGTGTGTGACTGTGTGTCTCCGTGCTTGTAACCGCGTGTGTCCGGGTGGCCTCCTGTGTCTCGCCTTTGCTCGTGCGTGTGTCTGTTGCGTGTCTCGATGTCTCTCGGCTCCCTCTGTGTCCACGTCTGTGTGCGCGTCTGCCTTTATTTCCGTCCGCGGCGTCTCAGCGTGAGGGCGCCGTCCAGGGGTCCCCCTGTGACGGGTCTCTTCCTCGGCGCCGGTCTGTGTGTCAGGTGTGAGTGTGTCTGTGCGCGTGGGTCTGCGCCTCTCCTGTCCCATCCTCCCCCTGTCTGTGCGCCCCTGCGCCTCTGTCTGTGGGCGCGGCTGACGTGTGTGAGGGTGCGACGGGGGTGCCCTCCCGGGAGCGCGGGGAAGACGCCCTCCTGCACAGGCGGGCCTGGCGGCGCTGCCTGCCCGCGGGCCCCGCAGCCCATGGCGGTCCTGCCCTCAGAGCCTCCCCGGCCCCCGGGAGGGCAGGGCGTGGGTGGTCGCCAGGTGTGGGGCTGAGGAAGAGGGTCAGAGGCCCCGACCCGATGGTGACCGGGGTGGGTTTGTTCAGGGAGGGTGTGTTGGGTGCTCAGGGTATCGTTCTGAGCATTTTATAGGCCTCCAAGTGACACTGAGATGGGGGACCCTCACCATCCCCATTTTGCAGCTGGGGAAACTGAGGCTCAGAGACTTTGAGTCACCCAACTCCACACACAGGCAATTGCGTCCAGAGCTCCCATACCAACCACCCCACAGATGGCAAGTCCTTGTTTCCCTTTAGAAACAATGAGCAGAAGGAAATGGCAGAAACCTTGGACAGAGGGGGAGGAGCAGGGACAGCCTCCACCCCTGGCTCTGCAGCCGCAGACCTGAGACTACTTTGGGTTCAGAGGTCACCAGCGCTGTGCACATGCCACTTACAGGGCCACTGTGCCTTCGTGGCCTCCTTTTAAATGTAGTAAAAATTACAGTTGTGATTGCATTGCTATAAGAACAAATATAGTCCAGGCGGGATTAGAGTCACTTTTTCCTCTTAGAATCTTAAAAGAAATGATGATATATTCAAGGATGCCTACAAGCGGCCCTGGACTCACTGTGCCTCCTGGGTGGCTTCCTTGTCCTGCAATAGGAACCCTTGTTGTTGACCTTGTGGAGTATGGATAAGAGTCAGTCAGAAATAGCAAATCCACAAAGTACACATTTGTAAAAATTCTGTTTAAAAAATGATGAAGTCACTGCATTCAGGGACATAACTCCTGCTATCGGGAGGCAAACTGGAATTTCAGACCTAACACTTCGCATCTATCCATATATTCAGGGTTGCTTCGTTTGTTGGTAAGTCGGTGTCTGTTTCAGGAAACAGTGCTACAGTAAACATCGTTTATATGTTTATTGATTTTAGAGAGGGAGGAAAAGAGAGAGAAACATTGATCAGTTGCCTCCCACTGGCACCCCGAGGTGGCATCTGGGGATGAAATTTGCAAGGTAGGTCCTGGCCACAACTAGATATTAAACCTGAACTTCCGTGTTCAGGATGACACTCCCCACCAATGGAGCCACTCGGCTCCAGGTTCCCTCCAGTAGACCTGGAGGCTGTCTTGCTGTTGGGGTGTCTTCTTTGCACCTGGCCAGCAGTCAGACGCAGGGTGTTAGCAGAGTCCTGTTCCTCTCCCAAGGCTGTGGGATTGTCTGTGTGCGCATGCCTGTGTTCGGGGACTGTGAGCGTGTGCGGGTATGACATGTGCACCAAGCTCATGGACCCTGACGTACTCAGCCCAATCCTAACCCTGGCCTTTTCTTCTTTGGCACATGGCTTCTCTTTTTTTGGCCTCAGTTTCCTCATTTGTAAAATGGGGTGAGTGTAAATAGCCTCCACTTCATAGGGTATGAGATGGATTAAATCAGGGATATTTGTCAAGTGAGTGCCTTGGACATACAGGCCTCCTGCATGCGTTCACTACTAATATGTGTACCTGTCCCTGTCTGACCATCTTCTAGTGAGTGTATCTGTCTGTCCTGTCTGTACTGTGGGTCAGGGCTAGACCTGGTCTCTCACTGTGCCTTTCTCTTTCTCCTTCTGCACAGCCTGCCTGGTCCCCAGTCATCATGGGCACTGGAAGGATGGCCACCCAGCCACTGACCAAGAAGGCCCTGGTGAGTCATGTCACTCTCTTGCACCTCCTTCCTAAGGTTCCGGTTTCTGGGCAGGGATGACCCTTGGTCCCTCCCGTGAACCCCTCAGAGCCCAGGCCCCTTTCCAGATTGCCTGGGATTGTGTCCACTCTGAGTTGGGAGAATAATGTCCTGACACTGGCGTTTTTCTGCC